AAAATGATATAAATATGACCAATATGAAATCAATAAAAATAATCATGTAGCCATATTATTGAAACGGTAAAGGGACACATCACGTGTCATGTTACATAGGATCTGCATGCGGACTTTTTGTTGGTTCATTGTCTTAGTTGTATTTTAATTTCTTTATGTATTTCTTAAGGTTCTCTCTCGTCTTATCAGTTCGATTGTCTATCCTTCAATGACCTGTCCACCAAGACATCGAGGGAGATATGTCTGAGAATGGTTGTACCAGGCGGTGCATTTCGCAGGTGTCACCTCTCCAATGTTGAGTGTAGCCACCTCCTGGAGACGGAGGGATCTCCAGACTTGCAGGTTCACACCAACTTGGACTCTTGCGTCTTGGTCTCCAAATCTGTCCTGCCATTCAGGAAGCCCCAGCGTGCGCTTCACTCCCGCCTTGAAAGCTGAGTGCGCCATTTCCGTAGGATTTAAGAATGGCGAGTATGGGGGCAGCAACTTGATGGTGAAATTGCCGGCATCAGGGGGTAGTTGGGCTCGGATATGAGGACGAGCGTTGTCATATATCAGATATATGCGTTCGCCTGCCGGGAATAACATACCGCATTCTTGTACAGTCGTCGCTAAGAAATCCTCAAAAGTCGCTCTCGTCACAGTCTCTGATGATATTCTGTCCAACCTCACCAGAAATGGCAAACGTGATGTTGACATGCTTGCCTCTCTGGCCATGGACGACACGCCTTGCTGGCTCCCCACGAGGAGCGCGACCATAAGAGCGACGGGTCCATATGTTATACCCAGTCTCGTCAATGTACACAGTGTGGCCAAGGACACCAACCTGAAGAAACCAATTTCCAAATATGACTCGTGCATCTAATATGCGTGGCTCATTCCTCTGTTCTGGAACATCTTCCGCTAGTTTAAGAGTTATAAGCATACCATCTAGAGTTCTAGCGATGGTACTAGTGGTAACGAAGGGCTTATCGGGAAGATCAGCTCTCAGTTGAGTATTGAGTTGACGCAAAGTTAGAAGGGGGTTGTCATCTAGATATCCTTGAAGGGCATCTCTCATGTCGTCGTCAACCTTCTGGTTTATGGGTCCTCCTTTCGGCAGCTTGTTACGACGACCATCCCGAAGATATACGCCAACGATTGATCTGGCCGTTGAGTGCTTGATGCCCAGCGTATCTGCTACCTGCAGATAGTCAGCATCGTCAGCCTCAAAGGCATCGATGAGGCGATTTCGGTCAACGTCCGAGATTCGTCGGTATCTCCCTCTTGCAGCCATTATTGGATATTTAAGGACTATGTGAACTGAGACTCTTGGCTATATGATGCGATTGTGGCAAATGCTGAGCAGAAAAAGATTTTCTTAAGGTTAGGTTTTTATATAGGATTTATTACAATAGTTGGTATGTTTCAAAAGACTACACCTCTTGGTTTTAGCTCAATCATCATGAATATTCAAAAATTCAATCATTCAATCAAGCTTTCCTCAAATGTTACTTTAACACATAAATGAATTCCAATGCTTGACCAGGCATACGTTAAATAACACTGCGAGGGAAATCGGCTGCACATTTAGCGAAAAAGATTGATGACAAATTAAAAGGAAAATAGGATTGCGGATGTGCCTTCGATTTCGCGCTAAAATGAAATGTCAATACACTAAATGCAGTGCACATTCGGGAAATCGTACGCTGATTTTTACGACTGAATGCACCTTCACGGAAAAAGAATTATCATTTGTTAAATAGAAACAGAGATTTGGAAGGTTCATTCTATTTCGCACGAAAACGAATGCTTCTTTTACAAATTCGTGTACACATTTTCCGAAATTGTCCGGGAAAACCTATAGTAAATATGACTTGACACTTTTTTTTTTTTTGGTTTTTTTTTTTTTTTGCTTTTCCGAAAAGAATGTCATGGGTTACTTCGTTTTAATTCTTTTTGTTTATCTTTGTAGCTGTCGTTGCCTGTAAATTGAAAACACTTAGTTTATGTACATAGTGGTTCAAAACTACATGTAGTGATGACACTTTGCCAATTTATTCTCGCAATAAACCCTGTAATCCCTCATATTTCTGTACGAGTTCATCGGTGCCCTTAGACATCACTGCATGATAGAGGGTTCTTCCTGCACCATTTCTTTGAGAATTTTAAACATTGCGTGGCAAATAAGTGTAGGGCCTATGGCCTCGTACGTCTTTTGAAACTCCCGCACTAATCTCATTCAAATAAGTGATTATCATGGGCAACTGGGCTTTTAGTTTCCGTTGTTGTTGCGTTCGACGTGGCAGTCCATGGCTGTGTGTGTTTGTGTGTATAGTAATCTTAAGCCCCTGTCGCACCTTTGTGTATCCCAATTCCTTATGAGTTCCTTATCAAAAATTTTCAATACGCAGTCGTACGCTCAATTAACGTCGAAATGTTTTGATCACTTTGATTTATGTGCGACGCACATCTAGCGTACAAGTAACGAATTCAGCGCATCCATTGCGTATGAGATGCGTATGAGTTGCGTATGCAGTGCACAACATTATATTTCGGGCTGCAAATAGGTCAGTATGCAGTGCGCATGCCGAGCGTATTCCGGACGCACCCGACTTATGCCGACCGCATGCTTGACGCACTTCTGAGCGTATTCCCGCCGCATTTCCGCTGCTCGCCGTTCAGCGTGCGTTGCATCTGCGCTGCAAGTACGCTATGTATACGTCCAATACAGGCGGCTCACATGCTGACGGGGTGCGTCACGAACACATAGCGTACTCGTAACGCATTCGACCGATGCGGGACCGATGCGCTGCGTATTTATAACTTATGACCTTCGTAACAGCGTACGCAGCGTAGTTTTGTGCATGCCCAAAACTATCCTGCGTATTGGGCCGTACCATGCGTACATCTGCGTACATAAAACCTACACCAAACGATAGAGATGCTATGAGGTGCGTATTGTGCGTACGACTGCGTATGAAAAAAATGTCAATGCGCAACTCATAAGGAATTAGGATACGCAGAAGTGTGACAGGGCCATTAAGTCTTTGTTACGAATGACAAAGGTTACCGTACAGAGGAGCCAGTTGATTGGCCAAGTTCCAGTGATCACGCCCCCTTCGTTTCAGTGAGTAATGTGATTGGACAGGACGACCGTTATGACGAGCTGTCATGATGAACCGTCATGACTAATTTAACTGTCCAAAACGAAAGAACGCTACTAAGACGACACTTTGAAGGGTGAACATTTTCACATGATCTCTGCCCCCATGCCGTCATTACGTGACACGCACGCAGTACCGTAATAAAGAAAAGTGACATGATCCAAACGATCGTGCCAAGATTATTTACTTTCAAAATCGTCAAGGACATTGATGATATACTTCGCAGTAAAGTACGGCTTTGTTGGTACCTTGTTGACCTCATAAAGGGAGTGTTGTTTATCAGCTACTCTCATGAGTTCAAAATGTGTTGCTCTCAACCAGGGGCGTAAATCCGGGGGGGGGGATGGGGTATATGGGGGCACTGTCTCAAACACTGATGAATCCCAAGGGGAGTTTGCGAAGGAGCAAGTCTAGTTAACGAAGGAGGAAAGAGCTTACACATAGTGCAGCCCCCTCGCCTCCCTAGCTAGGTACATCATGAAGAAGTTAAAGGGAATATAAATCATTTGCTTTTGCTGTAATTTTCAGAAATGGATGGAATTGGGGGGTTGGAAATATATAGCAAATATAGTTACACTGACTTTTTGAGGTTTTGGGTTCGAAAATGCTATAAAAACCAAGAAAAACAATCATTTTCCTGTAGTCTGGTTCCCTGACTCCATATAAGAAGAAACAGAGCAGTTTACATACATTGGGGAATTGTAAGGTCAGGGAACCAGTCTAGCTGGCTCGTACCCGTTCATAGGTTTATAATCGATTGCAAACAAGTGCGATGGTCAATTGGGGCCAGTATTTGAAAAAAAAAGCCAGTTTTTTCCAATGCTGATCGGCCGATCAGCGTTGGAAATTGATACAAAAATACCACTTTTCTTGAAAATGACAGTATACCAGGTGCCATGATTTTACAGGATGCTTTACACTGTCATTCACTAACAGTCCAGCAAGGTATTTCAAAATGATTTGGTAGTTCTATTTTTTGATGTTTGCAAATGTTGTATTTTCCCTTTAAAGAATGCTACGAAGAGAAATCGCGGTACATACCAAATCTTATGGACTCCTGCACATATCCCTCAACTCTCGTGCGCGTGTGCATATGCAAATTAAATTGACCCACGTGACAGGTCATCCGCCTTGAGAGATACAGAGAATGTGTTCTTACCCCCTCCCCTCCCCTTGTTTTGAACATAAGTTAACGGGTCATTTTGTTTTCAAAAGAATTGCCCGTTCCTCCCGGGCACCAAACCAGGGATGCATAGTCGAGTCCATGATAAAGTCCCCTGGAAGTCCCTGCAAGTCCGTCACAGTTTCTCAAGTCCCAATTCAACTCACAAGCTAATCATGATGAACTTTGCCAGAGACATTCCTTTGTTGTTGTTCATGACCACTGTTACTTGTGACTGGGTTTGGGAATGGACTTGGGCATGATTTACTTGTGACTGGACTTGTGACTAGACTTGTGACTGAACTAACTTGATACTGGACTTGTGACTGGACTCGTGACTGGACTCGTGACTGGACTCGTGACTGGACTCGTGACTGGACTCGTGACTGGACACGTGACTGGACTCGCGACTGGCCTTTCGACTGGACTTGTGAAAGGACTTGTGACTGGACTTGTGGCTGGACTTGCGGCTGGACGTGTGACTGGACGTGTGACTGGACTTGTGAACCGGGAATTGTGACTGGAATTGTGATTGACTTGACTACAACACTACATCCCTGCCTGAACCAGGACACGCTACGGAGAGAATACCATAGAATAATATAACTTACTGTTATATTGTTTGCGCTTTTACAACGATTCAAGTGAATTAATTTCATCTTTACGGCTTTTTTTTTTGCGTATCCACCTACCTGTGTGTAGTGTCCGCACTCTCTACCAGTACAGCTATTGCTGTTGTAGCGATAGTTTGACACCTCCGAGTACCAGTACTGCACAAAGTCCGAGGCAGGAGGGGCCTTGTTGCGGTTACCGCCCCGGACGAAGATGTTCTGGCCCACGGGATCGAAGGGGGACAGGTTGCTGGTCTGGCCGTGCTCGAATCGGCAGCGGTCGGCCCATCGCTGGGCCATGGTGGCCAGGTTGGCGTCCCAGGTCTAATATCGGAGAAAGGAGACATACATAGTGAAGTTATACTATAACACGATATGCTACAAAAATGATACAAATTCATTTACGTGATCTCAATACCTAATTCACAGAGGTTAAGCACAGTGACTTAAATGAGGCTCAAGTTTACTGCAGGTATGAACACTTGGGGGGGGGGCTTTCAAGTGGAGGGAGTGGCCGAGTTTTAACAATAATAAAGCTCCTTTTTGCCTTCACCAAAATTCTGGTTGAGTACTTGGAGTTAACAAGAATCTGGTGATGTTGCAAGCAATTATTTTTCGGAATAATTACCAGTTAAGCTCATCAATAACATTGTTTATTATTTAATCTGCAACTAAAACTGTATGTGTGTGTTTGTAGGTTGATTCATTGGGTTGGTCGGTTATAAGTACTAGTGTGTTTGTGTGGTTGGTCAGTCGATCAGCCGGCCGTCGATCGGTCGGTCAGTCGGTTTGCTTGGGATGGTTCATTTGTCTCTGATCCGTTTGGTTGGTTCAATTCAGCAGTCATTATTGTAGCCTCTAGTCAAGGCGCGCGTTGCTCGCACGAAAAAGACCAGTAAGAGTGGCGAAGCCGCGAGCGCCTTTACCATCTTGTGGAGAACGCTTATGTTTTTCTTTACATTTATCTCTTGATTTGGTGGAGAAATTTTCATGCATACTGCATTACACGTTGTAAATATTGACCAATGAAACTGTAGAATTACTAGCAGCTGTTTAGACGATGTGACGTCACACGCGCTTCGCCACTCACATTGGTCTTTGTTTTGTGCCAGAATCCGGGGCGCATCACGCGTCCAGCCAGGTAGCCACGCGCGCCTTGACTAAAGGCTAGTATTATTGTTGACTGAATACATGTATAAAGTTTGAGTATTGCTTTAAAGTTATGATCACGCCCCTTTGTAAGAGTCAGTCGATAGTTATTTTGAATGCACAATGCCACACAACTTCGTGCATAACAAAATACGCAGTGCACTATTTCAAAAATGTTACTGAACACGGTATGTTCATACAATGAGTTCACAATATAAATATAATTTCAGTAACAATACAAAATATTTTTACCGAAAAAAATCTGTCAACAAATCTGTATATTTCGGCAAACGTTTCGACTTAAGATAACACCCCTGCAGAGACAATGAAGTGAGCTTAAAACGATTAAGATCGTTAAACTTTCATTATTTTGGGTAAAGTACATACAGCTACTTGCAAATTAGATTTGGACAAGGGACATGGGTTACATCTTTCATGTCGAAGACATTATGCCTTGTTGCTGGCTTGTCGACAGATGAGCGGTGGACTTTTAGCCTGTCACGTATATCGATACTGGTAGAGCGATTATTTGTTTTATCGGGGTCGCCACGATGTCGGCCAAGCTTGATGAAAGCACATTAAAAGGCAGGGGGAAAAAATCTGAGAAAACGAGACAGTCTTTCAAACATCTTTGGTCTTCAAATAAAATAAGCTTAAATCTCATCAACTCAGGGAAAATTTGTAAGAAAAACTAGTTGACATAAAATTATCATGTTTCACTTAATTGGCGATGGATTCGCTATTTGAATCTGTGAACAACAGTTAATGTTACTGAATATTAAATACTATAAGTTCTGTCATAAGGCTATCAAGACTCCATTTCTCGAACTGATGACGCAGTGAAACATCCGATTTCATTGCTGGTCCTGTAGACGAGGGGGTTCTCCTCCCCCCCCCCCCCCTCCACACACACCCACACAGACATGTTTACGTTACATACGTAGTGTGGACATTCTTTTGTTTTCGTGTAGTTAAGAAAAACCTGGTAAAAAAAAATCATTTTACTCACACTGAGAAAACTCTTTCGACCCCCAAAATTCTGTGGTTCCCTTTAGTGTTTCTCTTCCTTTTGCCACGGATAAAAATGCCTCTAAACCTGTTTTGCAGAGAGGGGGAAACATTGTGTGGACATGGGCAAGTCCACACAACATCGCTGGTACCTGGTTTATGTGGACCTCTTTTGTTCGGAAGTCCACACAGTGAATGTAATGCTTGTACACCCTACCAGGGAATCACCCTTAGCCCTCATCCAACCAACCCATAGGCTACCCCATGCTCCCAATCCTACCACACTCAAATTCCACTTTTTCGTACGATTTTTTTCTTATAAACTCTCTGCCCCTCAAGCCACGCTAAACTGACAGCAAATGTTTATTTTCAGTAGTCCAAAGATTGGTTAGATTCTTTCTTTAAAAAAAAAAGTTGACAAAAATGAATTTCTCACGAAAGATACAGGTCTCGTGAAACTGCTATAGGCCTACGTTGAGTATTTCCACCGGGGTTCCAGAAAAATGCGGGATAAAACAATAACATGAAAGTGGGGTAGAGATATAAAGAAAGGGATAGATAAAAAATCTGTCGTACCAGAAAACATGAACCTTTTTTCTCAACAGTATCGCTTTATAACATGAGCGTGAGAAGTGGTGTGTTTTTTTCGTTTTCAATATTCTTCTATTTGTTGTCCAATATTATTCCAACTTTTAACTTGTCCCGCTTGTCCAATCCGCTTGGAACGTTTCACAAACATCGGTTATGGTGTGCTCTACTTAAGGGTTTTTTTCCCCCATGCATTGTTGATGAAAATAAGGCAAAAAAAATGTCTACCCATTTTTTTTCCCAAAAGTCCTCTGTAGGTGGACTCCTGACTTACCATGTAATTCATATTGGATGCAGCGGGTGACACGGATGATCGTAGCTCATTGTGCTTGGCCAGTATCTTCTTGACCTCGGCCGCGTTGAAGTCCGTCTGTCCATTGGACGCCCGTGCCTGCCGACCACCACCACCACCCCTACCGGCCGGAGACGGCAGCCAGCCCCAGGAAAGCTTGCCCTCATTCTTCGATGGATCGATTCCCTTTGTGTCCTCCTGAAGCGGCGAGATTGCGGTGCCGGGCCCGAGGACCAACAGCCCCGCTAGTAGAGCGGCCCAAATGCGCTCCATGTCCGCTCAGAGATTTTCACTTTTCTGTTCTGTGACGCAGAATGCTTCTCCTTTTTGTGTAACCTCTGAAATGGGCTACAGTACCCTGGAGCAAGTTCGAGCGAGGAACACTCGTCGAATAGTGGTTGATTTGTAACGTAATGTACGCATGCGCACTAATGGCGACGTGCGATTGTCTCTATTCAAACGCTGGTCGAAACGTGCACAAACTTCTCGGTTCTGGTCACTTGCTTGCTATGTGCATGTGCACTGCTACTGGTAACCAGCGATGCAGCTGTGTTCCAGGACAGGTTCCAAATAGTCGAATAGAGTAGTCTTACCATGCTGCGTTCGAGTGAAATTCGTCGAACTATACGTTTAACCGTAGTCCTTGTTCAAAATGGCTACTGTCTGTCGGGCAGGGTCCAAATCTCGCTCCCCTGGTGAAAGTTTTTATCATTCATTTCCTTCATGTCTTAATCTCAAAGCCCCGACCTTGTGTTCTCTTCCTATCAAGCCATGTTAATCTTATTTGGTATTTGTTCCAAATGCTATAGGCCTATAGGGATGAGTGAAGCTGGTGATGAAATATGTTTGTACTTGATAAAAACCTGTGAGGACTCATTCAACCAATCTGCGTTCGCTTCGTTCGTCACATACAGCCAGGGGTTGAGAGGATTGTGTGGGAACGAGGTTAGAGTTGGCAGAAGACAAGCGAGGCAGAACGACCGACTAGGTTTATCTACTGGTCACGTGGTTAGGTACCTGGATGGATGGGAAATGGGTTGATCCTTGCGGCAAGCTGTATGAGACGTCTGGGAATTATTGTTCTACTGGCACATGAACATTGCCAAGGATTGTGACACTCAATATGCAGGGCTTGATCTAAGGTTGGGTGCCGAGGGGGTCCTGACGCACTTTTCAATTATTTTTGAACTAAGAGTAAAGTTTTCGTAACAAAATAGATCTGTCCTCAGTGGCTCGTTCCCGCTCTCTCCGAACATGAGAACTGTCAAAGGAACAGTGTGTCATAGTCTGGTTCCCTGACGAAACGATCCTGACGCCTCATATTTACAGATCGTAGGTCAGGTGACCGCCACATTCAGAAATAGCCAATGATACTGCAGCAAAGCCCTACCCTTGTTCGCAAGCATTCTTGAAACGTAGAGGACAAACGCGTTAACGCACAGATACTGAACATTATGTGCGTGCCACAGCATTTCGTAAATGCGAACCTCAGTTTGCTGAATTCAATGTTTTACGTTTTATAACAAGCTCGACACGTATTTTGTTCCTTAACGAAATTATTTGTAAATACTCGCACATACCCGAACATATCAGAACGTCGACGAAAACGTAATCGGGACACTTCGGACACTTCGGACACTTCGGAAACGGGAAGGATCCTGTCCGTTTTTGGTCACGTGCCATGCATGGTGCCTACCTGACCTAATATTTGTCAGAATAGTTAGAATCTTTTGGTCTGAGAACCAGACTACTGTTTTTCAAAGTGACAAAATTGTCAGAGGAACAAGCTGTTGCAAGGGTAGTCGCAGTATCAGACATGCACGTGTGCAGAGCCACACGACGAAGGTCTGATATATCCTAACATGCACATTTTATGCGACCCCGCGCGCCAGCCAATCAGAGTCAACTTTAGAAATGGTGACGTCATTTCGATCAGAACTGGTCGGCCCTACTAAGCGCGTCAACAAGCGTCAACAAGCCTCAACAAGCCTCAACGGTCGTCAACGAGCGTCAACAAATTTTGTATAGAATTATAGAAGTTATAGAAGTTAGAATTATTCTAAAACTTGTTTTTTTTGAACGCGAAATGTACGGCGAATTTGTCGATAAAAGTTGGCCGCCATCTTGTTTGGATGGCGCTGTAGACTTCGCGTATGCGTAGTATGGCTCTGTACACTTCACGCATGCGTAGTACGGCTAGCTTCACATAAACAAGATGGCGGCCAACTTTTATCGACAAATTCGTCGTACATTTCGCGTTCAAAAAACCAAGTTTTATAATAATTCTAACTTTAATTGATATGCAGAAGATGTTCTTTATTGCTTTATCTACCATATAAAGCCTATACAAAATTTGTTGATGCTCGTTGACGACCGTTGAGGCTTGTTGACGCTTGTTGACGCTTGTTGACGCGCTTTAGTAGGACCCGAACTGGTGACTAAACTGTTGATTGGTCGATTTGGCAATATTTTTTTGCCATACGACAACGGATTACGGAACACCCGATAGAGGGTCAGAATCTGGAGATCAAGACGCAGTTTGTATTGCATAATGAATCGTCTAATCAGCTCGCATATCATAGACCCTCGCTGTGTCAGGAGATATTCCATAGACTCTCCATGCAGGCGCGTACTCGGATATGCCCGGCGATGGGGACGAGTTAAAATGAGCATGACAGAAGCCTAATCAGTCTGTCCAAGAACTTGGGGGAGTCATAAACCGTATCACTCAGGCCCTGCAGGCGTTGCTCCAGTTCCTGTGATAACTGATGGTGTGTGGAATTGCAGGGAATCCCCCGTGAGCTTATAAGTCAAGGCCAACTCTCCCTTTTTGATCTTGGCACGAGATCTTTATAAATACAAGATCACTGTCGACTAAAAGCAGGATTTGAGCGTGCGACGAAGCTGCGAGTGAGGCAAAACAAGCGCCGAATGCACCCAATGAGCACTCTGTCGCTCGGCTGATGGATGTCCGCTGTCACGATTGGCATCAGTGGCGTAACTGTGATCCAATATGGCCTAATACGCTTCTGGGTAGAATGACAAGTTTATGGGTCAAAATGTCACTTTTGCCAAGGTTTGCCAAAAATTCAGAGAAGAGCACCGGGGGTGTCAGACCCCCAAGAGGGCGAGGGGCGCGCCCGCTACCCCTCATTTACGCCACTGTGAAGCGTGGATATTGACTCGATGCAAGGTGATGTTTATTGGGGAGGGGCGGGGGGGGGTACAAGTTCGTGAAAAGGGCACTCGCACATCCGTGCTAAAATGTAGACAGGTTTTTTTTTTCCGGACACTTGGCTTCCTTTAAGCCAAAAGGGGGAGGGGGCGGTACCATCTTGCAATGGGGGCGCTGTTCAAACCGGACTATCATGGACACTATCGTACAATAGTGGCGCTTTTCAGGGCAGCACAATTGCCGACGGTCGCACAAAATTCAAAAAAGGGCACTCGTACAAGGCCCCTGGAAAAAAAGGGGCACTTGCTTAAAAAGGGTATTCTCTACAAATAACGCTGGTGAACAAAGGGCACCTGAGTAGAAAATAGCAGTCTGTTCAAAATATTTGGGCATCTTGTTTCAAATATTTTTTTAACTGCATGGATAGTGGCTTAAAAACCCAGAAATGTGTTTCACTTAGACTGTGGATAAGAACAATGTCACAATTCTTTGAAATTTGCAACAACAGCTGCAGAGAAACAATGGCGGATCATCAGAACCAATTTTATCAGGGGGCGGTCATTGCATATTCGAAAAGCGAAGGATGGACCTCATTTGACGCTAGGGGACATTTTTTTTCCCACTTGTTATTATGATGCTTTGGTTCACATTTCACAAATCAGAAAGGGAAAGTCCTCCACTCGTTTAACTACTGGAAAGAAATAAAGATAAATATTGACACTTATTGGGAGAATGGTCATCGATACCCCCCCCCCCCGGTTCCGCCTTTACAGAGAAAGACCACAATCTCTGCCTTACACGAAGCACCGAGAATTCCAGAAATCGTGCAAGTAAAGAACTATGAGTCAATCTCTCCACGGCAAAGTAACTCCCATGTCGATATCAACACGGACACTGGTGCTTAGCCAAGATAAAAACAAATTACCAGCTCATGCTAGGGAAATTTGAAGTTCCTTTCTCCAAATATTCAATCCCTGGAAAGGGGGCTTCTATGGGTGGGAGAACCCCCTCGTACGCTGAACCCCCTGATCATGGGCGTCAATCGGTGGGGGCGGAGGGGACAAGTCCCCCCCCCCCCCTTACTTTTAGAGTTAGAGGATATATCATATCGTTTGTCTCCCCCCCCCCCCCCCCCCCACACACACACGCACACTTTTTCATCCCCGAAAACAAATTGTAGCCTATTTCTTTAGCTCAGAATAGCTGATTCAATCACTCTAAGCTCGAAAATGATGTTTAAATGGCAATATTTTGCTAAAACAAGTTGGTTTCAAATGGGTCAGAAATTACTTTGGATCGCACCACAGAGCGTCTAAAATCGGATATTTTTCTGGACCCTTAGGCGGGCCCGGACTCCACGCCGTTAGGGCTTCGCACTCGCACTAGTTCTGATCCAAGATATGTCCCCCAAACTTTTGAGAAGCGATTGACACCCTTGCCCCTGATCCCAGCCGCTCCCCGATTAAGCTAATTAATAACCTTTAGATTTATGACCGGTGTATCCATGCCTCCCCCCTTCAATTTCAGCACTATTAAAGAGAGACATTTTAAGACCAAATCCTTAAGAAAATGGATCCATTAGGCCTACCCAATAATGAGTAATCTTTCTGAAAAAGGGACCCCAGCAGGCGTCGTTCCACAGGGGGCTTTGGGGGTCGGAAAAACCTACTCTGACACACACAAACAAGATATAAAGCAATTATAGTAATCATAATTACCTTTATGTCCGCCTGTCCACAACAGTCATATGCAGACATACAAAAAAATCTGAACGGCCTGAATCCCCCCCCCCTCGCAGAAATTCCTGGATCCGCCCCTGCCCAGTCGGCTTTTTGTTGTAACAATTATGGTCAAGAGCAGGCGAAGGTGTTACTACTGGTAGCAGTTGTTAGCTGGCTATTCATATTTTTTTTGGAAATTGCAAATTCCCCTCATGGGCGTCGCCAGGATGGGTCAGGGGGGGGATGCCCCCCCCCCCCTAGGGAATAGCAAAAAAAAAGTCTGCAGGGGTGTCAATGTGGATGGGGAATGTAAATGTCCCCCCGCCCACCCTCGAAAAAAATGATAACTTGAGAATATGCTTTAAAAAGTACAAGGATTTGGGGAAAATGCACTTTGCACTGACACTTTCTGAGCAGCTGAGGGAAATGTTGTCCCAAGGGGGTAACAGGTGTGAGTTAGTTCTATGATGGTTAGACTTTGCTTCTAAGTCTGACGGGGAAAAATGACTCAACTCTCTCTATTCGCTCTTCCGTCCACAACTGCATGGAAAATGTGACCTCAGATGTGTAGATAAGTAAAGGTCCTTTCCGACTTCGTACCATTACATTTTCTTCCGTTTTAAGTTCGGGTGAGAATATTTCTAGTTTCTGTCTGGCGGTTATTAATAACATTGGCTTTGTTCAGAAACTTACAGCTTATATCTTAATTCATTAGTGACTAATGTTTCTTTGGTGGGTTGGGGGTAGAAGGGATAAGACGACAGATATTTCTCGCTCTTTCATCATTTTTTATTTTTCGACCCTAAAATTTGACATTTGGCTCCAAATCAACGGGTGAAATTTAATTTCAACAAAATAGGTATTTCCGTATATTTCTGTTAGTTCACAATGCTGTTATTTTTGTTGAATTAAATTGTTGGCAGGTCTATCTGGCGCTGCTGAAATTTCTTTGTATTGATTTTCCTTAGACCTCTAAGCTGGAAGCCTAACTTTCCTTGCGACTTCAAATTAAACAGGCTTGCCACGGACCTTAAGCTAAGACCAATCAACATATTATTTTTATACAACTTATACAGCAGGTTTGCTCCAGTAACGTGCAGAAAATAAATCTGTTTCTTCATTACCTCTGTCAACGAGGATATGTTTTCATTTGTTAGTTGGTTGGTTTGTCTTAACAAGATAATTCAACAAGGTATGGACAGATTTGCATGAAATTTTTGTAGGGGTGGTCCTTGGTACCAGTAGACATCCAGTAAATTTGGAAAGTGATCCGGATCTTGGTCTGGATCCAGGATTTGATCAAACAAAATCTTCACCATTTAAACGAGTGTTTCGTTTGGGTATACTGACAAGCATGTCAATAGATGGCGCCCTCCAACACTCGCGGTCATCGCACCTTGGTTGTTTCCCATCTGGGTATTTCTCACGCCCCATCCGAAGGGTCCCACATTGGCACAATTTGGCGGGGAATTGTTTAGCCTTGGCGGAGGTTTGCACTCTCTGGGTGCCTTCTAGTTCAATTAAAGCTTACTGAGATACAGCAGGTATCTTTCGCGCTTCCAACATTTCTACGTTTTTCCTCTTCGTAGCTTGAAATTTGACATATCGACACAAAATTAAAAGTTCTAAATCAACCAGTTAGTTTGAAGCTGAATACAGTCAGTATTAATCAAGTAATTTTACGGACAACAGCCATAGAAAACAGACGCAGCCTTCCCTTTTTTATCTACAGGTTCATTTATTATATAGCGCCCTCTGTATAGTTGTACCAAATACAAGTGAGTTGGAATGTAAAGGCTATGGTAGCAGATGGTGAGACGTGATTCAGATTGTCAAAATCAGTTCGTCGAAATCTCTACAAACTGTTTAAAATCAATAAAGTTGTTTTCCTTTAAAGGGACCTTTCTACTCGTCTGGGTCTAAATGACAATTGCTCAACTCAAATTGACGCTTTTCTGGGACAAAATTACGGTTTCTTGCCAACGGTTCACTTTTTCTAGATCAAATGGCCGGGAAATGTGACTCTGGAAGTGTCATCTTTACCCGGAAATGTGTCGGGTCAAATCCGACCCGGATGCAGTTCGAATCGGACCGAGGATTTTTTTAGTGTGCAGACCTATAAGTAAAGTGGATCTGATCGGATTCAATGTCGTGTCCAGGGCGTCTGTGCAGTCCCTTCCCTGGCTTTTGAGGACCTGATTTCAAGAGCGGTGCAGCCAAATTGATTTTGGAATGAATGTGAACAAATCAACAAATTTCGCTTTACAAAGAATTCTTCCAAATTTTGGCTCACGAGATGTACCATGGAGCACCAAGGATTTGGGAAATTGCACCAAGGCAAATGATAAAGGGCACCAAGGCAAATCATGGAGGACACCAATGTATAATGAGGACACAAAAAAGCAAAATAGTACCCACCTTGTCTGTACAATACAAGCTTGAAAAAAAAAAACACCAAATAAAAAATAAAAAACACCGCGTCGCCGCATCGATTCCGGAACTTCGGTCTGACCAGAGACCGACTATTTTTTTTTTGGCCTAATAACCAAACAACAAGTCGAGTAGAGTAATTAAGTAGATACAATTACACCGACATGCGGGTGAGCTTATAATTCTCCTCAAACCTACACACCACTGTCTTTAATATTTCTCCAACTAGCACCCAAGAAATCTCTCCGCAAAGAAGACTGGATTCCCAACCACAGACATGGAGTTCTGGTTCACCTCGAACACCTTCTTCCCTCGCAGGAAGAAAAACGAACCTTTAAAACAAAAAAAAGAATGATATTAAATCCATCACCATCGTATGACGATCGAAAAAAAGATACTGACAGGCAAGTGAGTTTCTAGCAGCAGTTGAATAAAGGTAGAGTGCGCTGCTTTGCTATCGATAAATGAATATGCATAATCATTATACTCTGGACACTAATTGGTCATTAATGGGTAAACTGCATTGCAGTATTAGGCAGCTAGTTTAAGAGCCTGTTGGCTGGTCAGACCCCATCGATTTCGTTGTGAAATAATGGACATGCATGACGTTTGGGCCTCCACCCTTCCAAATCCACACATACTTTCCAAGGGTTTTGTTTTTGTCGGATATGGTATACAGTACATGTACTACATTATTGCAAGGTCTAAGGGCCAATACAGGTTTCGTGATGACGTTTTACCGAATCATCAGTTAGTGACATTTGCACATTCAATATTAGTGCACTGGCGTATAACAAGCCATGAATCAAGCACTGTGACGGATGACAACAAAAAAGGACTCCTTTGATGACGATTTAACTGTTTCCCATGTATTGTACCAATAGCAAAATGTGTGACGGGTTTTGTACACTCAGAAGTTGAATGCGAATGCGGTTCAATCTGCAATTAATATAAAACCAAAAAATACAATAAGTCTCTAAAATTATGTCAAAATGTACCTGCATATAAATGAATCAATTACAATATGAACTAAATGAATTAAACTGACTGATTTGATCCCCAAACTCATGAAATTGTGTCTAGCGTGAATTATTTCCTCATTAAAAACTACATGTATGTGCCTTAGTACATCAATGTTTACATTAAAATTAATATCCAAGTCTCCAAAATTAACCTTGGTTGACAGTAATCCATATAAACTGATGAAACTGATGCGAGAATCATGTGTCACGTGCATTATTTTGTAAACGTGTATAAAACGTGCATCGCTAATTCTACCCAAATTTTATCCCCAAAAGTTGACCCCAAAATAACTATATCTAAAGACCATAATTATTAGCCCCCTTTATACACAATTATCTTTAACCCTTTATCTAAATCTCTAAACAATTATAAGTACTCACAACATTGGGCGTATCGAATAATGATGCAAAATCAAAGGAACCTTTTGACGGATTTCTACAAACTTGACAAAAATATGTGACAATACTGGCGCGCTGAGAGCGCCCTCTGTTGACCAAGAAAATTCTACGCCTATGACGTCACGAACGAACTGGAAAACTTTCCTACCCGCAACATCCCGGCCCCTTAAATGAGAATACTAAATTATGATCATTTACTAAAATTACACTGAACTATGTTGCTCCTTTAACTCGAACTATGAACTAGTTTCTAAAACTGCTACTTTAGTAATAACAAACATGAACATTTTAACATGTGGCTATAATACGCTGAACATTAACTGATCCATCATGGGGAAATCAACTGCAAATAGAAAAACTGCTTGTTTTACAACTTGACTCCAGATCTGATAGAAATACACGCATATTGTGCTTCATCTACTTAGAATTCCACTGTAACTTTCTCTTGAGCAGTAGCAAATTTCACAAGGAATTCAAACATACCATGCATAATCAAATCCAAACTATTTTCAGAGATTGGCAACACTGTCACATGCAATACAAATCACATACCTACGGTGTCTTGAAAAATGTTTTACCACAATCAGTAGAATTTCAAGATGAGATCCAATTTGGGCAGTAATCATATGCAGTAATAACAACAATTATAACACAATTAAGCAACATTTAAATGCAACTTGCATAAAATCTGAAAATCACTTGATTTGACAAACTTAAAGTGGCACTCTGATCATTGTCAATCATGGATACAAAATGTCTTGCAATGTTCTCGAAGATTGCGCAGTCCAACTCAGAAACGTTCGATTGTCCGAGATGACTGTTTCTCTCTTGACTTGTTCCGGTGCTCCACAGGTGTGCGATTCAGCCTGATACATGTAGGGTGGAGTGTGGCCAATTCAAAGGCTCACAAAAGAGGCGGCGCTAGGCTCGCACCTCTGTCATACTTCAATGCATGACATCATTTACATGTGTAAATTCCACAAATGACACACTGATACTCTCCTCTTGCCTACTCCGTACTCCAAAACTGGTGTAAAGCTCTCCAATATAAAGGTTGATACCTCATCTCTCCTTGGCTTCTGCAGACTCCATCAGACATAGCTTGTGGATGGGCCTGACGAGTGTGGTTGACCTTGTCTTTATTTTTGCTGATCGGACCAGCTTGTCTTCACCAGCGTAGATCTCGACGACTCTCCCCAAGGACCACTGGTTTCTCGGTTGATCCTCAACAATGAGAACGATGTCTCCGACCTCAATGTTCCGTACTGGCTCGTTCCACTTGCCTCTCTGCTGCAGTGTGGGTAGATATTCTCGTATCCATCTGCGCCAAAAGACATCCGCAAGATACTGCACATGTCGCCACCTTTTACGGCTGAACTGGTCTTGCTTCTGGAATATATCTACTGGCAATGCGCCGTTCTGACGCAACAGGAGAAGATGGTTTGGCGTCAAGGGTTCTGGATCTCTCGCGTCATCAGATACTACTGTAAGTGGGCGTCCGTTGATCACTGATTCAACCAAGCACATCATGGTTGATAGGCTTTCGTCATGCAGAGCTTGCTGCTTCATTACAGTGTTCAGAATTTTCCTGACTGTTCTGATCTGTCTCTCCCAGGGTCCTCCCATGTGGGACGCTGCCGGTGGGTTGAATTTCCATCTGATCCCCTTTTGAAGAAGATATTCATGGACCTGCTGCTTGTTCCATCGTTTGATCCCTTCCCTCAGCTCACGCTCAGCTCCGACAAAATTGGTGCCGTTGTCGCATCTGATCAGTTCTGGTTGACCGCGTCTGGCCATGAATCGCTGCAAGGCATTGAGAAAGGAGTCGGTCTCCATAGAATGCAGAACTTCGATGTGAACTGCTCTAATCGCCAAACAGGTAAAGATACAGCCGTATCTTTTCACTTGACTTCGGCCTTGCTTGACCAAAAATGGCCCAAAACAGTCTACTCCGACGTAGTTGAATGGTGGTTTCTCAGGGGTTACTCGGTCTTCAGGTAGATTGGCCATCTTCTGAATGCTGGGTGAAGCTGATCGGCGTTTGCACACAAAACAATCATGCAACACCTGTCGTACTGTGGTTCTTCCTCCGATCACCCAGTACCGCTGTCTCACCAATGACATAACATGCTCTCTCCCTGAGTGACCTGATACAGCATGAAAGTGTCTCACCAATAGCTCGACAATGTGATTCTTCTTTGGAAGGATGACAGGATGTTTTTCTTGTGTCTGCAGCTTGGAATTCTTCAATCTCCCTCCGACGCACATCACTCCTTCACTGTTGATTTTTGGGTCCAGTCTGTAGAGAGGACTGGATTTCTTCACAGGGTTGGCGGTTGTGTGCAGTGTCTGGTATTCATCTGTGTAGGCTTGTCGTTGAACGTGTCTGATGATTGCTTGTTCTGCCTTGTCAAGATCATCTACTGTTAGTGGCTTCTTCATGTCACTTGGCACACGTCCATTCTTGTTCTGCAAGTACTCTCTCACTCGCAAGATCCATGCTACAGCCTTCTTTAGCCTGTGCCACGATGAGTAGTGTTGGAGTAGTTTGTCTGTCGCCTTGTTCTCTTCGGAATCTACAGCAAATATCTGCACTTGCTCCTTGCTTTTCTTAAGCTCAGGATCACTCTGTCTTAGGGGTTCCATAACTTGTGGTTCCTTTGGCCAGTGTTCTTGTGGCATTAGGAGGAACTCTGGTCCTTGTAGCCACCTTGTGCTCTTCTTAAGCTCACCGGCTGACATCCCTCTTGATATGTCATCAGCAGGGTTTGACTTTGTGTCTACATAATGCCACTGACTTGCTTCTGATGCATTATGTATGGTAGCTATTCTGTTGGCTGCAAATGTGCGAAACCTCCCGTCTGTACTTCTAATGTACTGCAGCACAATGGTGCTATCTGTCCAGAATGTCGAGTGGATCGGTTCCTGTACATCTAACTCTCTCTTCACTGCAACATCAAGCTTAGCAGCAAGGGTCGCTGCTGCAAGCTCAAGACGAGGTATCGTCATTGTTTTTAATGGCGCTAGATGAGACTTGGCCATCACCAGACTGCTGTGTAGCTCACTGCTGGTGTTCTTCATGACAAGGTAGGACACTGCTCCATAAGCCTTCTCTGAGGCATCTGCAAAATGATGCAACTGGTATTCTGTCACTGTGCCAAAGCCATGTGGCTTCACACATCTGTTAACTTCAAACTCCTTCATCTCTGCTAGCTCTTCTGACGAACCTTGACATATTTGTCGGTGCTCTTCTGGCACTGGATCATCCCATCCCAGCTTCATTCTTGTCAGCTCCTGGAGTAGCAGTCTCGCTCTCAGGATGAACGGGTTGGCATATCCCAGGGGGTCATAGATTGATGACACAATGCTCAATAGCCCACGTCTCGTCAGGGGCTTGTCCTTAGGTGACAACTTGTATCCCAAACAGTCTCTTTCAACATCCCAGCTGACGCCCAAGGCTCTGTCAACAGGTAGAGCATCAAGGTTTAGGTCAAGACCCTTCAACTGCTTGGATCGTTCTTCAGTAGGGATGGACTTCAGGACACTTGGTTTGTTACTCAGCCACTTGGTCAATTTGAATCCGCCTCTTTGCAGCAGATTTCTCAGCTCGTCCGATAGATTCACAGCCTTCTCTTCAGACTCGACGGAAACCAGGCAGTCGTCAACATAGAAATTGCGCTTCACAATTTCTACAGCTTCAGGACTGAACTCGTCTTGGTTATCATCGGCTGTTTGGCGCAGTGCAAAATTGCAGCAACTGGGGCTCCAGGTCCCGCCGAACAGGTGCACACACATCCTATACACCTTTGGTTGTTGAGTCATGTCGCCAGATGGCCACCATAGGAACCTCAACACATCTCGTTCTTCCACTGGTACTCGAACTTGATGAAACATGGCCTCCACATCTGCCATGAAGGCGACTGGTCCCTGTCTGAATCTCAGCAAGACTCCGGTAAGTTTATTTGTCAGATCTGGCCCTTGCAGAACTTCATCATTGAGAGACACACCTCCGCTCTTAGCTGCACAATCGAAGACGATGCGTAGTTTGTCGGGTTTCATGGGGTGGAAAACTGGATGGTGAGGAAGATACCAGATAGCCTGATCTTCAGACTGACATTCTTGTTTCTCTACTTCCTCAGCATACCCCTTCTTAAGTAAGTCCTCGATGCCTTCTTGGTACTTACGACGGAGACTGTCATCTTTGCCAAGCTTTCTTGCAAGACTCTGCAACCTCTGTTCTGCTAACCACCGATTATTTGGCAGGCATGGAGGATGACGCTTGAATGGCACTGGTAACTGATAATGTCCTCCATCAATGCTTATTCCACCTTTCCACATCTTCAGAGCTCTTTGGTCGTTCACTGACATGCCTCTTTCATCATGTAGTGTATCGGATGCCTCCAGCTTCCAAAACTTATGAACCTGTTCTTCCAGGCCGATGTCTCCTTGAATGAAGGTAGAGGTAGCATGAGTGTTCTGCTCTGTTGTGCCGACTTTGTTCACTGGGCCATGTAGCGACCATCCCAATGCCGTTCGCACAGCATAGGGTCCGTCCTTTGCCTTTCCTCTTCTTATTTCGAGAGGCATCAGTGCTCTCGGAATATCTTGACCAATCAGGAGTCCAACTTCCTTCTCGCCTGCAAACGGTAGGTCAATACCCTGCAGGTAGGGTAGTCCAGCTATCTCTTCCATCTTGGCCATGTGGGTACTCTGAATGTTGATCTTGTGTTTGGTGAACACATTTGGCAACTCTATACGGTCTGTGGCTGGTCCCGAGTCCACAATCAAGCTCACTCTTGTGGTGTCTATCGAGCTGCCCATCTTGTCAAGTGTTGTCAGGTTGAGCCTTTGTTTGGCCCCTTCAACTCCAAGCTGTCGTGCCAAGTGTTCTGTACAGAATGTATTTGTCGAACCAGTGTCCAACAATGCATGGGTGCGGATGAAGACACTGCCGCCGGCAGCTTTCACTCGAACAGGGACAATGGGCAGCACGGTCCTGCCGGCCCCTGTGACGTTACTGCAACTTGCTTCAGCGGCTGAATCAATGTAGCCATTCTGTACCGGGGCATCTAGTGATGTGTTGGCTTGGGACGCTGCTTCTTCACGCTGCTGCATTGTCTGCGGGATGTGAAGGAATTTTGTATGTTTCCTTCCACAACCAGAAACAGTACATGTCCTGTTCAGCCTGCACGCTGATGTCATGTGACCTCTGCGCAGACAGTTGAAGCACAATCTCTCTTGCTTGGCATAACTCAGCCTGTCTTGTGGTGACTTTGCCTTGAACTGCTGGCAACCAAATAGGGTGTGTTCTCCCTTGCATAGAGAACACTCTCTGGTGACTACTCTCTCTGGTACAGATGCCACTGCAAAGGACCCTCTCTGTCTTGGCTGTGTGCGTCTTTTCTGAGGAACATCACGGCTTCTCTCCCAAGTAGATGTACCATACACAGGGTTATTCTCCTCTTCTGCTACATCATCTATGTAGGCCACAAGATCCTTCACCTTCGGCATTCGATCTTCCTTCCTTTCGAGGTCTCTGACCTTTCGGACCCATCGATAGCGCAAGTAGTTGGGCAAGCGCTCAACAATGTCTTTCAGAAAACTCTGGTGTGCCATCTCATTTTCGTAGCCCATAGCCTGGAGGGTTTCGTAGCAGACTTTCAGCTCATCTGCCATTTCTCTGATGGCTTTTCCATCATGGGGTGACACTGTTTGGCCTCGGGTGACTTTCTTCATCCATGCATCAGCAACTTTATATTTGTTTCCAAATCTCTCCTTCAACAAGGTTTTGGCTCGAGCATAACCTTGTGTCGACTCCATCACAGAGCATGCTTGAATCACTCTGCGTGCTTCCCCCTTGCAGTAATGAAGAAGTCTTGTCAGCTTGGCAGCGGTGCTTATTGTCGTGCTGTCTACATTCACCTCGAAAGCTCTCCAAAATTCCCAAAACTTGAGGGGATCTCCTTCGTAGCACATCAGCTCTGCTTTCGGTAACTGCAATGTCTCAATGGGGCTCTGCTGCTGTTGCTTTGATTGTCGCAACATCTCATTGATGGCTTCGGTAGGGGGTGGCATTTCTTGCGGCGTTGACGATTGATGATCTTCAATGGGGTATGGGACTGTGTCACCGCTTGTATCATCATCATGCGGTGATGGATCGGGCTGCGATGGGGAGTCTTCATCAGGGGGAGATGGTGTTGACTGAGATGGAGAAACTGGGGTTGTTTTCTCGTCATCGAACTGGGCATAAACTTTTGCCTCCGCTTCTGCACAGCTGAGCTTGGTTTTCATTTGAAGCTCAGTTCTCCTTTGGTGGAGCCTCAATTCCTGTAGCTCAAGCTCTTGTTGTTCTTTAAGAGCTTCAACTTCTGCTTGAAGTGCAGCACTCCTCACCATGGCCTCCATTCTGGCTCTCCTGCTGGATGAGGTGCTTGTCGTGTGGCTGCACTGACTGGCCGAATCTTCCGGCTTGACATCATCTTCATGACTTGGTGACGTAGTACTCATGTTGTCGATTTATGACGCTGTTATTGAACTTAATGTGACGGATGACAACAAAAAAGGACTCCTTTGATGACGATTTAACTGTTTCCCATGTATTGTACCAATAGCAAAATGTGTGACGGGTTTTGTACACTCAGAAGTTGAATGCGAATGCGGTTCAATCTGCAATTAATATAAAACCAAAAAATACAATAAGTCTCTAAAATTATGTCAAAATGTACCTGCATATAAATGAATCAATTACAATATGAACTAAATGAATTAAACTGACTGATTTGATCCCCAAACTCATGAAATTGTGTCTAGCGTGAATTATTTCCTCATTAAAAACTACATGTATGTGCCTTAGTACATCAATGTTTACATTAAAATTAATATCCAAGTCTCCAAAATTAACCTTGGTTGACAGTAATCCATATAAACTGATGAAACTGATGCGAGAATCATGTGTCACGTGCATTATTTTGTAAACGTGTATAAAACGTGCATCGCTAATTCTACCCAAATTTTATCCCCAAAAGTTGACCCCAAAATAACTATATCTAAAGACCATAATTATTAGCCCCCTTTATACACAATTATCTTTAACCCTTTATCTAAATCTCTAAACAATTATAAGTACTCACAACATTGGGCGTATCGAATAATGATGCAAAATCAAAGGAACCTTTTGACGGATTTCTACAAACTTGACAAAAATATGTGACAATACTGGCGCGCTGAGAGCGCCCTCTGTTGACCAAGAAAATTCTACGCCTATGACGTCACGAACGAACTGGAAAACTTTCCTACCCGCAACAAGCACTGTCAACTATACCGTCCAGCTCGAACTTTCACCATTTTGTAAACTGCATCCGCATTACTTGACTGCGGCTGGAAAGTGGCTTCTGCCTCTAATGGGCACATGTGTAATTGCGAGCCGTATAAGTTGGACGCGGACCAATACTCACCACCATGACGGAATGCAGAGGTGATCTTCGTTGGTAACCCGCCGAATACCGCATTGATACCCGAGGGCCTGTCTTGTACCAGCTGGGCTCCTTCCTCATCGTACTCGTACACGTCCGATGTCTTCGCTGCTATCAGGTACGTAATGCCGTAGCGTTCGTCGTGCACGGCAGCAGAGATCTTTTCCCGTATGCCGATGTCGTTATACAGGTTCAGGGGCCATCCGCGCAGACGCTGTCGATTGCCGTTGAATCGCCAGACCTTCTTGCCTAAGTGATGGATAAAACAAAGCAATACTTATCATGCTCGTACACTACAAAAGAAACCTGAGCTCAGAATGTTTGATAAAATATATCCAACAAGCGATATATAAGACTTGAAGGTTTGCATGGTGGAATGTTGATAGATATATGCAGTTTTGTGGTAACAATGCGCCCGGCAGAAGGGCATAGGCCTATGTGCATATGCCCTTATGCGATAACGCGTAATCACCAAAATGTTCCCAGCAAAAGGACATATGCAAAAAATGCCTCTATAAGTTCATGAAATTTTTTCGTCAGAAATTAATACAAGTTGCTCCAAAACTTATGATTCATACATGTAACAAATTTCAAATTCGTACGATTTATATTACGTGTGGGAGAACATTGGATTCATAATACGCGCGGGGGAACAATGGAACCTTTCAATGCAATTTTCTTGAATATGATTTTTGCGTCAGCACGCTCATATGCCCTTCTGCCGGGCACCCGACGTCATGTAGTTAAATCTCTTGTGAGTTTGTGTGACTCTGCAAAGAACCACTATGGCTGCTCGGTTACGAACACGTTCCTGGTTCGGCATTTTCTCGAGCCTGTGTTAACACGTTCCAGCATGGTCAGCACTTCGGCGGCACGAACATGTTGCTGGATAGGGTTGCGAAAACATGGTCCGTTAAGCCGTTCGAATTGCTTGGCTACGACTAGTAGAAATACAACTGTCTATGGTAAAGGGTTTAATTCAGCCGTTTCCGTAGGCGCATGCAAGCCGTAGCCAAGGAATTCAAGACACAGCCTTACCTCGAATCAAGGTGATGGTGTCCTGGTTCGAACCCAGCGTTCCGATCTGATACAACGCCTTGACTCCCTTTTTGACCAGTGAGTGGTAGTTCCTCAGCAGTTCACCGGAGGGCTCAGAGATAAGCTTGCCTTGCCGGTCGAAACGCCAGTACCTCTTACCCTGATTGGGAGCAACAAAGTGGAATTGAGGTCAAGAGGTTTAAGGTCAAAGTGAAAAATGACAAAAGAGCATTGACACATAGGATTTTGGTTTATAGCATGCAAGGCACACAGTGTCAGAATCAAGTGCTTCGGCCAGCAGTAGCACACGAGTCTATGGGAAGTAGCTGCAGCCGCTTGCCAGTGGCTTTCATAGGTGTGCGTGTAGTTTCCGGCCGTAGCCATGCGATTCGGACACAGCCCAGGTTGACTTCAAATACCGACGTAATTTTACCGTAACGGGAATACGCCAACTTGTGTAGGAGTTACAGCGTGAGCGACGTCATGTTCGTCGGGTTTATTCGTTTCCTGACTATGCTTATCCAGTCAAAAGTAATAAATAACCTCGGTGGACAAAAACAATCAAAGCTTCATCATTTTCAACATTTGGAATAATGCAAATTGATGACCATGATAAATTGTTGACCCCAGCTTCCGGTTCATCAATCATGCACTTTACTATTAGGTAAAGACGAACACGGGAGTCTGTGACTAGACAAGTCGGTGTGTGGTACCAAGACGTAAACATGTGAACTGGGGAGACTTATTACCTTGACAACATTCAGTTCTCCATTGATCATGGCCACCGAGTCGAAGGCGGTGTTACAGAGGAAGTCTGGGGTGGGGTTAACGTCTGGCGGTCCCGGCTGGTTGGGATCTATTTTGGCGGGAAACGGATAAGATTAAGTTGACTTTGTAAAACAGAATGAGGTACAAGTATTGTTGCTTAAAGTATAATGTACATAAATAAGAAACCTGAAAAGCGAAAACATGAAAGATTTTTTATCAGACTTGTAATCGAGTCAGTCACAAGTCACCACACGACATCACAGGTCAATTGCAGGTCACCAGTCCCTAGTCAAGTCACAAACTATCTTAATGAACTGTAAAAAGGGCGTTCCTTTGCCGTTGTTCGTCTCCTGTTACTTCTCACCTGACCTGTGAGTTGACTTTCTACTGATTTGTGATTGACTGGATAAACTCTGATTTTTATGACTCAGATATGCTCTGATTGATGGAAATAAAGTGTTCGATCACCGAGTTGAATCGTTATAAGGACAACAGCTGGAACGTACCTGCGATGTGTCAAAACGATCTGTGAGTTTATTTTTTTCTACGGAAAACTGACGATTCAAGTTCTTCTTTAGCACCGCCTCTCCTATTGACTTACACCGAAACATGCCACTGTTTAATCAACGCCATGATCTTCCCCTTCCGGCAGTTTTGTAGTACTCATACTCGGTACTCGTACTCGAGTACTACTCGAGTAATTGTTTGTTAGTGCTCGTACTCCTACTCGAATGTCAAAGTACTCGCACTCGAAATGACAGTACTCGTACTCGGGCAGCAAAGTACTCGACATGTCGAAATTGTACTCGATCATCAAAGTACTCGTACTCGAATAGCAGCACTCGATAAAAAAGGACTCGTACTCGAATAGCAGTACTTGATAAAACAAAGTACTCATACTCGAATAGCAGCATACTCGGGGGAATGGTATAGCTTGACTTTATCAATACTTTCAGTTTGAAATGGTTGATTGGCTTGTGGAGAAATGGAAGTTTCCTGATTTTCCTCTGTGCACGTCTGGACAAACACATTTATCAGCTAGCCGTCAGTGGGTCTGTATTTCGGATTGACTGGGCCGGCCAGGACCAATTACGCACAATGAACCATTTGCCATATGGCCGTATTCGGAAATACAAGTACTCGCACTCGTACTCGAAAGTACAAGTACATGTACTCGTACTCGGAGGTACAAGTACTCTTTCTCGTACTCTACTCGACGACCAAAGTACTCGGCAGTACTCGGTACTCGGAATAAAAGTACTCGACTACAACACTGCCTTCCGGTCGCACAGCTTTGAAGATAAATGTCTTGTAAGCTCACACCCTAGTTTCTCAACCTGGCACATTTCCATGATACGACTTTAATTGAGGGTGAGCTAGGGTTGTAAGTTTTATCGTATGAGCGGATCGTACCTAAAGTAACATCAAACAAAAAGTCCAAATCGGAATTATTTGAATTGAAAACTTATTGGTATACTTACCACATGTGAAGCCAGGATCTCTTGCCTCTGAAACCAATATCATATCATCGAGAAATACAGACGATTCATTCGTTTCAAGTTCTCCCTCTTCCCCTATTGGTCACTGTAACACAGGCACATAGCAAGTTCATTTGTCGTTTTATGCAAATTTAAAGACTCGGGTGCCCCTCCCCTCCCCCCCCCCCCCCCCCCCCCACACACACACACACACCCAAAAAAGAGAGAGGGTGATCGCTTACCGGCACACTGAGCTCCATGGAAGCCGTTGGGGCATTCACATTGACATCTGTTCCTGTTAAGTTTCCCACAGTTCTGGCAGGTTATCAGGCAAGCTAGAAAACAAACGATTAGTCATTGACAATATACTGAGCTTTGTCTGTCACTGGGTGTCCCATGGTCAGAAACCAAGTCTTCTTTTACAGCTACTAGAGCAACGAAATCTAATTAAAATACTGGTTCTAAATTTTTCAGTTTCAGTATTTCATTCAGAAATTGTGTACTTACAGCAGCCTGGTTCGTCTATGTTGCAAAGACCTGTAAACAATTAATGGGAAAGATTTGAAATAGTATAATCAGTGGCGTAAATCTTTCCCAACGAGTGCATGGGTGGGGGGATGGGGGATGACAAATACCCAAAAATTGCCCGGCCATAGAAATTTGAAAAGCATTAAACTAGGGGCGCTCTTCAGGATTTAGATGTTTTTAAATATGTATACTCGCCCTTACACCAAGTAGGCGCATTTTAAAAGCTTTTGTACTTTGTTTCTCTTCGTTTCAGTGCTATACATTTTGGTCGTTGGGATGTTGAAAAAATACCTCGAAATCCACATTTGTTTTCTCATCACAAAAAAAGGTGGGGGATGATTCAAAAGCCCATCCCCTGGTCAAAAAGTGGGGGGATTATAGCCCCATCCCCCACCACCGGGTTTACGCCCCTGGGTATAATCTTGATTATGCATTGTGCTTTTGAAAACTCGACATGATTTACATACAGATAAAAGACAATGTCACCAATGTGTCTTATTTTAAAAACTGGCAACTTTGTATTTTCCCCATTTAAGAAGGGACACAAAAGGGACCCTGCATGCAAACGAAGTCTAACAGTACAGTGAAATTGCTATTAAAATATTCGAGACCAAATCGAAGCAAAAGATACCCACTGATTTCCCATGGAATGTCAATGGTTCACTCACGGCATAGTCCGTTAAAACAGAAGGGGCTGTTAGTCGGGCAGTCAGTACACACATCACCAAGGTTGTACGGTTTCTGCCCATAGAAGTTACCTCTGTTGATTGCCAAGAGCAAATATGATTATAAAAAAAACCAGAAAAAAGCTCTTTCTAAAAAAAAACACCTGAAACCGAAACCTTTCGCAAATGTGTGTTAAACTTACATATGAACTCCAGTCCTCTTATTAGACTATTTTGCGAGATGGCTGACACAACAGGAGGGCGCTGTTTGATTTAGGTTTCGCTCGTACCCCCGCCCTGCAAACAGGACGCTGGGATACTCTGATGAATTCACCCTTTGATTGGTTGGATTTTGCGTGACCAGTGACCTGCGCGTCATCAAGGTCATGACTCTGCAAGGTTTGAAACGGCCGTTATAAGACTGTTTCATAACTCTCTTTTTTTCCAGTTTAAAGATGTTTTTCTCTCGTTGAAAAGAGTAATAATGTAGGAAATTCTGTAAAACTTATCTGTGTTGTAAATTTACAATTCCCGTCACTCGCTCAGGCTCCGTTCCGAATCACGAACGGTCGGATTGCATATGTGACGCTCAAAATTTGTCCACATGGTCCGCAATGAAACAGAAATCACATCCGGTATGGAATGTGCGCAATTCTATGGGAAGTTTTCGGATAGCATTTGCGCACATTGTCTAACCATAGTCTTGAACGGCTAGCTGCAGCCAGATGCTTTATACATAGGTCATAGGTCACTTCCTTCACAAGATTCTGTGAAGCTCATCAGAGTATCCCAGCGTCCTGTTTGCAGGGCGGGGGGTACAAGCGAAGATTTAGGTAAACTCTTTTGTATTTACCCAAACCAAATAGCGCCCTCATATTGTGTCCGCCATATATCTCAAATAGGCTAACAGCAGCAATGAAGCATAGCAAGTTTGAAACTTTGCTTATACTCAACCATGGCCTCGCTAATTTTCTTCTCGTCTGTGTAAAATTAATGTACTTACGCTGGGCCGTAGTTGCAGACGAAGTTCCATGCATCTCGGTAGCCGCTGATGTAACCACAGTAGGCCAGACCACACCCTATCTTGTCAGTCTCCGCCCACACCACCTATGACGCAATACAAATTAAAGCGATCATTCGAGTTGAGAATGTAACTCTTACGTCTTCACATGAAGACAAACGCATCTCAAACCAGTAACTTCAGTGGGTGTTCACATAGTCATCGCAAAGTGTCGAGGAATTTTCAAAGAGACGATTTACTATAACTGTCTGAAACCGGGAAATTACTGAGAATGTTGCAATGCATGCACCGACGGATCCTCAACGTTTTTGGTTTAGGTTAAGGGGTGTTTTTTTTGGGGGGGGAGGTTGATTGGGAGGGCACAATTTTAAGGACAAACCGTTGCAAACTCGAGAAACAGCGGCATGGGGTGGGGTGGGCCTCATTTGACACTAGGGGCGCTCTCCCCTTATTTATTTTCAGTTCTATTTCGTGAATGAGTTGATGGAACGCGAATGAGTAGACCACTGCATCGATTTAAGACGAGTCCTCTACACTTCTCTGGTTTAATCATTTGTTCCTAAATACTTTAGGCAGTTTACCCATTCTTATTGGTCGAGAGCCCGTCACGTGGCCGGTCTTAGACGGAAAAAGACCGGCTGGCTGGTCTTAAGCACTTTTCCAGCGTCACATGAAATTTGGACTCCTCTGAAATCCGGTGCCTTTTACCGTTTTATTGGTTGAACGATCATAATCATCAGTAGGCATGCGCAATACTACTAGAAACAGTATTTCATAGTCCTAAATTCACAATACACCGGCACGGCTGCATTCTGCGCCACATCGCGCAGTACGCGAGATGCGCGCGCCAATCGCCATATAAATAATTGTTTACGACTACTCGCGAGATAATTGTTTACGACTACTCGCGAGAGGAACATACCATAATATAGCTAGAGGGGTGTTTCGAAAAACATGAAGTAATTTTGTTGAACAAAATCGTTCGAAATTTATAATTTGGATTTGTTTCGACTTTTGACCGAAAAGTTTTCGGCTCGGGTAATTATCAGCACCCAGGCTCCAACCGGTCTTAAACAGAGTATTTAAAACCGGCCAAGCACACATTCCCTTATTTAAGAATCGGCATATGTTCGGTTAGGGATGGGGGATAGGGACGGAGGAATGGCCCCGTGTCCCCCTTAAGCTTGATCTGCCAGTGTATGAATGTCAATGACCTTTGATGAATTCATCATGATCATAACTTCTTTATACCTGTGTGTAATGGCCACAGACATCAGAGCATGCGCCGCTGTCGTAGTAGTAATACTTGATCTCATCGTGCCAGTCATCAGTGGCTATCACGCCGGAGATGGGCTTGTTGGGGTCGCCTGGCCGCAGCCACAGGTTCTGGCCCACCGACTCGTACGGGGAGATGTTCTCCCCGAAGCCGTGCTCGAAGACGCAGCGTTCGGCCCAGCGCTGGGCCATGGTGGCCAAGGTAGCATCCCAAGTCTACAGAGAAAAGGAAATTAAGAAGAAAAACTTTCCAGGCACTTCGACAAAAAAAGACCAGCGGAGAACCTGTTCGAGGAACTTCCATTGCAGAAAACAAAAATGGCAGTAGGTAAATCCAACAAAATTTAGTCAAAGTTGCGAGAGCTACTTTTTAGTAGGTGCATACTATGTTCCCCACTGTGTTCCCCAATCCCGATGTTCCCCAACCCTAACCCTAATCCCAAGGAATTCGGGGAACATCGGTATTGGGGAAAATAGGTATTGGGAACATCGGGTAGACCCCCTTTTGGGTATAATATAGGCCTTTTTAACATCTTGCACAACATACAGACGGATAGTCAAACATACAGTCAGGTTGACAGACAGATACGAAGTGACAGGCAACCTTACCATATGCTGCATGTCACTAGCCTTCCTGTTCTTCCTATGCTCGTTGTGCCTGTCCACCGTTCTCTGGATGTCCCGGGGAGTCATAGATGTCTCGCCGTCTCCCGTGTTCAGCTCGCCCGGCAGCAGCGGCCTGCCGGTCAGGTTGAAGAACGACAGGTTGGACAGGACGGCAGGCGGTCGCTTCGTCTTGGGCTTCTGGCAAAGCGCCGGAGTGGCGAGCAAGAGCACCAGTAAGGTGGCCCTCAGAACCCCGGTCCGTTGCATCTCTAGTCCTTTATCCTGATCTATAAAGGAGAAGTGCCATTTTTGAATTACCAATAGCCATGACATTAGCACTGAAACTGGTTCATAGTTTTCATCAATTACGGGTCAATGGTGTACTAGTCGAGTCCATCACAAGTACACCGCAAATCCGGCCACAAGTACGGTGAAATCTCGATAAGTCAAATTCTGATAACTCAGAACAACTGTTAAGTCAAACAAAGAATCCATTCCCTTCAGTAGTATAACAACGATATACTACCCTGCTTAAAGGGAAGGTACAACATTTGCAAACAGCAAAAAAACGAAATGATCAAATGATCACGAAATATCTTACTGGATTGTTAGGGAATGACAGTCCAAAGCATCCTGTAAAATCGTGGCTCCTGGTTTGCTAACCTTTTCAAGAAAACCTGTATTTTTCCAACGTTGGTCGGCCGACCAACGTTGGAGAAAACTGGCTTTTACAAAAAACTGCTCCTAACTGTTCATATTTAGTAATTCCGCCTTTTCTTTGCCATTGATTACACAGAGTAGCTTGTGACTGTGTTGTAAGCTTATTATGTGTTGTAGTCGAGGAATCACCCGTAACAGTGTTGTAGTTCTCCCACCCAAGTCCTCACGAGTGCATCACAAATAATCTAGTCTCAAGCCAAGTCACATCCTACTCGAATGAAGTGTGACAAAAGCATGCCACTGTTCACTCCCAGGTACTTGTGTAATAACTTGTGACTTGACGTTAGACTAGATCACTTGTGATGCTGCACTTTTGAGGACTTGTAATACACGCGACTACAACGCTGTTACGGTCGTAATAAGCTTGCAACACGTCCTGGCCGAGTTGGACCACAGTTCAGTCATTCAGTGCCTCAGTCAGTCAGATGACAGCAGGACGGCCCGTAGGCTCCAGGGGAAAAAAGGCCAACCAATTTGACTTAAAAAGTTGCCTAACCATTTAGTGGCTATAAGCATTTTGCTAAATTTGGCTAAGTATTTAGTGGGCCTATCAGCTCTTGGTGTCACTGAGTGGAAAATCCTGGATGGACATCAGGAATCTATAGTTAAATGCTGAAGCGGTCGATATGCATGCATTTCCCTACGCAGCGAAATTATCACCTCCACGTTCGATTACTGACGAATTTTTGTGTGTGCATTAATGCAGTCTTAAACAGCTGATCCATTGGAAGGATTTTTTTTCAAAACCAAATTCACTTCAGCGATTATAAATGTACAAAGTATACTTTCATAGTACCTTCCCAACTAATCCAAACAGAGAGTTCTCCCCTACAAGTGTGTAGGAACGATAGATCTGACGTCAAGCAAGGTCTGGCTGACTTCTGGTGCGTTTTGCCAAATGACAGAGCTTTTTATCACTTTGCGCAGATTTCTCCACGAGCATCAAAACAGACTAGTGACACTGAGTGCTGCTTCCCTGAAAATAAAAACACTTAAAAACAAAAACATCACGCGTGGGGTAGAACTGCGATTCGTGACGGTTTTGTTTCAAATTTATTACTTTCTTAAGAATGTTTAGGCGGGGCAGTGAGTAACATTCATTTAACTAAATAACAGTGTGAATTTTCAAGAAAGGATGGGGTGAATGAACCGGCCGAAAGTAGTTTCACCATAATTCGACGAAACTCCCCGATAGCGGTATCATGTGAAATCATTTTAGATCAACTCACATGACTCAGGGGCGGATCCAGGAATTTTTGCTTTGCGGAGGGGGGGGGCGGTTCATCAGCAAATCAATGCTGACATGTAGACATGTTCTTTTTTTCTCCGGACACTTGGCCTCCGTGAAATCAAGGGGGGGGGGGCTCGTACCATACTGTAATGGGGGCGCTGTTCATATCCAACGATCGTCAACACTATTATCACAGAATAGTGTACAAATACCCCCGTACTAGCTCAGCTGGAATTTTGTGTACAGGCGGATATTATTACTAGTATAATTTTCATTATTTTGGGGTGTCACAGCAGGGGGGGGGGTTCACATTATATTTAATGTATTACTATGAAAAATAATTGGGTCAGAGCTGGGGGGTTGACCCCCCCCCCCCCAAAAAAAAAAACCTCTGGATCCACGCCTGCATGTTTAAAAGTTTGCAAAAGATTAAAGGGAATGTAGTATGTACAACATTTCTATTTGCTGCAATTTTCAGAAATAAATGGATTTGGAGGATTAGGATGTTATACAAAATTATGTTAAACTGACTTGTTTCACGTTTTGGACTTGCAGGTGCTGGAGAAGCCAAGAAAACCAATCATGTTCTTGCAGTCCGGTTCCATGACCCCACTTAAGATGAAACGGATTAATTTATAGATTTTAGGGGATTTTAAGGTCAGTGAATCAGTCTAGCTGACCGTACCCCTTCACATGTGTGTAATTAATTGCAAAGAAAATTTGGAGCAGTTTTTGAAGAAAAAAAAGCCAAAGCTGGTCGGCGAACAGCGTTAGAAAAATACATTTTTTCTTGAAAATGTCAGCACATGTGGAGCCACGATTTTACAGAATGCTTTAGACTGTCAATCCCTAACAATCCAGTGAGGTTTTCGTGATAACTTGATCACTTCGTTGTTTTGATGTTTGCAAATGTTGTATCTTCCCTTTAAGAGTATATTTGTTTCCCTCCCTTTTTCCCGCAAGTTTCCTGGCAAACAAAATTTGAAACAGAATTAGGTCGGCCAAGGTTGCCTTTTCGAAACCACAATGTTTGTTCAGCATTGGAATGAGGATGCTCGACACAAGGAGGGACACAAGTGCCATTTTCTGTGAATTTCACGGGTGTTTCCTGCTTGTTATACCAGGCTCTTGTTGTTGCAAAACATGGGTGGAATTTTACTGAAGATATTTCGGAGGAAACAGACCCGAAGTCCGGTCTGCTGACGCAAATGCTTGCCGGAATTGTTTGGTAACCTTCCAAAAGTCTGGATTTTTCAGCGTCACTAACTTCGTTGAGTGATTTGCAGCAATCAATTCTCTGTATTAGATTTTCTTTAACAGTGTAAACAAGTTGGGTTTGACAATTGCTTGGATTGTCTATTTATCATCATTCCGTAGCTAGAAAATACACTCAACCCAAAAAGAAAGTCCCCGTAATACTTTTTGTCTAACTCAAAACTACTGGGCACATCTTGCTCAAATAACGACTAATCAGTATAAAAATTTCTTTAAATCAAGCCATACTCTCTGTTTTGCCGAAAACAGTGATAATGTGTACAAAATTATTCAATTTATGACAAGTGGTACCGAAAAAAAAGTTGCACTTTTGTAAACGTGCAAGGTGAGTGCATGTGAACCACAACATGCACGTATACAAACGTGCAACTGTTTCCAGTATCATTTGTCATAAATTGCACAAATTCGTACACATTTTCACCGTTTTGGGCCAAGAAAGAGTATGACTGGATTGCTAAGGAATTTCTGTACTGATTAGTTGTTTTTTGAGCGAGAGGTGCTCAGTAGTTTTTGAGTTAGACAAAAAAGTATTGGAAGGGGACTTTCTTTTTTGGTTGAGTGTAGGTGTTGAGTTGCACGTACAAACAACAGTTTGATGGACGAGCGTTTTTAGGGTACATGGTTGGCAACCATTCAGATTTGGGTGCATTTCAAGATAACGTATTCACTGTCGAAACTGGGTGTGCAAGCAGTTTCGTTGTAAGAGGAAGGTGGTGTTATTAAGACGTTAGTTAAATGTTATTACAAAGAAATACTAAAAGTCTTACTGAAACAATTAGCTACCTGTGTGTGCAGGAAAAAGTGCTTATCTCTGATCGGAAAATGTCATTATGAGTAAGAACACAAGGAAATGGGATAGGCAGGAGCAACGCGTCATGGGTGTGCTATTTCTACAAGAAATTTAATTAATGTTTCACTTGACCTTTGAAATGTATATGAAAGCATGAAATTTGATACAATTCCTTTGATAGTGATTGTTAAAGTCATTTTTCAAATCTTAACCCTAAAAAAGGCCGGGTTATTTTGACCATCTCTCAGCCGGGGGGGGGGGGCGGATTTCGCCCCCCCCCCTTAGATCTTGGTCATCGAGTGACGAAAAATTGTGAACCTCGGTACATTCATAGAACAACTCATCATGGACATACCCAAGAAATTTCATAACTATAAGTCAAACGGTTTTGGAATTATGACTAATTAATTATTCATATGTACGAATGGTAATTGTGCTCTGTGTAGGCCTACAAGATGTATATGGGAAAATTCAGTTTTCACGGCGCGTAGCGCCGGAAACGTTTTCGCTACCCGGCAACCCATGGTCCGATTTTTATGTTTTTGGTATTAAAAGATGTGCAAGGCTCGAGGCTAAAAAAGTCATAACAGTTCGGGTCGCGAAAAAAAAAATTCACGGCTATCGTGGAAAAGGTTGAGGGGTGGGGGCGGATTCCGCCCCGGCCCTTTTAAGTGCATTCAGCGAGATTGTTGTATCTATAAACCTAGTGTGTTTAGCATGCGAGCATGCCACAACTCAGTCAGTGTTTTTATGTTTAGATGCAAGCCTAACATTTCAATAAACATCGGTTTGAGTTTGAGACTTTACTGGGTGGATATTTTGATAATATTGGCGCTGATGTACGGCTGACATAATTGAGATGAACCGCATCGTGTTTTCCTAACGCTGTTGAAAAGCGTGTGGGCTAACGTATTGATTTTATGCATACATGTCCTTCATCGCCTTAGTAAATGATGACACTCCCTTCCCAAAGCTGACTGGTTTTCTATCCTTTAACCCAATCTGAGATACACTAACCATCCAGAGCAAACTTACAGCATTGATTGTCTTTGGGGGCCAAGTCTATATACAGAATATTTTCTAACATGTAAAAATGTTCACGGCTTTTGTTTTCGCATTGCAGTTTTCAACCCTTTGCATCGCTACTCGTTACACACCAGAAACTCAGAGCGCCCTCTCGTGATATGGATAAAAATGAGCCGCTGAACCTCCAACCTTGATTTCAACCTGCCAAGTTTTTGCTCCCCCCCCCCCCCGTTCTTATTCGTTCCGTTCTGGACGCCAAACCGCAGACCATTTTATAGTGACCCAGTTTTTATTTCAACCTACACGTGTAAATGTAGGCTGTGTTGAACTTTCGCTCCTCTTTCCGTCCTTGACAAGAATGGCAAACATTTTAGCAGTTAACGAATGATAGCCAACACAATAAAAAGCTGGACCAATTCATACCGTATGCATCACCAAAATATAGGTCTAGAAGTGAGTAGGAGGAGGCTAACCCCACCCACTCACCTTGTGATTTTGTCCTGCTAGATCTAGATCTTTTGAATTTCGGGTTGGGTTCATTTGCTATAATATGAGTGAACTGGTTGAAACTCGAGTATTGCCCATTTTTGTTCCGATACATAGCCTGTTTTAAATATGCATCTATCAAACTGTTGTTACTAAACCAACTCCTTTAACTACAAGAAACAGCTGTGAGCCAGAAAGCAAACAATACTAAAAAGGCTTTAATACTGAAACAATTAGTTACCTGTGTGCAGGAAAAAGTGCTTATCTCTGATCGGAAAATGTCATTATGGGTGAGGCAGCAGGGAAATGGGTTAGACGGGAGCAACACGTCATTGGCGTGCATTTCTACAACAGATTTAATGAATGTTTCACTTGACCTTTCAAATTTGGTGGAAAGCATGAAATTTGATACAATTGGTTTTCTCTTTGTGGATAAGTCATTTTTCATGACATGGCATCTCGTCCAAATTTTGCAACCATATACGCCTACAAACCCTTTCAATCTATGACGAGACATTTTCGATGGGTATTTTAGTTAACTTACGAAGCATATAGTCAAATCCTGCTTTTGTTGTCAGGAAGTAGAGCCCTGCCCAACACTTATGTGCGAAGTCATTGTTGTTGTTGTTATGTGTCATTCAGTTAAGATGGTGATGGCACGGTGAAATTGTATGAGTTCTGGTCTGTTTTTCAAATGGAACCGCTCCCTTGAGCGATCCCGTGTTATGCGTGCGCAATGTTGTCTACACTGTACTTCTTCAAGGAGTCCGAATTTTATGCCACACTGGGATATTTTGCTTACAATGAACCACTCTGATTCGGGGTTGGCCTATTGGGCGTGTCTTCGCCTCGTTGTTGTAATATGTCATGCTCAGCAGTCTCGCTATTTTCATTAAGAAAGGAGGAATTCAAAATGGCGGCTTTAGGCAAAGTTAAGGGATGGGGGAACTTTTCTGTGGGAGAAGCTGAATGAAATAATTATGTGTGTTATGTTCTACTTGCTTTGCAGAATGCATTGTAGTTGCAGCATGAGGCGATACTTTTCATTTGCAGTTTGGTAGGCCTACACACAGGGTGAGTCCAAAAAAAACGCAACCCAAACCCGCAAAAATACATTTCATATTTTAAAAAAAAACCTGTAGCACACAAAATAATAATGATTGGAAAGCCAATTTCAAAAGCTACTTTGAGATGAAAAATACTGAAATTGCCTAATCCGTTCAAAGAATATCACCATTTAAACGCAATGACCCTAAAACCTGTCTCGTCCAAAAAACAAACAAAATTATTGTGTGTTTTAACTGTTTGGAACAACAAAGAAAATGACACAGAATACTTGTTCCAACAACTGTCAACAACTGTAGTACACAATATTTTTATTGACAACCCTGGTTAGGCAAACAATAACAGACGGGCCTTCAAAAGGACTTTGTTGAATATTTTTAACTTTTAAACTAAGGTTTTATCACTGGTGATGTTTGAAGACATTGTGATGACGTTTCTTGAAATCGTATGTTTTAGGCCCATTAGACCGTTACTAAATCATAAAGCCTACTTACCACGGAGAACTGCAAAGATACTGACCGTGCTTTCAGACCGCATGCACCGAGGGTTGGACCGGAATATTGCGGTTGCTGTCACCTCAAGTTGCACCGATAAACACAGCAGGCTTGATCGATCCACTACACAGCGATACCTGGAGGAGTTTTGAACTTCACTGACTAAGGAAGCTGTGTCGGAACCACGTGAACTCGCACCCGTGCAATTACAAGTGACCCCTACCCGATTTCCGTCGGTAAGATTTTACACACTGCGCTATCGGGCGGCGGATCGGCATCCACAACTGCCAGGAAGGCAAATTTTCTGCAGCCAGCTATAGTCACTTACCATAAAACCCATCTGGTGCTTAAAATAATACATCACGTGATTGAGATGCTTTTATAAGGTTTTGATTTCGCGTGGACCTCATCAGGGCCTAGTTGCTGGTGTTTTTGACAAGCCTTTATTGGAAACCGTAGGCGTAGGTTCGAGTCTCAGCAACCTCATTTTTTCCCTTTTTCCTCCCATACTTAGAATTTCTTTCTTTTATCTCGTTTAAGCAGGCCTTACTCTGAAACGATCTCAAAAACTTCACTTTTTTATGGAGGATTTATTTGAAGGGGCGTTACGTCCAAGACCGTTCCGTTCGACGCATGCGCAGTATAGCCCGTGACTATACTCGGTTGCAGAAAAAAATGCTCCCAGGACAAGGGTTCACTATTGTGGAAACGAGGTTGGATGCCAGGGTCAGGGAATTAGATCAGTGAGGTCACGTGCACAATAATAACACGTTTGCACCCAAATACTCGAGGCCCCGATCATGAAGTTAGCAGCATTGCGTCTTCCGATGGCGGATGTACAAAACAGTTTATGTGATTCGGCAGATGCAACTTCAATGCATGAAGGATCATTTTGCTTTCATGCAATTGTTTCCAATAATAACACCACTCAAAATCCAAAGAAGAATGCTCGAAACCTAAACTGTTGAAGTTTCGGCTCTGTGGATAGTACACTTTTCGAGAAAACAGTTTAAAAAAAATCATGTACAACCTTTGATCGCGAAACACGATTTCGCCAATAGTGTTCATTATATCCAAAACAAAATCTGTCAAATTGTCTGATCGTTGGAAATCAGCTACATTTCTTCATTTAATGACAGCAAGCCCGACGGAAGTTTCAGGGGTGGAATAGCACCATCTCCCGTCGCAGCCAGAAGGCACCGTGGGCAGATTTACATTAAAACAAAATTAAAATAGTAAAAATCGGGAGGTTATATACTTTTGGGATCAATAAAAATGATCCTATAATGCCTTTAAGGGTCCATGCAATGATTTTTTTTCTTAGGAACTTATTCTGTGCAACTTTTTCCTATTGTTAATCGTATGAAAACTATTTTACATCACTTTTATTTGTTAATTTCATTGAAAAGTTCACTTCTTTCAACATTCAAAATTGTCCATGCTTTTCCGGACAACTGAGTGCGCTGTTGCTGTGATGTCATTTCAGGAAGACACTGTTCAGTTTAGGGGTTTTGTGTTCAAATTTTGAACCCAAACATTTTCTTATTGAAGACATTGTGAGAAAAGTTTGCTCATTGGCTTACTGTCATGTCCTGAAACAACAACGAATCACCAAAGAAGGGAAAAAAACATTTAGAACATCAAAATATCAAAACTTTTGGCAAATTTTGGTGCTGAAATAGCTGTTACATTGAGGTTTCTGCCTGAAATGACATCACACTCTTGCTCATGAATATGGAAATTCACATTTAGCATAAAAACCAAAAATGCACCAAAATGCCCTTAAAAATGTCAACATTGAAAATAAGGTTAAATGGGACACAAATGTGCATTTGCAAGGATTTCATCAGAAAAATCACATTACATGGACCTTTAATATTCCACGTTGACGTTACCGTCCGTGAGTTTGCGCGATTGAGTGTTTCCTATGCGCGATAAATAGAAGATGTACGGTTAAAATACTCCGCGTCGAAAATCTGTAAAGAACACAGTCATATGCGAGAATTTGTCGATTGGAATGGACTCCCTTAATTTAATAGTATTGGACAATTGTTGGGTAAACATTCCGTACCTTGGCCCTTTTAAGGTGAGAAAATCCTAAAGACGTCTTCACAGGTGGTTATACAAGCAACTGTCAAGCTGCGCCAAACGTGTTACCATGGTAATGATTTTCAGCTCACTTGAAGTATATGTTGTGGACGTGGTCTGCGTTACCAGGAAATTACCGGGGATCCAGGGGTCTGAGGCGTGAACTTGTGATCCGTGGCTCAAAGTACAAAGACTTTTAGGGACAAGGGCACTGTTCTTTTGCATGACTTAAGTTCAAAAAAGTACAAGGGCAACGTCTGAGCTCGAGGTTAGATAAAGTTTACAAAGGTTCAACTTTTATTCTTTCCTGAGAAGGCATAACTAAGCACTTTAACATATGTGAGCCATCCGCAAGTGTCTTCTTCCTGTTGTATGCGACAGGTGTTTTTCTGTGGTTTTGTAAAGTGTGTTACCTTTATGTGTCAACTTAATGACAGCGGCTTAATGTATATATGATTGAATTCATTGATTGAGTCACGAATTCCTTTTTAGAAATTACACACCTTGAATAGTTTTCGCTGTTGATGTTGCGTTTTAATTTTGTAATCGATTAAATCACAAGTCAAATCGCATGACAATCAATCGTTTTATTCACTCTTAAAGTCTCTTGAAGAACGCCTGCATTTCTCCTTGTTTTTATCAACACAAATTCAAAAAGTTAGTTTTATTCATGGACTGCACAAAGGTATTTGCAGTCAACCAGGGAATTCCAAAATTGTATCGCCGCACTCAAACATTTGTTTGAATTCGTAGGAAAATAAGTTTCAAAGCTCCTCCTTTTGCGACAATTTCAATCGCGATATTTGGCTTCCATGTTGGAATTGTTCATTATTCTGTCGTTTATTCTGGCTGACAGCCAAAATACTCTACAAGAAAATCTTTCGGATAGTCGGGGTCCAGCTGGTCCTGCCCATTCGGGAACCGGTAGTACTGCCTCCCAACAAGAAGATATCGATCACCTGAAATAACAACACAAACATTTGCGGTTTTTAAACCTACATGTTTATACGTTTTTGTCATTTTGTCCTTTTTCTTCAAGATTTGGTACTTGTACATTCGGAAACTATAGTAATAATTCAAAAGTATGAGGAAATGGAGGAGGAAAAAAGTTAAATAAATAGGAAAGTTGTTGACAAAAGTTGCGGCCACTCTCAAATTGAGTTCAATAGATGGCGCTCTTTGGGTAAACACACATGAAGCTATTTGTACCATACCTTGTTCATCGGTGAATGCTGCCTGCACTCGACTCTTTTTAGGCAGTCCATCGAACACCTTGTGTACACCCATCGGGAAACCGTCCACGAGACTCTGGCTTTGTTCGTCGTATTTCCAAACCTTCAAAATTGGTAATTTGAAACTTACTAATTAAATTTTGATTGAATTAGTTACTTATTCAATCGAAAGTTGATAAAATGTTCAAAACATGTTATGCCGGGGCCACCGTATTATTATTATATTTTAACTGCGGTGTCCAAGGTACGACATCAAATATTGACTGCAGTTTACAATGCTAAACCATCGGGTTGCAGACCAGTAAATCGGTCCGAAATTGCTTACGCCAGCCAAATCACGATTTCCATGCCCTCAAAATCTTCAGTATTTGAGCATGCTGTGGGCCATGAACTTGAGGGTTTGCAAGAAATATGAGTGGAAGCCGTGCACAGGGCTGTGAGCTTGTAGATCCGTTCAATTTGGATGAAATTGGGGCCCTTAAAGCGCTCTATTTTGCAATGGAGTGTAGGCATCGTTTTTCAAAATGGCGATGGGCTTCAGGGCTATTTTCAGGGGTGATCATTTTCGGATGGAAATTTCTCCTAAAAGTCATCAGTTGACCCCCAAAAATTGAAAAGAGAATGAAAGATGATGAAATAAGCTTTAATTTGATGTGTGTCTCGAACACCTTGGAGAGTTGTGAGTATTTTTCCCGAATTTCTGAAGGGGGAGCATTTACCATTGGGGTCTATGGAAGTTTATTTACTGGTCTGGAACCATCGAACTTCTTATTTGGCGAGCCATTTTGTTATTGGCTGGTAACCGACTCACCTTTGAATACTTGAAGAAATATGTGTGTCGCTGGTCCCGGTCATGCATGACTGCAGTGGGCGATTTGGGCACGCCCCCCAGATTTGCCATCTTGTGTGCTTTGGCTTGGTCTTTGCTCGTGGCGTCATATATCCAGTAGTTCCTGCCTATATAGGAGAGATTATTAAACCATTCGGAACATGTGAAAGTACATGTGGTAGTAAAAGGGGACAATGTATGCCCTTAGTGACATGGGGGCTGCCCGATAGTCCGAAGGTCCGATAATCCGAAGTTCTGTAGTCCGAAGGTTCGATAGTCCGAATGCGCAAAGACGGGTTCGTTGGTCCGAAAATGAAATAAGGTTCGTTAATCCGAACATTTCAGGCCAAAGTCCGAAGATTTATTACTCCGACGGTTCATTAGTCCGAAGTTTCATTACTCCGAAGGTTCGGTTGTCCGAAACGAAAACAAGGTTCACTAGTCCGAAGGTTCATTATTCCGAATTGAAAATAAGGTCCGATAGTCCGAATCGGCAATGAGGTCCGATAGTGTCAATTCCTTTTGTAAATTCGGACTATCGAACCTTATTGTCCACTCGGACTATCGAACCTTATCGTCCATTCGGACTATCGGACCATATTGTCGATTCGGACTATCGAACCCTACCGTATATTCGGACTATCGAACCTTCGGATTAATTAACCTTTTTCTATTTTCGGACTAATGGGCCCTTCGGACTATCGAACCTTCGGACTATCGAATCTTCCTATTGCACCTTCGGACTAACGAACCTTCGGACTAATGACCCTTCGGACTAAAGAACCTTCGGACTATCGGGCTGTAACCAGTGAACTAACCAGGTGACAATAATAAAATCTGAGTTGAGGATTTTCAAAAAAAAATTCAGCCAAATATACCTCTCAAGAACACCAGTTTGCCATCCCATCGTGTGTAGACCGCTGTAGTTCCCGCATTCAGTCGCTCAAAGTAGTCCCTGCTCACGGTCCCTTCTACCGGGCCAACTATGTCCTTAGTCTCAGAGAACCTCCAGAATTTATTGCCCTGCCAAAATACAGTTGAGTGACAACAACATTTAAAACAGTCCGTGTATTGGTGTCAGGCCACAAACATGAATACAACATGCTAAAAGCAAAAGATAAACCGATTGAAAGATCTAGGATTGATTAGCAACTTAACGTACCTATCCATTAGGCCAAAAAAAAAGTCTCCGGTTTCTGGTATGGAGCTTGCCCCAAAAGTGGTGCGGCGACGCGGCTTTTTTTTTTTTTTTACCTGTTTTTTTTTTTTTTTTGGCTTCAAATGTCGGCTGATGACTGCAAATGGTGCCCGACTAAACTTAGTGCAAATATATGGGAGTCCAAAGAGGCCACATAAAGCTTATTCTCGATCATAACCCATCTAAAAACACGTTAAAATTGTGCAGCAGCAGAATTCCAGTCGAACCAGTGAGTTTGGCGGTTTTGAGACATCATCTTGTATTGAAAAAAAAACTTTTTCATTTTGCCGACGCGCATGGCTACGGCGACGCGCGCGCATACCAGAAACCGGAGACTTTTTTTTTTGGCCTTAGGCCGCGCCGGCCGGCCTACTATGTTATAAGTGGTCGAAATACTACAGGTTGGGGGTTTGAGTACCACAAATTTTAGGTTTTTCTTTTCTTTTTCCCAGAAGTGAAGTTTCTTTCCTAAATTGTTTTAAATCCAGTCCTAATGATCGATGGAATAAAGTTCACTTTTTCTGATTCATGGCTCTGGAGGATTATTTTTTTTTAAGGGAAAGTAAGTCCGAGAGCTACTTGCCGTTACCAACTGACGCATGCGCATTATGGTAATTGACCATACTTGGTTGCATAAAAAAAAAGTAATTGCGCATACGGTTTTTCATAATGTCTTTGGATCGAGTCCAACTCGGGTAAGTGGAGCTGTTGTCTCACGAACTCTCAAAACGTACTTTAAGACTCCATACACAAGAGGGGCAAGCCTGTAAATCTAACCTTCGATAACTTATTTTAAAAGTTGAACAAAGAAATAGACTACAGCGGGGATTGAACCTGCGACCTCTGGATTGTCGTTCCGGTGCTCTTTGATAACTTACTGAGAATACGTGTAGGACACTGTCGACCATGGTGAGACTATCGACGCCTCGACGGCAGACTTCGTGCTCCGAACGCGTGTCTTGTCCGGTTGTTACACCGTCATTGGAAGGAGCGTCGGGATTCTTTCCTTTAAAAAAAACCGCAACAAAAACACTACAAAATGGAAAAAAATAACCAAGAGAGAACCAACAACGAGAGGACAATACAAGTTAACAAACAGATCTACATATATAAGTGAGATCGTGATTATTCTTCGATTATAGAGTAAGCAACCATATTGAAAAAGACAAAAATGAGTAGAATTGAAAAAAAAAATAATACATGGTTTGACCATGAACAGTAGTTTTCTGAGTATCACCCGTTGTCCAACGGAGCCCCTTCTGTCTCCAATCCAATGCAAATTTATGCGACCCCGCGCCAGCCAATCGGAGTCGACATGGCGTCATTTCATTCCGAAATCTGTACCAAGCTGTTGATTGGTCGATTTGGATGGCATGTCTTTGTGATGGGCAGATTGTACATTTGGGTGATTTGTTTCCTCCGGGGTCTAATAAAAGCCGACATAACTTTCCAAACGGTTAACCGAAGACCAGACAAAGAAGGCGCCCGCTGAATGGTCATGCAGAATCTCGATGTCAAGACGCAGTCTTGTTTTTGCATATGACAAAAATTTACCTTTTATAACATATCCATTTGTTAGCGCAAACTGTATGTAACTTTACTGAATACTTCTGATCTCATTGAAAATGATCTATTCATAAAAATGCCAAATCAGTATGAACAGTACAACCTGGAGAAGAGTTGGATATTTACCGTATAAGAGTTGAATACCATACGTGTCATCCTCAGGCAACACAAAGTCAGGTATGTACCCCTTGTCGTACGGGAACATCAGCGAGGATCGGTCTGTGGCGTGTGCCATGCCTAAAGCGTGACCGATCTCATGGGCCACTGTGAAGAAATAATCAGTCCCTGTATTGCAGAAGAAAGAATAAAAATCAAACTTTGGAACGGTAAGAGAAAGTAAAAATGTTTTTAGAGAGCTGAAAGTTAAACTATATTAGAGAGCAATATGTATAGTCTATCTCTAACCGTTGGATACAGACTACCATATTGAACTGATCCGTTTTGTGCCGTGCTACAACATATTAAGGAATAACCCCACCTTTGAATTCATATGGAGACTGTACCGTGCTGAAACCCCGCTGGTGGTTGGCTATCTAGCGATACCAAATTAGTCAAAGATTTTAAGCAACATTTCTCGTTTTGCCCAAGCGTTCCAATGGTTTCTGTTGACGACCGAAAACATTTGTTCACACTTCCGTTGAATGTGATCTTGCCAAAAGGTGAGATCCACTGTCCTTTGGTTTGAACTCTTTCTTCTTGTCATTCAAATTAAAAGCAGTATTATAACCGAAAGGTGCGCTGCAGATTTTCGTCATTCGACGAGTTGAATTAATTTTCAGGGATAATGCCCAACCTTCGGCGGTAAACTCGCGGTGTGTGAACGTCTCCGAGTCGTCTAGGTGCACGTCCCCGTTAGCCTCTCCCCAGCCGCTGTTTGGGAAGAAGGCGTGGGCCAGGGTGCCACCCGGTCCATCAAAGGTCGGGTCACGGGCGAGGTCAGTGTGGTGATAGGAACCAAATAAGATCTCCATATCAGCTATCTCATCCACGCTGACCTGAAAGAAAAGAAATTCGGTGAAAGTGAAAAGGGGCAGTGTCAGTTCTCTATATATCCTATACGATAAATCATCCAGTTTCGAGTTAAAGGCATCTAGGATCATTTGCATTTACCCCAAAGGTAATTATCGTACCGAATTATTGTGTAAATGGTCCGTGCTTGGATCAAAGATCGTACTGGTACAAAACACCAAGAGAATTATTCCGTCTAACTTGCTGTCATTTAGAGGATTCCGTCTAACTTGCTGTCATTTAGAGATCAAAAAATGTAGGTGATTTCCAATGGTCAGTTATTTCCAAAAAACAATCGCATTGGTAAACCACGTTTGAACATTCATGACTTTTCTAAAAGGTGGCTGTTGTTTGTTTTTCTTTTACCAAAAAAATCAGATAAAGCACATCTATTCAAAATGGAGGGAAAATTAACAATACACGAACATGTGTTGGATTGACTTGCTAACTACAAGAAAACACACAAGCCGGCGTGGTGTGAAATTTGCACTCTTTAAAATACGGCTTCATTGTTTGTACTGCGCATGCACAAATGAACATGATTTGGAAAGTGACAGGTCACGTGTGAGTTAGAGTCCATATAAGGTATTTGAGACCAAAGTGTATAGGAGTCAGTATTTCATATGACACCGACACGTTAAAGGTTAACAGCCTTACTTTAGTAAATGTCAGGGGTGTGACGTCACTCCAGACTTTCAAGGCTCTCGCAGTATCCTCTCGCACCTGAACTTTGGTGAGCAGGGATCGGGAATCATCTGGGTAGTTGGTAATCCTGCGTCAAAGAATGCCATATTATGCAGAAAAAAAAGGAATGGTCCTAACGTTAGCCTTGAGATCAAGTCTATACTTTTGCCTTTACGCTTGTAAGTTACACAACCCTAACCTTCCCAAATCCTCCAAAATCATCTTTGCACAATGGAGGATTTTGCAGGATTGAGGCTACATGGCAAAAACGTATAGCCGATTTTGGAGGATGCACCGTGTCAAGGTCTTTAGGCCGGACCATGTGATGTTTATGCTCAGCGTGTATAAATGTAGGTCTAGATTATTCTTGAAATCCTCCGCACTGCTCCAGGACGTCACTGGCTCTGCCTCAACATATTGACAGTGATTACTGGAGGATTCTTCAGGATTGAGGCAGTGTTCACCCCTCCAAGGACCACATTCAAGAAATAACGGATGATCTTGAAGGATTGAGGCAGTGGTCACCCCTCCGAGGACCACATTCAAGAAATAACGGACGATTTTGCAGGATTGAGGCTGTATGTTATTTATTTTATGGAAGCAGTTGGAGGATTTTGCAGGATTGAGGTAGCATCCTAGCAAAAATGCCAAGGGAGTAAGGATTTGATTATTTTTCGAGAACTTTTCTTCCGTTGACTATCTTTAATTACTCTATTCTTCACTCTTTGCATAACATGAAATATTTCAATCGCGATTTAAAGGGGTAAAATTGGATTATTCCTGCAATCTTTTTAAACCAAAAAGATGATATCCGTACTTGTAGGTGATGTCATTCTTATCCCACTTGAAGTTGAGTCCCGCCACAACATATCTCTTCTTGCGTCTATTCCCGCTCTCTGCCGACGCGTAGTACTCGATCCTCGTATCCTTCAATAGATTCAAAGTGTCATGAATAAGGTATATTCATTGGCGTCACGGAGTCATCCTATATGATAGCACTGTCCGCTTCACAAGTGACAGTCGATGAGTCAGTCTGTCAGTCAGTCAGTCAAATATGACTATCGGCTGCCCTCTGGGACAGTGAAAAAGACAATTCAAATTTGTACTAACTGAGAAAAAAATCGTTTGCTCAAGATTTTCTGTGCCAAAATTTTGTAAGTAGAAGATTTTTCTCAAAAGAGTCCAAGCTGTCGACCTCACTACCTTTAATTCCTCCGGTTCATCGTGGCATCCACAGCGGGCCGTGTTCATCATCCTGACCGTGGGCTGGTCCAGTATGCCGGTCTGGTTCACCGCGGCGTACCGCTGCATTTTCCGGATGGCCGTGGACATCTCCGTCACGTTCATCTGCTCCGGGGAGGTCTCACCCTTCTCCGGGGAGATGTACCCATAGGTGGCAAGGAAACGCTGTTTTGGGTCGGTAAAGGCAACTAGACATTTCACTAAACTCGATGCGAAAATCCCAGCCACTCAACCATCTACCTTTAACTTAGACCCCTGTCTTTCCAAAGTGTCTAAGTTCATTTTCAAGTTGCTTGTATTAACTAGAACGGCGAAGCCGCCTTGGCTCGCTGCCGAAGGCGGGAAGGAAGGCTGAAGTAAGGGGTTGGAGATGGGCATAATGGAAGGGGGTCCAGGATTCAGGAAGCTGTGCCAAAGCGTAGGGGTCATTTTTCATGCCACCGTAAAAGTCAACAAAAGCCCTTTGAATATGTACATGTACCACATCACCACACTTCCCCAACCCCCAACCTTTCCACCATACCTCACCCCAACCTCTCCCTAACCCCCCCCCCAACCCCCCCCCCCCCCCCCACTAACTAAAAGATCGAAGTAACTAAAAGATCAAATGCCCTTACATGCAAGTACTAAGTACATGTAAGTACTTAGTACATGTACCACATCACCACGTTCCCCCTCCCCCCTCGCCCCCTCCCCCCTCCCCCCCCCCCCCCCCCCCTCCCCCTCCCCCCCCCTCCCCCCTCCCCCCCACCCCCTCCCCCCCCCCCACGCACACACACTCTCTCACATATAAGTTCCCCTGCAAATGTTACGTTTATGCTACTGTATCACACTAAAAAAACAATAATGTAAGTGAGCCAACTTACTGCAGCCTTTACAAGCGTGGAGATATCGCTAGGGTCCTCCAGCATATCCAAGAAGGTTGGTGCCGACTCATGCCCACGGGAAATTGCTAGCATCGCCTGTAGCAATGCCACGGCCAAGACACTTCCTCTAAACGACATTATTCCGTAGTAGACTTGCAACGAATCTAATTTCGAAACAATGCCAGAAAGTCAGAAACCGTCCCCTGTTTACGGGATGAATGTGTACCGATAAAAACACACACTAGTCCTGTACGGTCTGACTTAGATCAGGAATTAAACCTGCTGGAAATTGTGTGGTTCTGTAAAACATGACAACAATAATAACCAGCATATGCTTTGTTATGGTTCTCTTATTTTCAGGCATTGGACCGAACGATCTGTTTTACCGATGTGTTTTTCTTAGTCGGCCTTCAACCGGCAAACGTGACCTTGCACCAGGTCACGGTCACCTAATATTGGCACGGAAAATCTTTGTTGTACTCAACAAAGCAAAGCAAAGTAACATTTGACTATATATTTGGACACGGTTGGTTGCAAAAAGTTATAAAGAACGACACTTTGAATGGGTGCCGTCAATTCGCAACAATGTTAACCGTATTTGGGCAATAGCTATGCCGTCATAAAAATACATTCACGCCTAAAGAATTTAAGGGGAAATAACCTCAGTGTTTTTTAAAGTTATTTTGTTTTTTGATTTAAGCAATGACGGTCAACCGTAGTTTGCAAACCACCATAGTTTGCCTACAAGATCAGTTATCAAACTACGACCGCTTCTTCGTACCATCCTTAAGATGTACAAAACGTATGACAACCTTCTTTAGGATAAAGGAATTTAAATGGGACTCAAAGTTACTGGATCAGATATAGCAATAATGTACCGGCTAAATTCACAATTTTTTTCACAAGTTCCAAAATCATATATATTTCCTTTCTATTCATAAAAAAAATCTATCATCCATTTAATTCACAGAATACCATGACAATTAAGCCATCATAATTAAAGGACCCATAGGCAATATAATTTTGGTTAATACAATCCTTGAAAACACACCTGTGTGTCCCATTTCCCCTATTTTCAATTGTCGTTCTGCTATTTTCAACGATATTCCGGGACTTCTTTTTGTTTTTGTGCTAATGCACATTTCCATATTCATGAGCAAAAGTGTAATGTCATTTCAGGCAGAAACCTCAATATTACAGGTATTTAAGCACCAAAAGTTGCCCGAATTTTGGATCTTTGGCTGTCGTTAGTTGTCTTTTTCTTTGGTGATCCATTATTGTGTCAGTACATGGCAGTAAACCGATGAGCAAATCTTTGTCACAATTCAATGAGCAAATTTCGGGTTCACAATTTGAACAGAAACCCCCTAAAAAGGAACAGTATATCTTCCTAAAATGACGTCACAGCAACAGCGCCCTCAGTTGTCCAAAAATGGAAAGTTTTTCAATATTTAAAATAAGTGCACTTTTCAATAAAATTAACCAAAAATTATATCAACTAGTCTTCATAAACCGCTCAAAATACGTGCCTATTTAATAAAGATTCACTTCAGAAGCTCTTCAAGAAGTCCATGCTGCTCCATAAGATTTAAACTATTTCTTTGGAATATGATTTTTAGTTGATTAACTTTTACATAATTCCGCCAAGTCATGCAGGCGTTGAAAAAACCTCCTCTTCTGTGTAAATATAATGTGTTCCGGAAAATTATGTACAAATCTATCCTTATTGAAATTAACGAATACAAACGTGGCTATTCGAAACTTAGGAAACGATTACCAATAACATTTTTAAATACCGACAAAATAATTAGGAATTGATGTTATACATAAGATTAAGAAACAAACTGAGAATGAAGTTTCAATGTTAACTGTTTTATACAAACTAACGTTTGTCGATTGAATACTGTCTAAAATGATGTATTTATTATTTACGTGACCATTCTTCCTATTGACTATAATCTCCTCCCCGTTTGTAAGACACCAACTCCTTCCGTGAAAAACTTTGTAACACCACGTGAAATGAAGACGAAAGTTCTAATACAATAAAACCAGATAATCCTAAAAAAAAAATCCTCCTTGTATTCTTGAATACCACCGAAGCTGTGATCATTTTTACCTGTTCAACCTGTAGGTTTGTGAGAACATAATGCATACAAAGCTGCTTCTATAAGAGAGGCGTGGCCTATTTATCGCAATAGTCTGTAGTTTTAAATACTCAACATGTATTTAAGAAAATCCTCTCTTTTTATAAAGTACATAAAGGCGACAAACATTTCCCATCATTCCCATATCCCAGTTTCTGTACAGTTGACCATAAAATGTGCTGCATTTCACTGCACTTTTGAAAAACAATTTACATACAAATACAAAACGTCTCCTTTGAGCCAATGCGAATTACAATACTTGGCTTCCACCTTGTAATTCGTCAGAGCTCACTGTGTAAACACTGGTTGGCAGCCGAAATAATCTACCAAAAAATCTTTGGGAAATTCGGGATCTAGCTGGTTCTGCCCATTCGGGAACCGGTAGTACTGCCTCCCAACAAGAAGATATCGATCGCCTGCAATTAATTAATCATCAGAAAAAAATATAGTTTTAAACATACATCAGTTATAATGTGGAATCTTTCGGCAATCTTCAAGATGTCTATGGTTGATACTTTTGAAGAAATCGAAAAATGTTGAGTTCAACTTTTTCACTGAGTTCTATAGAAGTTGACCTTAGGGTAAATGTTACAGTATACAACATGGGAATAGTTTGTCATTTTTTTTCTCCAAAAGTTTCTTCGCTTGATACTTAAGTCTGGATGCTAAAATTACTTTAAAAATATAAAGATATGGGGAAAATTGTTGATTTTCCTGCCACATTTTAATTGATTTCAATAGAGGGCGCTCTATGTGTAAACAGACATGAGGTCATTTGTACCATACCTTGTTCATCAGTGAATGCTGCCTGTACTCGACCCTTTTTAGGCAGTCCATCGAACGCCTTGTGTACACCCATCGGGAAACCGTCCACGAGACTCTGGCTTTGTTCGTCGTATTTCCAAACCTTGAAAGAAATACCCATTTATTAATATTATTCAATCAATCATATAATGTGTAAAACTTGTCATTTTACGGGCGCCGTATAGTTTTTTTTGTAATACTACGGTGTCCAAGGAACGACATCGAATTTTGATTGAAATTGTCAATGATACCAACCTATTCTTACTTTGCCCAAAATATATTTATTTTTTTTTGGCTGTTAACCGGCTCACCTTTGAATACTTGAAGAAATAGGTGTGTCGCTGGTCCCGGTCATGCATGACTGCAGTGGGTGATTTGGGCACGCCCCCCAGATTTGCTATCTTTCGTGCCTTGGCTTGGTCTTTGCTCGAGCCGTCATATGCCCAGTAGTTCCTACCTTTACAGGGCAATGAAAATGGGATGACATAACACCTATAAGTCAATTGAAGAACTTTTAATACCATGTTGTAGATTTCGGTACAAATAACCTCCCTCATTAATCTGTCCCTCTCAAAAACTGAATCATGTGACACCCCTCTTTGCCTAATGGAATCACCCATGACGTCATCCAACTCAGTATCTAAGTTTACGCAGCCAGAAATTCAGCAAGAAATTGGCTTAAGAATAGTTATGTTAATGTCCTTTTTTAGTTCAAATTTATTATTGAAGTGAAGGTTCCTACTTTCATTCGAGTTGAAGACTAATTTAGGAATTATTGTTTTTAGCAACGTACCCCTCAGGAACACCAATTTGACATCCCATCGTGTGTAGACCGCTGTAGTTCCCGCATTCAGTCGCTCAAAGTAGTCCCTGCTCACGGTCCCTTCTACCTGGCCAAGTATGTCCTTAGTCTCAGAGAACCTCCAGAATTTATTGCCCTGAAGAAAAAAAAACACTCACGTCTTCAATGAAACAAAGTTAATTCAATCGAGAAACGGGGTGATTGACGATTAAAATCAGTCAGTGTGGTGATTTCAAGCTAAACGAACGTGAATACAAGCATGATAACCGTAACCCGATTGATCAACCGTCTGATAAATCGAGGATCGATCAACAAGTTAATTGATCCATCGACGATGTAACGTCTCGGACGGTTTGATCTGCTGAGCGCAAGTTGGTGTACTCTGCTCAATTGACTGTTGGACGCCAGTGCGAGTAGCCTAAGCGAGACATCGTGGGTTCAATTCCCAGCCGAGTAAGCTTTAGAAGTTTTCTCTCACGAGCCCTCAGAACGTATTGGGCATACAGTGCACACAGATGAAGATCAAAACCAACTTTTTCCGACAACTTACTGAAAACACGTGTAGGACATTGTCGACCATGGTGAGACTGTCGACGCCTCGACGGCAGACCTCGTGCTCCGAATGCGCGACTGGTGCAGTCGTTTCACCGTCATTTGATGGAGCGTCGGTCTTCTTCCCTACAACATAATACAGAGAGAATATAGTAACTCGCTAATAAAGAAGAAAGGGATGACAATAATACAGACTCCGTAAATGTTAAAAATGTAGAATTTCAGTCAAGTCCATTACAAGCCGAATCACATATCAATCAGATGTCAAATCCTAAACCCATCACAAGCCAAATCGCAAGGTAGTCACAATTCAAATCACAGATCTATCACGTGGCAAACCACATGTCAGTCGCAAGCATCATGTCATTAATCAATCATAAGTCAAAGCAAGAGTAACTTCAAGTATAATTTGCATTGCTTGTGAAATGTTTGGAGACTGATGGACGACTTGTGAAATGTGATTGACTTGTGAGGACTTGAATATTTCGACTAGATTCCAACTTTAATTGACAAGTATTTTATACATTAATAAGGTCGAACAACTGTGTTTAAACATGATCATAAAACAAGCAACTACATCAAAATGGCACTGAACAGAACTGGATAAAACTCATGAATAAATCATTAGTTTGTTTATCATCCATTAGTTTTGTCGCCACACCGGAAATGTGTAGTGAAGATATAGATTGCACTGCATTGTGGGACAGTTTGCCCTATACCAAATTTCCATTGTATGGTTAGCGCGAACTGTCCCACAATGCAATGCAACATATACCTTCACTGTACACTGCCGATCCTTCTGGTATTTAATGCAACTCGGTATGTCAATTTATATTCCGAGATTTTGTTTTTTACATTTACCGTATAAGAGCTGTATACCACGGGTGTCATCCTCAGGCAACACAAAGTCAGGTATGTACCCCTTGTCATACGGGAACATAAGCGAGGATCGGTCTGTGGCGTGTGACATGCTTAGGGCGTGGCCGATCTCGTGAGCCACCGTATATAAATAGTCCGTCCCTGTATCGTTTGACAATCGAGAGAAAAACCAACATCATCTTGACTTATGAATGAAAGGTTTACGGAAACACCATGTGGGAATAATTTCTCAAGCTAAGAGAATGGTTCTGAAAAAGAACTAAGAGAATGGTTCTGAAAAGAACCAGAAGTATAAACTCTTGAGTTTATAGCTCTGGTTCTTTCCAGAGCCATTCTCTTAGTTTGAGAAATTATTCGCACATGGTGTTTCCGCAAACCTTTCATTCGTTAGTATCTCCACCATGCAAGGCCTCAAATATCACTAATCATCTTGACTGGTAAATTGACGTACGATATTTTTTGTAGAAAGCTGGACAGTAGTGTTTTAGTGCCTGTATTTCTACTCGCACTACATTACATATTTTTCGTACTTGTACTCCTTCCCTTAAAACAAAAATACTTTTTTAGTCGTTCTTGGTCAAGAAGTACGAACATTTTTGTACCCATACACGTAGCCTTCTCGTGGCAGCATTCATACTCGCACTCTGGTCAGGCTGATGAATCTTATTTTCCGGTTGGTGTTTAAATTTGAAAGTTTGAGGTGCACGCATAAAAATTAGGTTTATTTACAGCGCATTTTCTACTGCCTTTTGGGCAGGCTTTTGCATGTGTTTAATGAATGCCTTCACTTTGTTCACAAGCACATTAAACTTTCTGTTTTCTATCGACATCCCAGTAAGACAACTACAAAAATCATGGCACATAATGTACCGACTCAAATGAAATTGGACTAATGGACAAACACTCGCGTACTCATGGAAATAAATTGTCTTGTTCTCGTACTCAGTTTGTTCTTCATTCTTTCCTTGTTTTTTCATAAGTCATGCACAGTTCTCAAGAATTGTTAATATTGAAACCAAAATGAATCGAGACCCGACACGGGGCCCGTGACAAACCATCGGCGGCAAATTCGCGGTGTGTGAACGTCTCCGAGTCGTCTAGGTGCACGTCCCCGTTAGCCTCTCCCCAGCCGCTGTTTGGGAAGAAGGCGTGGGCCAGGGTGCCACCCGGACCATCAAAGGTCGGGTCATGGGCAAGCTCAGTGTGGTGATAGGAACCAAACAAGATCTCCATGTCAGCTGCTTCACGAACGTTGACCTGAAAGCAAAGAACTTCGTTGTTCTTAAGTCCTCACAATAACTAACAAAACAGGGCGAGTCAAAAAAGACGAAATCCAGATGTCGGGGCCATTGTTTTAGTGAAGTTCTACATGTATCACTTTCAAAATCTAGGATATGAAAGCCCAATAATTCATAAGCTTTTTTCTTACTGCAAGAATCATTCAAATCACGCATGTACTTTTCAAGTTACGGAATTTTAAACATAACCACCGTTTTAAAGTTCTATCCACGGATCACAAGAAGGTAAGTGTTCTTTCAGCAAAACGAAAACAAGTTTTCGTTTGGCTGAAAAAAACGCACACTTTTTTTTGTGATCCGTGGACAGAGCTTTAAAGCGTTGATCGTGTTTGAAATTCCGTAACTTGAAAAGTACATAAGTGATTTGAATGATTCTTGTACTAAAAGAAAGCTTGTGAATTGGGCTTTCATGTCCTAGATTTCGAAAGTGCAACATGCAGAACAACACTAAAACAATATTCCCAACATTTGCGTTTCGTTTTCAAGCCAATAGTAAACCATTACAAATGTTAATTGGAATGAAATAATCCTTACCTTGCTGAAGGTCAAGGGTATGACGTCACTCCAGACTTTCAAGGCTCTCTCAGTATCGGCTCGTACCTGGGCTTTGGTGATTCTAGATCTGGACTCGTCTGGGTAGTTGGTAAGTCTGGGACGAAGAAAAGTCATCATACGAGCAAAAAGAAATGAACGGTCTACAATCGACTTTACAGACTTGTATGACTCGTGACTCGGACTCGGACTCGAGTCCGACTCGAGTCTCATTTCCGTGACTCGGATTCGGACTCGGACTCGACCCTCAGGACTCGGACTTGGACTCGGACTCGACCTGTGGCTCGGCCGCGTGAATCGGGACTTGACCAAAATTACCACAAAACACTTATTTTTTTCAAAAGTATAATTACAATTTTTTTTGAAGACGACCCTCTCCTTAGCAAGCGATACAGTATGTGCGTTACAGAAGAAACGCATCTAAGGCCCCCCCCCCCCCAAAAAAAACAGTTCTGCTTCCGATTACATGGCATTCGAAAATAGGGTAGGTAGGTAGTGAATTTTTTTTAATGCCAATTTTGTTTGTGTATGATCATATGGAGGCGTTTGCGTGTAGTCAAGGGTAAAAGGTAGACATTTATGTTTTGGGGTGTTTTTTCTCATTTTTCCCATAAAACAATTAGGGTAGGCGCTGTCAGAATAGGAAAGGTAGGGAAACTAGAAGCAGAACTCTTTTTTTTTTTGCCTAAGTATTGTACATACACAGCGCGTGCGGCTGACTTGTTTCCGATATATTGATTTGGAAAAATCAATGTATATCGAAACATGTACCCCAGCGTCCACACTTGATATTGTGTAAATGCAAGCTGGATAGTGTTCGGTACCAGATTTTCCTTTCCAAACACTGGTGCCTTGCTTTATTTGACATGGTATTCATGTATTTCCAGTTCATTAAATTAGGGAAAAGCTGTGAAAAAATAGAAACATTTACACTGGGAGGTTTTAGCAGTGCCTCAGTTTTCCCACTTAAAGTTGACTTGTGACTCGGACTCGGACTCGACCTTTGTGACTCGTGACTCGGACTCGACCTTTGTGACTCGTGACTCAGACTCGGACTCGACCTGCATGACTCGGGACTCGGACTCGAGTGAGTGACTCGGACTGTTGGTGACTCGAATGCGAGTCTGTGGCTTAAGAAGCTAGCCTTTTTGACAAAGCCAACATAACTTAGGCCGGTATTTTATTAAGCGCCGGTCAAGAACCAAGACGCGAATTGAGCGGCGACTACACACACCGAGCAACAAGGCCTTTGCACTTCATCAGTAATTTAATCTTTATAATTTCTCGACACTAATTATGGATAGACAAATTATTGTCAGCATTAAATATCGATGCAGCTTTAGTCACAATTGCCTAGTACCTGTAATGGTGTAAATAGACGTGATACGTGCTTCTGGGTGCAAACAGTGCACATAAGTCGGTCAATTTAGGATAATTACTCAAATTCTGTCTTCCACGCTTCCAATGGCGAATTTCAAATGTGCGGTTTATTTACCTCGGTGCCGCTCCAAATTTCGATTTTTGGCGAACATGCCCAGACTTCTGCGGGTAACTTATTATGCAAGACATGGCATCGCACTTGATTAATAATTCAATAATTCAATAACTCATCCAAATCGAAACTCAAAAGGCCTCCAGACTTCGTCACTCGGCTTGCACTGCGTAGTCTCCTTGTCAGACTTTGTCAACAAGGCTCCATTTAAATTTTAAAGCATTCTCCTCTCGCCAAATCACACATCAACAAATATCCAGCAGCAAAGTTTGGCCTAATGTTCTCCAGAACCGCTAAACCGACCAAAAATGATAATTCTTACTTGTACTTGATGTCATTCTTATTCCACTTGTAGTTGAGTCCCGCCACGGCGTATCTCTTCTTGCGTCCCAACGAGGAGTCCGCGGCCACCACCGTGTCGGACACGTAGTACTCGATCCTCGAATCGCTCAACTCTTCCGGTTCGTCGTGGACTCCGCAGCGGGCCGTGTTAATCATCCTGACCGTGGGCTGGTCCAGTACGCCGGTCTGGTTCACCGCGGCGTACCGCTGCATTTTCCGGATGGCAAAGGACATCTCCGTCACGTTCATCTGCTCTGGGGAGGTCTGACCCTTCTCCGGGGAGATGTAGCCATAGTTGGCCAGAAAACCCTGTATGGAGTCGGAAAAGTAAACTTGTAGGTCCCTATTTCCGAAGAGCAAAGAGCTAAATTCACCATCAGGTTCAATCCTAGAAATTAAACATCATTGTCTGAAGTCAGCGATCTTAGATCCTTACACTACTACAAGGATTTCTTGCAAACGGCAAGATACCAAATTTTAAGGTGGCTTGTTTGATGTACTATACAACATCTTGAATACTTTTTGTTCCTGAACAAAAAAAGTACGTTTTTTTATTTTCAAATGAGAGTTCGTCAGAATCGAACCTATTTGAAATGTTTTGCTTTTTTTAAAAACTCGCGTACCATAGTAGGCGCAGAATGTGTTTAAACTTAATTTGAAACTTTTTATTCGAGGTTAATTTTGACGAGGATAGGCCAATTCAACTCGCGTAATACAACAATAAGGGAGTTAACACCCCCACGCACATAATTCCTCTCAAAAATCTACATACAAATAAATGTCTTGTCGCGGAAACATCTTGATATCCGAAATTTACAGCAGACAAATTCTTCACCACTTCTCGTTCCACAACACAACCACCCTTCATCGTTGGAATCCCTATGTCTCCTGACGACGGTCAGTGCCTATTGCCCGAAACGTTGAGATTCCCTGGTTCTTTTTAGCACGAGTCAAAAAACGGAACCGAAACCCCGAAAAATATATACTTTATATTTTAAAAAAATGTGTAGCACTAAATATAATAATGACTGGAACGCCAATTGCATAAGCTACTTTCAGATGAAAAAAACCCTGAAATTGCTCAATCGTTCAAAGGATATCAGTATTTTAACGCAATGACCCTAAAACCTGTGTCGTCCAAAAAAGGCGGTTTGTATTTTGCTTGTTTGGAACAACAAATGAAATGACATAGAATACTTGTTTCAACAATTGTCAACAACTGTAGTGCACAATATCTTTATTAACAACCCAGGTTAGGCAAACAATATGATTTATAAAATCCACTTTTTTAAAAGACGGGCCTTCAAAAGGACTTTGTTGAATACTTTCAACTTTTAAACGGAGGTTTTATCGCTGGTGATGTTTGAAGACAATTGTGACGACGATTATTGATATCGCATTTTGGACGAAAGAGGTTTGAGAGTCATTGCGTTTAAATGGTGATATTCTTTGAACGGTATTTTTTCATCTAAACGTAGCTTTTGACATTGACTTTCCAGTCATATTATGTTTGGCGCTACATAATTTTATAAATATGAAATATAATTTTGGGGGTTTGGATTCCGGTTTTTTTACTCACCCTGTAACTCACAAAAGATATGTGTTACATGGTGCAAACTTTATCTTTTTGCTATCTCCACAAATCAAGTCTTCACCTTCAAATCTACTCAAATTCAGTGAGCAGGACAAGGCGACTTACCGCAGCCTTTACAAGAGTCGAAATATCGCTAGGGTCCTCCAGCAAGTCTAAGAACGTAGGGGCTGCTTCAGTCGGCCTACATGCCAGGCAAAAGATTGCCAACACTGTCTTGAGCAGTGCGGGCAAGGAGCTCAATCCTCCGGTCGCCATTATCCCTCGAGTAGCGAGAACACCAGACCACAACACCGTACCAATGCCAGTAAGTAACTGCTATCTTTTCAACAATCGGCAAGTGTTTTAAGATTAATCATTCCTGTAACTGTAAGCGGTGACCGATAAGAACGCTTGCCAGGGTCCACCTGTAGATTAACCCCGATCGCACCTGTTTGAGATAATGGGCGATTTCCGTACAACATGACTGTAATCATAACCACCATGTAAAGTTGATTTTTCTATTTCAGTGCCTTTTTAATCCTCAAGGGCTATACTACAATTGAAGTTTTGCGTCAATAGCCAAATATTTTTCCTGATATGATTGACAGCTTTATTGAAGATGATAATATATTTCTAGTATTTCTACTTGTAATTAGTTGACCTTCAATTAGGCCAAAGTCGCACCTAATCTAGCAAAGAAAACCTCTTTTGTATTTTTGTGAGAACTTAAAGTAGCACTTGACTTAGTTGGAGATGCTGTCTTGGTATTTTTGTGGTTTTCTTTGGGTTTTTTTTGCTTGGGTTTCAAGGAATTTACAACTAGGGAGCGGGATGCATTAGGGATAAGGGCCATCGAGATGGCAACGATTAGCACAAATCAGCTGAAGTGCCTCGTCAAACGTATCCAGGAACTCTTCATTACAGTCAAATCATTCAGGTTGTGGAAATATATCCGGTTGACTTTTTTTCCCCAAACGCCTTTACCAAGTTCCGAAAGTACTGGGCATGCTGCCAAAAAGTAAATTCGTAGTCTCCGACTGCATGGTACATGGTGACGATTTCGGACGCAGAGCGTCATCACGTGTGCCAAGCTGAAACGTTCAAACTGAACTGTTGGTGGCGCTATAATGTTTTACAAGGCAAGATGGCGTCGTACACAATCGGTCCAGGTGAGAGTAATTTTGTTCGTTTAAAGGGAATATACATCATTTGCTTTTGCTGTAATTTTCAGATATGGATGGAATTGGGGGGTTGGAAATATAAAGCAAATATAGTTACACTGACTTTTTGGAGGTTTTGGGTTTGAAAATGCTACTAAAACCAAGAAAAACGATCATTTTCCTGTAGTCTGGTTCCCTGACTCCATATAAGAAGAAACGCAGTGGCTATTGTTACGGCAGCCGTAACGCATTTCCCATTTTCTATCGTTACGGTAGACTGCAAACTGGCAACTTTTATAAAAAAACATGACAAGAAAATATAAAATTAGAAGGAAAAAAGTGAATTTGAACTTTATGAAATTCGGACTTTATTTCCCTTTTAAAAAAAATCCTCCAAAGCCTCAGGTTAGAAAAGGAAAAAAATTCGAGTGCAAAACTGAGATTCGAACCCGCAACCTCGCGGTGCAAAATCCTACCCTCTATCGGCTGAGCTGGCGCACTGCTCGAGAAAACATGTGGAAACAAATAATTATATACCTGCGTGCGTATCAAAAAAATATCGTAGAGGGCGCTAAACAACGAGTGCCGTAACGATAGCCACTTCGAAGAAGAAACAGAGCAGTTAACATATCTTGGGGAATTGTAAGGTCAGGGAACCAGTCTAGCTGGCTCGTACCCGTTCATGGGTTTGTAATCGATTGCAAACAAGTGCAATGGTCAATTGGGGCCAGTATTTGAAAAAAAGCCAGTTGTTTCCAACGCTGATCGGCCGATCAGCGTTGGAAATTGATACAAAAATACCACTTTTCTTGAAAATGACAGTATACCAGGTGCCATAATTTTACAGGATGCTTTAGACTGTCATTTACCAACATCCTATTAAGGTATTTCGCAAAAACTTGGTAGTTTTATTTTTCGATGTTTGCAAATGTTGTAAAATTCCCTTTAATAATCAGAATTTTCAGGTGTTCAAAGGGGTGCTTTTATGTTCTGCACTGATGAGTGATAACTTACTTCATTGTTAACAGACTTTCTCCAGTTTACAATCAATATCTTGTTTAGGAGGGAGTAAACACAGGCCTACAATTTCCGTATAGTTGGACATGTTGGATGGGATTTCGATTGGGAAGTCCAACGCTGTAGTGCAGTGGTAGGGCCTACACTACATCATGTATTGTGCATTCACGGGATGATTGTGTAGTGTATTGTAATACTAGGGCCTCTCTTTAGTTTTGATCAAATTAGGGTCAAGGGTGTTTTTTATCATTTCTGAAATGACATTATTTAACCTAAAGGCAAAGCAGACTTCTCTTAAGTTAAATTCTATTTTTGTCGTTGTTGTAATCTTGAAGTTGAACAGCATGTTTCGTAAGAAAATGCGATTTTCGTACCATTTGGATCCAAGCGACTCAACATGGTTTTACGTGGTCACTGTGTGTCATGGTGATCGCTAGCCCCATAAATGTGGCCTATTTACTGGACTGCCTCGGTAAACATAGGCCACACATCCACATGTACAAAAACGTGTCGCAATTTGCCAAATTTTGATTTTCACATTTAGGCTTAGTTTGTAGGATTTTTTTGCTTTAGAAGCATACTCACCCTCTTTATAGGCTAGTCAGAAAGTGCTGCCTTTTTCAGATGTCTAATTTTTGTGAAATTTCATGTTGAAATTTTGATACGCAAACGTGTAAAAATGAATCTGGAAATTTCACGAAAAATATACATCTGAAAAAGGCAGCACTTTCTGATTAGCCTATAAAGAGGGTGAGTATGCTTCTAAAGCAAAAAAAACCTACAAACTAAGCCTAAATGCGAAAATCAAAATTTGGCAAATGCGACACGTTTTTGTACATGTGGATGTGTGGCCTATGTTTACGGAGGCAGTCCAGTAAATAGGCCACATTTATGGGGCTAGGTGATCACCATCTTTATTTTCTTGTTGCGTTTTGTCGTATTCATCTTCACTTTACCCCGAAAGTACCCTCTAAAATTTAAACCCTGCAGTGCACTCAATCTATGGGATACCTGTTTGTTTGTAATGTCACCAACTAGTTTGGTAAGTTCAATTACTGAAAAATGGACTTTTGTTCCCTTTTAGGGAACAGGGCCCTACACTACACGACTTGCCATTCACGGTGCATCGCGGTGATCACCATCATTATTTTCATGTTGTGTTTTGTCATTTGTTATTGTCGTCGTCATTTATCCCCAAATTTCCCTCCAAATTTCAAAACAGAGGATGTTTGCCTGTGGTACTCGGACACCCATCTTCGGCTGCCAGAGTTCCGTAAGACCTTACAGAGGCAGGACTTTCCCCGAGCCACCCGTACTCTACTGGAGTGGCTCCATCGCTACTTTGTGCAGTGCGAGAACTTCCCGCCTGGCAAGTTCCCCAACCAGGATTGTGTTCGTCAACTCATTGAGGAGTTTGTCTTCTATAGGAATTCTGGCACAAGCAGGGTTCAGGTTAGTCCCTAGTCCGAAAATGTGGGACTCTCAATACTGTGTATGACTATGAGAGTCCCAAAACTTTAATAAAGGTACTAGTACTGAAAACATGCAATACAAGAAAATAGACTGGCACATGAAACAACCAGTCCAACAACTCTTCAGTACTGCATCAATCAACTGTCAGCTGACTGTGCCAAAAGAAATATCTAGGATAAGATGAAATTTTTGCGTCGGGGTGATATAAATCAAATTAGGTTTTGCCACTGTAAACTCAGTGTGTGGTAACACACTGAGTATACAGTGCTTAAACGTCGGTGAAGGGCAAAACCTAATTTGATATATATCTAGGATGTAGGGTACTAGGTCACTGTATCTTCACATTTCTCCTTAGTCAGGCACCAGAGTAATGACACTGAATGAAGTAGTCAGTCTTGTCAAACAGTTGGACCATGGATGGACATGTAGAAGTCTAGTCTTTAGCCTCATTTTGAAATCACTTGACTTCCCTCTCTTGTGCAAGCCACTGCCAAATATTGACGAAAAGTCTCCTTTAAAAATTGACTTGAGACTTCAAACTTGGTTGGTGAAATACTGAGGAACTTTTCTTTTGCCCAGTAACAGTTTTGGAGAAATTTGCTGGTTAAAGAGTGGGTAAAGTTGGCCTGATCTTTTTTTGCATCGTTTTGAGCACTTAAGGTCCCAGTCTGGTTAGTCCCATAAATGTGTCTCTAAGCTGGACTTTCTGTGTATTGTGAGCCACTGAGAAGTTGTGTTCCCTGAATTTAAAATCTAGACTGTTTTCACTATTGAAGCTACTTGTGTTCCCTGTGTCCAATATTGAAAACTTGGCAATCTTGGCAATGTTGTTGGGCGAGCGGCGCGCACTGCCGGCCATACAAACATGAGGTCAAGAACTGTATAATGCATATATTCATAGCCTTGCCCAAGCGCCCCCGCAAAATGCATACATTACAATGCGTCTGCCATTTTGAAATGCCATGGAGGAACATAATTTAGATGATATTCGTGGGAGCTGATGACCGATCGTCGTTTTTGGCCACATGGATGAAGATTTCTAGATAAAGGAACGTGTTTTTGAACAAGTATGAGTTCCTCTACGACTAAGTACCCTAACTTTGGAAATTTCTGTCTTGGATGAGAAGATAATCTCGATCAAATCGGTAGTAAAATCACTACATCACTTTTTAACGTTTAGGGGAGCATCACCTGTCTGGCCATAATACAGAGCCTGTGATAAAAAAGTATGTACATGTACAGCCAGAGGCAGGTGGGCTATGAATTCCCAGCCTACATAAAGCAGGATTGACTGGCCTGTGACTGTTTATGACATTGAAGCAGCTGTGCTTTGACTGGGGGTAATTGATAAGCCCGCTGTGCCCACAGCTTCCATGCTTTGTCTGTTCATAGTCTGTTGACTGAGTGTGACTAGCCACAGTGCTTGCTTGACATTCGATCTGACTGCTATATTAAAAGTAAAGCAGGGCAAGTGCATGGAAATTTTGACTGTTTGTGACTGTTTAAATAGCAGGAGGGGTTAACAACAAAAATACTTCCCAAAATGGCATTATAACTCAAGAATGATCAGACATATTTCTACTGTAATGCGTCCTAAGATACGGTAGCAACCAAAACGATCACGGTACAAACTGTATATTGGAGAACACTGATGAAATATTTTTTGTGTGGAAGTTTCAAGTCTGCTTTTTCAACTGAGTCTGAACAGTGAACACCTCTTTCTAATAATATTTTCAGCAAAAATTGACAGCCATTCAAGAGCTGCGACTCTTGGAGGAACTGTGCAACCATTTCCAGCTGAACCAAGACCTGATCACCAGACACAATGTCTTTGATGCCTTCTTTGGCTGCAAGCCGGGGCCTATATCGGCGGCGGATGAACACCGGACGGGAGCACTGAGTAAACTGGTCTCAATGGCCATCGCGGTGAACTGTATCCCAGTGCTGGACTGTGCTGCCGTGTTGCTGCACAACCAGGTAAAGGAAATTTGAACAAAGTGCCAAACAATTGAAAAGCCTGTTATCAACAAAAGAATGATCATAAACTGTTGTAGATGAAGCAGTAGTAAGTAAAGTCTATCACGAGCCAATATGGCCCATCAGGCCGGCGTCTATCTCCGGTTTCCTTGGCATGAAACAACTGAGATTCCCCCTGGATGGGATGCCAGTCCATCGAAGGTCACTCCCTAGCTAATGCTAACTACCCATTTATACTCCTGGGTGGAAAAGTGGCAAGTGGGGGTGACGTAGCCTGCCCAAGGACACAACATATGGCCAGCAGCTGGATTTGATCCCCTTATCCTCTGATCTTGAGTCACAAACCCTAACCACTAGGTCACACTCCCCCACCTTTTTGGCCTTGAAAAAGAGTTAAAATGTTTAGACATATTCTCTTCACTCCAAGTACATGAACCTATATGTTTACATATTGGTAGGTATTGCTGCAATCCTCTTCATTAAAAAAATGGTTGGTCAATTGACTGATCATCCGACATAAAATTTGTTTTGAGGTTTTAAATCAATATGTAATATCTAATATTCTTATCAATATTTACGTGTATTTGTTTCAGTTGTGAATAGAGTCATCAATATGATCTAAGAACCTGTAACTCCTTTACTACCATTTAAACAATGAGTTCTGGGTAGCATATCAATTTTTCTTTAAGTTATCTTAAGTCTTCAGGGTCTTTAGCCTCAGACCCAGTCACAAATTCTCACTCTGTGTTGTTGACTCCCGTACCTCTATACCCCACAGGGAGCTTCTGAAGCCACCCTAGCCCTCACCAGAAGTCTTGTGGAGGATTACTGCACTCTGATCCCCACGGCCTGTGACCTACTCAAGAACCTAGTGGATTCCTCCCCACAGTTTGTCTGTCACTTGATGTCCTCAATATCAGCACTCTACGATGTAGATAGAGGTATGAATAGAAAGAAAGATGCCAAATATTGTCACATTCAACCTCACGGAAAGTTTGTAGTATCCTGATGCAACTTTAAAAATGGATAACAAAAGAATTTGACTTACTTTGTTTGTCATGTAATAACTTTTCTTGTTATATCAAGTCTTAGATACTGTGATTTCATTGGTTTAGAATGGCCACATATCCGGTATAAAAGCATGACTGTTTACTTCATATACACTGCATTGCATATGAAGTACCTCATATACACCGCATTGCATATAAACTATCTCATATACACCGCATTGCATATGCGCGTGAAGGGTGTGTGTTGGGCCCGCGCGCCTCGCAACAGAGTACTGCAACCATCTTCTGTTTGGCAGGAAAGCTAGCAGTAGTCAAAAGCTTGCACTGCAGAGACAAAATTTACATCTTAAATAATTAGTAAAAAAACCTTTATCTTTTTGACATATTAGCACGATATAACAAAACAATTGTTGACTGCTGTGGCGATTTGAACCCTCTTGGGGGACATAGCACCCTCGATTTCGCCTTGGGTGATATGCGTCCCTCGGGTGTTAAAAACAACATATCCCACTTCACAGCAGTCAACAGTTGTTAAATGTTAACACTGAAAGAAAAGTCTTGATAATTTTTTAAAAGCTTTTTGGGGGGGGGGAAAACATTTGCCATGAAATGGCAGTTTGCCATGACTTCATCGATTTGAAAGAGGCCCTCTGGTGACTGAATAATTCCACTTGTCTTCCCTGTGAAAAATATACATACTTCAACTTTGGTTTTTGATGGAGCTGAAAAGTTAAAAGGTTTTTCTCAACAAAAAAACAATTGCATTCACTTGTTTAATTTGTTTAGAGTGTTTTCAGTTCTTTGATACTTGATGCAGTTTTTATCTGGGCAATTTCTACAGCTCCAAAGAAGGTAAAACTTCCTCCGACAGCGTTACTGGAGGTACTGACCAGCTGGGCCAGCAAACACCCCCTCATCTTCATTGAAAACTTCCTGAATCCTCCACCGAATATCCCATCATTCCACGGTACCGACCCCACCCAGGGATCTCCGGCCTCCCCGCCCCCTCTCCCGGGCCCGTTCCCTGGACTCATCAAGGCCTGTGTCCTCTCCCCTCTGGTCCTGCCGAGGAAAACCCTTTCGCAAACGGACGTCGCAAACGCGAACCTTAAAGACGATTCCCCCGCGCATCTTCTGTACTCCAGACTGCACCTGGGCATCCTTCAAGCTCTGCTCTCCACGCAACACAAACTCAAATCCCGGCTCTCTAAGTCAAAACACGAAGAGCTTGTGTCGGAGAGAGACATTGAAGGCGTCGTAGCGAGCCTGAGGAGGCTGCTGGTAGGCGGCGCTTGGCGTAAACAGAAGGCGGAGGATGTCCTGGACGTCACGTTGGATCGGCTGGCCCAGGTGGTGCAGGTGGCATTGTCTACGGGGGCGCTTCATTCTTCCAGGAGTGAGTATTGCATCGTGTCTTTTAACAGAGAAACAGTCTAAGGCTGTGTGGAATATAAAGAGTACTCTATCATCAACTGGATATCCGAATATTATCTTTTCGATTTAAACATTCGAAAAAAGTGAGTGGTCTCGAGGAGTTGATGAACAACATATAAGTTGTGTGGATTTATTGTTTGTCAGTGCCACACTTTTGTTGAAAGCCACTATCATGCATGATTGGAGAGCTTCCATGAGGAAAATTACCTCAGATTTATTAAAATCTGTTAAATAATCAAAAACAGTTTTGTATAATGCAAATTGATTTTGATGTTGTCAGCGATCAGCAAAAACAATTCTAGAAGCGAAGCCAAACAAGATAGCCTATAAGATTGAAGTTTCACTTCTTGTTAACTGTTAGTGATACAAATGACTTTCTCGCTAGTCTTTATTTGTAATATAGTGATCAAATATTTTTGACTCGAATTAACTCAAGCTAAATATTTGACTCGACTCGACCTTCTTGACCTAATGACTCAAGTCACTTCTTAAAAATGACTTGACTTGACTTGAGTCAATTCTTTGAAATGACTTGATTCGACTCGAGTCACAAAAATCAGTGACTCGTTACAACTCTGGCTTTCATCTGACTGACTGAGTCACTGACTGACTGACTGACTGACCGAGTGACTTAGTCGTTGACCCTGAATGGAGGCTATCAGGTCGAGCTCGACTAGACGAACCTAGTCTTGTTTTGCATAATAAACCACTTTTAATGAAACATGGATCTTACTAGTTCTTATGAAAACTTAAAAAGGGAAGATACAACATTTGCAAACATCACAAAATGAAATGATCAAATAATCACGAAATACCTCACTAGATTGTTAGGGAATGACAGTCTAAAGCATCCTGTAAAATTGTGGCTCCTGGTGTGCTGTCATTTTCAAGAAAAATTGTAGTTTTCCAACGCTGGTCGGCTGACCAGCGTTGGAGAAAACTGGCTTTTTTTCAAAAACTGCCCCTAATTTTTCATACTTAGTTATTCCGCATTTTCTTTGCAATTGATTACACACCTGTGAAGGGGTACAAGCCTGCTAGACTGATTCTCTGACCTTACAATTTCCCAAAGTCATGATTGCTCCGTTTCATCTAAAGTGGGGTCAGGGAACCAGACTACAAGAACATGCTTGGTTTTCATGGTTTTTTCCAGCATCTACAAGCCCAAAACGTGAAACAAGTCATTTCGACAATATTTGCTTTAACATACTAATGCTCCAAATCCATTTATTTCTGAAAATTGCAGCAAAAGCAAATGTTGTACATTCCCTTTAAAACTTGTGTCCTTCTAAGGAATGTCCGTGATGAACCAAATATATGGCATCTTTATGAGATTGAGGCTTGGAGTTTTGGGAACTGTGGGCCCTCTCATGCCCCCCTCCACCCCACATCCAAATGTCTTGGCTATGGCCGACAATAACATACGCATCTATAGGAATAGATTCTGCTATTTCCATAGAAGCATACAGTCAAGCCACAGCTTAATACAAAGTTCCTTATTTTCAATATTTTGTTCTGTAAATGTAGGTACCCTGAAAACAACACTTGAAGGTCTACCCGATAATCAGTAAGTGCTTGTTGTTCTCTTTTCTAATTCTGTGAATCTCAAAACTCGCCTTGAAAGTGCCCTGTACTTTTCTTCCATTTTCACACTTGACGTCCTAGCTTAGTCTATTGTAAATCCCCATAGGCCTGGATCTTTTCTGTATCCTTTATTCTGTTTAGGCCAAGGTCAGTTTTGATTACATGTATAGCAAAATGCAAGTGCACCTTTGTCAAGAAAATCAATAACTGCTGTGCATTTCAAGTATGTGCCAAGGCCTCGGTGGCCATGTTACAATTCCCAAGGCTGCATGCCATCAAAACAAATTGCGACACATTTTGAGTGTGGAGATACAAGAACTTTTCCTTGACCTGAGAAAAGTATCCTGTGAAAACTGCCACTCTGGAAGGGCGAAGTGTTTTTGTGGTATGGAGAGTGCTTCCAATTAAAGGGCCATGAAATAGATTTATTTTATTCAGTCCTTGAAAATGCACTTTTGTGTCCTATACTCGGTGTTCATATTTCAATCTTGAGTGGTGTTTTTGGTGCCTTTTTTTTTGGTATGTTAATGCACATTTCCATATTCATGAGCAAAACTGTGATGTCATTCAAGGCAGAAACGTCAGTGGTACTGCAGCTGCTTCAGTGCCAAAAGTTGTCAAAAATTTTTGGGTTTTGTTTCCCTGTGGTAAATTTTCTGTTTTGGGTTATTCGTTGTTGTTTCAGTATGTGACAGTAAGTCGATGAGCAAGCCTTATGCACAGATCTTTTCAGCGAGCACATTTTTGGTTTCACAACTTAAACAGAAAACCCTGCAACTGAAGAGTGTGTTCCTAAGATGATATCACAGCAACAGCACCCTCAGTTGTCAGGAAAAGCCCGGAACATTTTAAAGGTTAAAAACAAATTTTGAACCCAAAAATTTGCTCATTGAAAACAGTTGTGAGAAAAGTTTGCTAATTGGCTTACTGCCATGTACTGACACAACAACGAATCACCAAGAAATAAAAAGAAACCTTCCAACAGCAAAGCGTCCAAAATTCTGGCAACTTGTGGTGCTGAAATAACTGTAACTTTTGAGGTTTCTGCCTGAAATGACATCACACTTTTGCTCATGAATAGAAATTCCCATAAGCTTAAAAAACAAAAAGGCACCAAAATACCCTTGAAAATGGCAAAACGAAAATTGAAAATCAGGTTATTTGGGACACAAAGATGCCTTTTTCAAGGATTGCATTTTAAAAATTACATTGCATGGGCCCTTTAAAAGTTCCTTTCCTGGTCAAGTCCAAACAATTTCTAGTGCTCTCACCCTGACCCTTGTAGAACTTTGCCACTTCCGGTTATCAATAACCACAGCCTCCTGTTTCCCATTGACCAGATTTCCTGGTAGGATGCAAAGCCGTGTCAAGATCACTCAGTCGTTTGTTAGATAACAGTTGGTGGAAACGGCAGTTCAGGGGAGAATTGAAAATTAGATGTTTGAACTCCTTATATGTGAAGTGTTGTTGATCCTCGTCAATTTTTGGAGCTGAAATTTGCAGAGTGGAAGCCTTGAGGCTTACAATACATTTAGATAATATTTTGAGGCTATTGAGGTGCTTTAACAGTGCATTTTTCTGGGTAAAACAGTAGAATTATCATGTTTATTGCAGCAGTTTAGGGAAAGAATGTTGCAACCTGACGCAACTTTTTTCTTCATAAATCTTCTCAACAAAGGTCAGTCATTGCAAAAATATCGAAAAGACATGAATCTGGGACTGAGATACATTTCCAATTTTGTTAGGAAATGCTTAGACTGACTCTCTCCATAGACTTTGTACACAACCGCTGAAGTTGCCTCTGGATACTACATTCTTTCCAAGTTAGCAGCCTTATCATACTTCAGTCTGACAAACAAAATAAAAGATTGTTAATTAACACCCTCCTGTGACATCACACTATTGTTTTATCTCGCCATTATGTTGCACGAATGGAGTACTGTGCGCCAGCATCTTATGAATGGCGTGCTAGCTGCGCGCATATTTTTTTCCTGTAGACGGGTAAAGCCACTTATGAATAATTCATTAATTTCATAGAATCACAGCAAGGCACTTAGGTTTACATTCCCCTTTTTCCCCTTCAATAAAAAAGTAGTCGTTGCAGCAGTATGCAGAATTCCTGTACCTTTAAGACAATATAATTCCATGACTTTTCCACAGCCAATTTATGAAAATCCATGAAAATGCAGATCAAAACTGTACAACGTGTTTGGTGATTTATCACATTCTTAATGGGGATATGACGGGGCAAAACATTTGAAATCAAAATGCTTGTACCAGCGACATTTGTCGCATTTTGTTGGGTATATAAATCAGTTTTCGGATGCTAAATTATGAATACACAAAATAAAAAAAATAAAAATTTGGTCCTCACAAAATTCCATGACTTTTCCATGACTTTTGTTGTTATCACAAAATTTCCATGACTTTTCCAGTTTTTTTTCCAGGTTATAGGGAACTTCGAGTATGTAAACTTGCGACAATAACTCAAGTTTCATGTCCGATTATACCCCCAAAATTGCATTGCTGCTGCCCCCTCATTCGCTAAAACAATGTGGCTCATCGACATAAATAATCAAGACCACAGGAACATCAACTACAAGCTTACCTATGATCCAAGTTTATTCGGTTGACTGAAATCTAATCTTTAAATTTGTGGTTGCATTGAGCTAGTGCTAAAACCTTGCAATCTGGTTGTACATTTACATATATACATGTATGCAGTGTCATTCAGATGTGCACGTCTCAGTAAATTTTTAAAAAGTCTTCCACTTTCTTGCATGATGTACTTGCAACAAAATACATGTTACAAAGTACATAATGCTAAAACAAGCTTGGAAATAACATTACAATTTTTTTATCCTGTATTTTGTTTGTGTGTGTGCAGATTGCTTTGCCTGGTTCTACAGCACGAGGGCGCTATGCAGAGTTAACACTACAAGGAGCCGTCACACAGGGGAATTATTTAATACATGTAAATCTTGGTTCACTTCTTGACATCATGTCAACATGACCCTTTGTTTACTTTACACTATCCGTGTTGCTCCGAGCTATTTCACAAATTTGTTTTAATACCAGAGTTCACAAAAGTAGTTTTGAGTACTAATTTGTCTTTTTCATTTGCGAAAAGTTCATGCAAACAAAATTTGATCTTTTCTGAGAATCATCCAACTATTTTCTGTTGTCAGAAACTGAAGAAGACTACAGAATGAATAAATACAAAAAAAAATTGTGTGTAAATATTTCATTTTATTTGTGTTCTAAAAATCTCATTCAAGATAGGTCACTACAATCCACAATGTGTATTATATGTATTATGAAGCAATAAAAATATCTTGGTAAAAAACTGACGTGATTTTTTTGGTTTTTCTGTTCCCAAGTGCAACAGAATTTCTTTCCTGTGAAAGATTACGCTTTCACTGAATATGTTTTGACTGCACAATGCGACAATCCCCCCACCCCTACTCTAGCGAAGTCTGTGATTAAGCTGACGTAGAGATTCCCCCCCCCCCTAAAAAGGCTTGAATTTTCTGGCAGCTTTCATCTGTGCAATTTTCTGCTTGTCTTCCTCAAACTTCTTGCGGAGCTCAGCAATATCTGAAAAGGTCAAAATTCAAGAAACAATACTTAAAAGTTAAACAAACTAGTAAAAAATCTGAAGAAAAAAAATAACAAGATATTGTTTCAAAAAGAACTATCTAAGAGAGAATGGTTCCCCAAAAACCCAGGACATCTTAATCCCAAGCTTGGGGGAGAGTACTCAACAACACTGGTGACGTTTGATTAACTTGTTATTGGTAATGTACTGTCATGGACTTGTGATAATTGACGTTTGATGCCCTGTGATGACTTGTGATTACTTGTGGTTACTTACGTTCTCGTTTGGACTCCCTCATCTGGAACGTATAGAAGTTGAGCAGTTCCGTCTTCTCTCGCTTCTTTCTCTCCTTAGCACGGAGTCGTCGTTGGTTCTTCTCGGTGCGCGCTACGGCCGGCTTGGCGCTCTTTCTGGTCACTGTGATCCAACCTTCTTCATCTGGCACACCTTCTTGCTCCTTGGCTTTTTCTTCTTCCTAAAGAAGGAAAAACCACAACAAAATGTTTAGATCATTGTGAAATGTATGAACCTTCCCAGGATGATATGTTGAAATAATGTGATGTAATAATGTGCTCTCAATGCTTTGGAATGAACAAGGTTACATGCAACCTTGATTATTGGTAAAGTAAGGCATTATCATGTGAATACAACGTCCCATAATAAAATCTGGGTTTCATTGTGATGTTTGGCAACCTCCTCCTATGCAAACATACATTCTGTGGACAGTTGTCCTTTCAGTCAAAATCAATCAAGTGACGATTTTTAACAGTTAAGAGCTCCCAGCCTACATAAAGCAGATTTGATTGGTTGTGACTGTTTATGTACAGCTATGCTTTGACTGTAGGTGATTGATAAGCCAGCTGTGCTTACCACTTGCCCGCTTTTGTCTGTTGACTGAATTTGACTAGTCACAGTGCTTGCTTGAATTCTGATCTGACTTTTGGTATCTAGCCTGTGTAAAATGCATGACAGGGGAAGAGGATTGATATTTTTTGACTGTCTGTGACTGTTCAGACAGCAGAAGGGTTAGTGATCAGATTCTGATATTTGTTTCATAACTGATGCTCTGTGGCCTTCCTTATTGGAAACACTCTGTGGAAGACACCCTTGACTGTGGGAGACCGGTCTAAAACAGGTGTCGGGCTTGTCATGAAGGGAACCAATAGTGGCCTTACCTCCTGCACACTGGTGTCGTGCTCCTGCATGAACTCATCAATCTCTTTCTGGAGATCTCCGACGTCTGGACGAGCCGTGGAATACTGAGAGCACCATTCTGCGGAGACAAAAAACAGAAGGATTTGGGGAGAATATTATTGCAGTGATCGGGAGTCATAATACTTCAGTGATGCACATCAAAGATACATGAACTCAACTGTCTTCCACTGAAGTTCTGTCATTGCAATGCAAGTTTGACCTAATAGATCTGATAGAGCACTGCAAAGATGTGAAAGTTGAAAATGGCACTATCGAAATTGTGGATTGACAGAATTGTAATGAATCGAGTCAATGACTCAACTCAAGTCAGACTCGAGTCGCAATTTTTGGTGATTCGACTCGACTTGAGTCCCTAAGGGTAAATGACTCGACTCGAGTTACTGCAAGCAAATGACTCGACTCGAGTCCCTCATCAGAAGACTCGACTCAACTCGAGCGAAGGCTAATAAAACTCGATTCCCAATAATAAAAGCAAAACTTTGCGAAAAGTATTTGCAATGACTTACGGTGCAAAATTTATGTTCACGTTACTTTGCGAATAGCAGCCGCTTGTCATGTTCAAACATACGTGTCACAGACTCCCACCTCATGGGTCTAGAACGCACAAAATACTATCCAGGAACCGGATTTTAAAGAAATTTTCAAATTCGCTGTTTCATCATTGGCTTTGGGCAATTTCTTATAAAGCTTTTTATTCGAACGCTGGCTAAACTTATGGCCTCCTTTTATCAATTTTGGTTTATACTGTTCAAATGTTCGCGACTCGAATTGACTTGAGCTAAATATTCGACTCGACTCGACTTGACCTTCTGACCTAATGACTCGACTCGACTGGAGTCACTTCTTTAAAATGACTCGACTTGACTGGAGTCACTTCTTTCAAATGACTTGACTCGACTCGAGTCACAAAAATCAGCGACTCGTTACAACTGTGGATTGGAGTCCAATTGAACAAAAAATTCACCAGTACACTCAACAAACAAGGGGGAAAAGAGACATGATTTTACCAAGACTAGGCTTTCCTAGTTAAGCTAGGCCCAAGAGTCTTAGACTTTTATTCAGTGACTCGGACAGTCAATCAGTCAGTGACCACAAGTCCATCACAAGTCCACCACAAGTCCACCACAAGTTCATCACAAGTCCACCACAAGTCCATCACAAGTCCACCACAAGTCCATCACAAGTCCATCACAAGTCCACCACAAGTCCACCACAAGTCCATCACAAGTCCACCACAAGTCCACCACAAGTCCATCACAAGTCCACCACAAGTCCACCACAAGTCCACCACAAGTCCACCACAAGTCCACCACAAGTCCACCACAAGTCCACCACAAGTCCACCACAAGTCCACCACAAGTCCACCACAAGTCCACCACAAGTCCATCACAAGTCCACCACAAGTCCACCACAAGTCCACCACAAGTCCACCACAAGTCCACCACAAGTCCATCACAAGTCCACCACAAGTCCATCACAAGTCCACCACTGTCACACAAGTTCATCACAAGTCCATCGCAAGTCCATCACAAGTCCATCACAAGTCCATCACGAGTTCATCACAAGTCCATCACAAGTCCATCACAATCCATTACAAGTCCATCACAAGTCTATCACAAGTCCATCGCAAGTCCATCACAAGTCCAATTCAAGTCCATCGCAAGTCAATCGCAAGTCCATCACAAGTCCATCAATAGTCCATCAATAGTCCATCACAAGTCCATCACAAGTCCATCACAAGTCCATCACAAGTCCATCACAAGTCCATCACAAGTCCTCCAGTCTAACTTCAAGTCACAAGCTATTCAAATGAACTGTATCAAAGGCATTCCTTTGTTATTGCTCATCCCCTGTTACTTGTGACTGGACTAACTAATGAAAGCACTTGTGACGTACTTGTGAGGACTTGTGACGGACTCGACTACAACACTGACTTAGTATCGCTATGAAATCTATCCTAGAGTCAGTGAAAAGAAAGTCACTTTAATAAAGCTAACTTGATGAATTGTTGGCTACAGTGTATTTCACTACAGTATATGACTCACTTTTGTAGCCTGTTGGTATGGGTTTGTCTACCGTCGATAAGACGAATGGTTCTGCAAACTTGGACGGGAGTTGTTTTGCCTTGGGTATAGATGAGGATTTCTGGAATACTACAAATGCAAACTGGAAACCCTGTGGATGAACAAGAACAGTGAAGATTTGGAATTTGTAAATTAGAATTTTCAACCCTCACTCTATTGATGCAATTAGCACATATCACTAGGCATGCAAGGGTTTAAAACTCTGAAACGCTATTCAAAGAGAACAAATCAGTCTTTACCTGCGTGTGTTCTGTAGATGTGAAATACTTGGAGTGTTTATCTGAAGGATTTGATGATGTTGGCTTTTCTTGAAGGAAAACACTCTCTATTTTGCCGCAGTGCCCAAACAGTCTCTCAAGGCATTCCTGAACATTGTGAAAAGGGAAGCAGAATTTTGCAAGTTAGGACAGGAAAGAAAAATATCAGCGCTTTTCAGTAAAAAAATTTTGCAAAGCAAGCCTCTAAAACTATGGATTAACCCTAACCCTGCCAGACACAACACAGTGCGCCAGTTGTTAATGTCTGTACTCTGGTGCACTTTGATGCATTCGGCTACCAACACCAGTGCTTAAACGCCCGCTTCTCAAACAATGTGAGCTAATCCCATACAACAATGTATCCTGCTGCATTCGGGGACCACAGACTCTGAGGTAGTGTGGCCTTGACACTTTTGACCTGATGGATCTTGCTGCACTGGGCAGGCTTCTCATTTTGCCAGGTGTTGCATGTTGCTGTGTTTACATGTAGCAGGGTTTCTAGCCGAAATAGCATGGAGGGCTAGGGTTAGGGTGAAAGGTAAAGTACAACATTTGCAAACATAAAAAAAAAAAAATACCAAATTATTTTGAAATACCTTACTTGACCTAAGTGAATAATAGTCTACAGCATCCTGTGAAATCATGGCACCTGGTGTGCCATCTTTTTCAAGAAAAGTGGATTTCAAGAAAAGTGGACTTTTTTTTTCAAGTACTGCCTCCAATCTAGCAAATTTAGTTGGGCCCCATTTTGTTTGCCGGCTAGACTGGTTCCCTGACCAGACGATCCCCCGACGTCTATCAATTGCTCCGTTTCGTCTGAAGTAGGGTCAGAGAAACAGACTACAAGAACAACATTTTTTTCTTGGTTTTTCCAGCATCTATGAACACAAAACTTTAAACAGGTCACTGTAACAATGCATGTATTTGCTATAAAATACTAACCCAAAATCCATCCATTTCTGAAAATTACAGCAAAAGCAAATGTTGTATATTCCCTTTAACAGTTGATGGGACTTTGTGACCACTTTGGAGGGGTTACTTGTGTAAGGAGTCCATAGCAGTTGAAGCAGTTGAAGCAGTCTAACCTGTAGTTTGGATGCTCCCAACTATAGTTGGGACAGTCCAAGCTTTACTTTGGGCAGTCTCAAATAATTGGAATAATATTGGGACTGTTTCAACTGCACTTGGGACTTTACTAAACTCAGTGGGATTGTGTTAATATCTTACTGTACCTGGTTACAGTAAGGAGGAACATTGACGACAAAAAGGGTTCTGCTGGCTGGTTTAGTGGCATCTTCATCTCGTACCCTGTGTTCTCGGTAGTACAGGAAATGGCCGGCCTTACTTTTGGAACTGAAGCGGATCGGAAGGACTGAAAATAAAAAGGTACAACGACATGAACTGAAAGAGCAAACAGTGTTCAGATATATTATGTTTAGTTCTCCTGTTCTGTTAGCCTAGTTAGTATTGTGTACAGATGTATGTAATGTCTAAAACCTAGGCCTACATTTACGTTCTTACATAAATCCACATCGATGGCAACATCAATGTGAAATCCTTTCCTTAGCATATGCACTAAAAATCAAATTAATTTTGAAACTGGACAAATAAATGTTCATGTATTTCTAGTACAGCAGTACTAATTATTCTACTTGTATTGATAGGGCGATCATGTATTTACAGACCCGGTTCCTATATCAGGGAACAAAATCGACTTTTAAATCATTTGACCTACCAAACTAGTTGGCAACAATTAGAACATACAGGTACCGGGTATGTTATAGATAAAGGTATACCCCGCCAGATTTGAGACCAAAAATTTTGGCACTATATGCGTGTAGATACACTACACACTACACCAAAAAAGCGCCCTCAATAGGCAGCAGGGATAAAGATCGACGAACACACAACCTGCCGACAGCGTGACATAAATATTTCACGGTCGTAATCCCATGATTCCGTGTGAGTTTCTCCTCACAAACCAGGCATCTAGAAACTGGTGGAGCAAATACGGTAGTAGTAGTAGTAGGCCTACTAGTACTAGCAGTAGCACTAGCAGCAGCTTCAACTCCTTCCTTATCCTGCTCTTCTTGTTGAGAACTTAAAGCAAGTAATGCTGCACACAGTTCAGCATCTGCTGTCAAACATTCAGCAAGCAGATCTGCGTCTTCAATCCCACTGGTTGCTATACAATTACGCACACGTAGAACTTCATCAAAGGAAAACTTTGAAACAAGCAGGGAGAGTTTATCGTCCACTGATAATTTGGAATGAATGAAGTTCGTCGCTAAAGCGTCGCACTTCGACGACAAATATGTAGAGATGGCCAATTCTCCTTGGTCCAAATCTTCCACAAAAGCAAAAAAATCTAATTTCTTTTTTCTTGACATGACATCATCGTACTAAAGAAAGACCCACACGTTTAACTTAATCAAGATGGAAAACTAATACTTATAATTACAATGAAATACTTCAGAAAATTAACAGGAAAATTTGGAACGGAACCATCAACCACAGAGCTGTATAAAGAATGGAACACATGTGAACTTGCAACGTGGCATGCAGAAATCACTGGTACCATAGCATTCAAACATTCATTAGCGTGAACTGGGTCGCTGGTACTTAACTAGAATGGTTCGGGGACACTTTCTTCATTAAACTTAGGTGTACGTGTGTGAGGCGGAAACTAGGTCCATATATCATTGATGTCTGCGCATGCTCAGTATTGTGTAGCGTGTAGTGTAGGCTACAGGATGCACGGTCTGTGAACATCGTCTCAAATGATGCATCATATGGATAAAGGGCAGGGTTTTGAATTTTCGAGGGAAATTTGGGGGTAAAATGACGTTGACAACCACAAAACGCAACACAAAAACAAAGATGGCGATCACTGCATGATGTGCAATGAACGTGCAAGGCGCACTGAATCGCATGGCACCAACTGTAAACCGCGCAGCAAAATCGTAATTTCTTCCCCAAGATTGCAAGAAACTGTTCAAAAAATTACAAAAAAATAATTAATATAAAATATTAATAATTAAATTATATTGAGAAAAGTCTGCTCTAGTTTGAAAAGGTCACTTTTCAGTAATAAAAAACACTAATTTTATCGAAACTAAACAGGGGCCCTACACTACACGACCGCCATTGATAGTACGTGTAATACCGTAACTAGTCAATACGCAAACGTGCACAAACATGCTTCGTATTGTATCTTGTTTTACTCTGGTGAAAACTGCCCTAATAAACATACAAACTTATACATTAAATTTTATCACCATACCCGTGAATCCTGCAACGGAACTAGGATGCGTCATTACAGAAGAAAAGTGGTGTATACTTGTTTAAAAACACAAGTTCAAGAGCCGTATGTGTGGCTTTCACTCAGTTCACGTGTTGCTATTAAAGTGTTGTGGCGCCCTCTATAGTTTAGTTTCACAGCCAGGCCTTTGTTGGTATCGATACTCACTAATCGGTAATATTCGTTAAATATTTAGGACGGGATCCTGAACGCCTATCGTTCGTTTAACAAGGGAACATTTCCCGTTAAATTCGGATCCCGGCTAAATTCCCAAAAAGTCATGGTATTCGGTTTTCGATCAATCATTTGTCATTTTGAAAAATGGCGCTCACCATCAGTGAAAAGTGGATCCGGGAACGTGTTCATTTAGACCCTGAAAATCTCGGTTAGTTATTGGAGAAAAATACAGCTGTGAAAGATGATAACATGAAAAATAAGTCAGCCACATATTTTGATGTGATCGTTATTTTATTAGTTTTAACTGCGGTGTAAACATGATGTTTCAACTTTCATTGTTTAGTTTTTGACAATTTTGTTTTTGTATTTTTGGTTTGTTTTGTTTTGTTTTTTCCTTTTTCTTCCAGCTGACATGCTAGTTGCTCATATTCATTCACATGTAGCGCTGGAGACATAACCAGGGCGTGAGAGTCTTAAGAGACCCTTCCAGAATGGCCTCCTCAAATTTGTCCTTTTTTACCTCTATTTAATCCCACCCCAGGCAGAATCGCAAGATTCCATTTATCATCAAACCCCCTAAAGCTACGCGGTCCTTTTTCTACGCATTTACCTAGTTCAATTTGTGTGTGAGTGTGACAATGCGTGCGTATGCAAGCGTTACTTGCGCAGATAATGGAGGGTCGAGGATACATAGGCCTACAATAATTCAGCAGTCATTCACGAGGCTAATGATCAACTTGAAACAGACCCAAAAAAAATGAAATATGAAAAATATTGATGATTTTGTTGGCTTGACCATTAAATATGTCCCGTATCACTGCTGTCGTCCATGATGTTTGGTTAATTTTGCGCACGACACAATCATATGGTGGCCCTGAAGGGACATCAGACATCAAGATTTCTGCGAATGCGATGTCGCAGAAAAAAATGTGTTATCAATCATTCATGTTACTGTTTATATTGGTTACAATTTTTTTTGGTATGTCAAGAAATGGCCTATTGAAAACATGCATCTTTAAACATTTTGTTTCAATTTTTGATCTCAGATGATGTACGATCATTGGCGCTACCGGGAACCTACCATGAGAAGGTCACTCACCTCGGCACTTCACTGCAGAACTTCTGTCGTCTCAAGCATCTGGACCTGTCCAGGAATGCACTGCAGAGTCTGGATGGCTTACAACACCTGACAATGCTGGAGAAACTCAACATGTATCCTAAAGAATAATTAAACCCAAGCTTTGAATTTTTTTTTTGGGGGGGGGGAGTTCGCCAGTAGTGGTTAGGGTTTGTGACACATGATCAGAGGGTCAGGGGTTCGAACCCAGCTGCTGGCCATACATGTCTGTTGTGGCCCCGGACTAGCCACTTCATCCCCACTTGCCTCTCTCCACCCAGGAGTATAAATGGGTACCGGCATTAGCTAAGGAGTAAGGAGTAACCTGCGATGGACTAGCATCCCATCCAAGGGAAATTTAAAAAGTTTTTTCATGCTACTGAAACCGGAGATAAACACCGGCCTGATGGGCCATAATGGCATGTGCCAGACTTTACTTTGCTTTACTTTAATTTTTTGCAAGGGACCTTCCTGGATTCTCCAAATTCCCCAGTGTGCAGGAATCATATGACATACATGTACTCTCTGTAAATATATTCAAGGCATTCAAGCGTCATGTAGAGTATAAATATGCATTTGCAGTAAGACTGTTCTAAATATACCCCATATTCAAACATTTCAACATCCGCCAAATGTCCGTATAGCATTTTTCCAAATCAAATCTTTAAAAAAATGTGATTGTTCTCCAGAAGATAAAGGGTTTTGGGTTTACCCAGCATTGAATATTCACCACCGTAATTTCATAAGCACAGTACCGGTATGCTCAGTGTTCTTACGAAAGCATGCAAGAAAAATTCATTAACCCTAACCTCCCAAACTCCATCAAAATCCATCCACTATTTTGGTGAATTTGGGGGACTTGGTCTACAGGTGGTTTGACTAAATATTGATGGAACATGATGGACCTGGGCCTGGAGGCCTAAAGCAAAGCGTGCATTGAAAGCAGTGTGACTGATTGATTTTGGCGGACTTGGTCCGGTACTTAGTTAAAGACAATAGGGTTAAGCTTAGGATTAAGCTTTGTGGGCACGTGTGGTCTAGCGGTAGAACACAGGATTCATGATCGTGAGGTTGTGGGTTCGAGCCCCGCCGTGGCAATGCGTGTTGTGCCCTTGAGTAAGGCGCTTTACCTCAATTACTCCTCTCAACCCGGGTGTTAAATGGGTACCGGCATTATTCAGTGCTGGGAAGGTAACAGACTCGCTGTGGAGGAGGTGTGGCGATCCCCCCACAGCAGCATAGGAGTCTGGCCCAATCGCTAATGAAAGAGAGATGGGCACTCCGTTCCTGTGAACACAGGTTCGTCCCCTTTACCTTTACCTTTACTTAGGGTTAAGCTTACTTGTTGGGTCTGAAACCCACGACCTCCGAGCTTGCCGGGGTCAGTTGGCTGGTTTGAGTCTGATATAGCAGCCAGTACCGCAACCGATCACTATTAGTATTTGTACAATGAAATCTTGCATCTTGAAGATGTGAATTCAATAACTTGACCTAGTGACCTCCTTAACCTTTGACCCAGCTACTACAACAACATCTCCACTCTGAAGGACCTGTACCAGCTGGGTCATAACACCTGCCTGCAGGAGGTTGATCTACGCCTGAACCCAGTCACCAAGAACGAGCCGGACTATCGACTGTTCATGGTCCACATGCTGCCCAACCTACGCAAGCTGGGTAAGGATAGACAGGTTGCGCAGAGCGCCCTCGCTGTGGACAGGACTTTGTCCCCCTGTGATATGTATGAGCAGACACTTTATACTTTCATTTGTCACTGGTTCTTGGTTCTTGGTTGGTTCTTCTCCTAAATACTCCACGTGGGAGTTTATACAGGAGGCCAGAAACACCGGGGCAAACCCCTTCTCTTAGCGATAAGTGTTTACTGGGTTCTTTGACGTGCATTTATACAACACACGGGACCTACGGCTTAACGTCCCATCCGAAGGACGAAGCAATAATGGTTAAGTGCCTTGCTTAAGAGCACAAGTGTCCGTCGGCGGGCTCGAACCCACGTCACTGTTGCCTCTGAAACACCAGAACGTGAGTCCGGTGTTCTTAACCGCTAGGCCATGACACTCCACGTGTCACTGAATTGGAAATAAAATATGGTCACGGTGAGGGTTCTCTGTACAATTTTTGTGGTATCCTAACAGTTCCATTGCCAATGCACATGAAAAACTCTGCCAGCGGGCACACTTTCTTAAACCACCTTCAATGATTGTTGTCTTCCAAACGATACCATAGCAGGCAGAATAATTTCACAGGGTATTTGGTACCAGTCCTATCTTCGCTTTGAGCAAACATTTTCTTGTTAAATCGATAGGTACTTTCTAATAAACATTCCTACATGCCTTTAAAGATACAGTCCATCATTTGTAATTTGTGCATTTTGTTTGTTTGAAGCAACAAACGTGCTCAAAATCTAAAAAAGGGTATTGAACAACTAACCTGATGAAGTTTCAGCTCAGCTTCAGCTGCATATTCCGAGAAAAACAGCATTCTAGGATCTCGATTTCAAATCAAAAGTTGCTGAATCATGTTTTGAATTGGGCCTGAATTCAGCGTCCGAGACACTTGCTCAATGAGCCGATTGCAGTTACGCGATGTCGCGCACTGATCCGACGAATTATAGCAATCGCGAGCGCATGTGCGTCGTGCCAATGCTTGCGCGCTTCGCTGCAAAACAAAACGAACTACTAATTCAAATTTCCTACGGTGCGTCTTAAGAAGCACCGTTGGAAAGACCTTCTTTTGTTGATTACTTCAAAATGACAGCTTGCCAGAGAGAATAATTTCACAGGGAGTTTAGTCCACTTACTATCTTTCAACCAAGTATGTTTTTCAACAATAATTACGCCAGTTACTTTTGGGATAGCTGCAAATGATGGACTCTGGCTTTAATGAAGAATTGCAAGAATTCAAAGCTTCCATGAAATGTCTCATAATCAGTACATAACCTTTTGTTTTTATTTTTTGCAGATGATCGCTCGGTGCGTGAAAGCGAGAGAAAAGCTGCCCTGATGCACTTCAACTCTGACCAGGTATGGTGAAGGTCTTAATTGTGATGTCTTATATTGACAGCAAGCCTTAGGTCACATCCAAATATCTTGTCTACAGCTATTGTCTAGGTCTTCGTTCATTACACGTACGCAGTAAAAAGCTATAAGTAGTCTTAGCCATCGCTCATGGTCTTTTCTTCTGATCTAGTGCTCAAAACTTCAATTATACCTAAACTACTCCATACATGTATGAAGTTGACAATTTGGTTTCTGTTATCCCTTAGGCCAATGAACTGACTGAGCATCTGCCAGTGAAGCGACAAACAGAGACAGACAGGGTGATAAACCCCAGGGTAGAGATGGTGGCAAATATGCCTAGGAAAACAACAGGTGTGCTTTGCTCTGTTATTATTTATTTCTGGTAATGAAATCAAGGATTCCTTAAAAAACTCCCCAGACACCGTAGCTCGCAACCATGAAGAAACCTGTATAGAGAAGACATTGAGAACAAAATTACAATTTTGGAGATGTGAGGAAAGCCCCAGATGAATGTTCCAGGGAAAACTCACGGAATCAGGTAGGGACTGAAAACCTAATCCACATGTGGACCAGGGCAAGAATCGAACCCAGGCCATGAAGTGGAAGGCGAGGAAAAAAAAACACTTCGCCAAACTGACTCCCCTAGCTTCTTTGTGTACGTTTGACAAGTGTCTACTGTTGTTTTTTATCACTCAGTTCTTGACGATGATGACTGTGACGTCTTGGACCTGATTGCCCGATCGGGCGGTGATCTGGGCCGACCCAGGGACATCACAGGCTCTAAGGCCAGGGCCTCCCAGGCTGCCACGCACTCCCACGCAGGTATGGACTCAGCGAAGAACCTCTAGAGGGCGTTTGGACTGTCCTCATAATAGGCAATGGTTTAATGACACGTTGAGTCATTTTCTGTGTTCCCAAAAGTACTGCATTTAAGGTAGTTTAGCGGGAATCAAGTGCAAAGCTACCGTCCAACGTACTTAGCTACAATCAGCATTGAAATAGGCTTCACTGGAAATTGGATTCGGATGCTTCCATAGGCGTACTTACCAGCTGTAGTCGAGGCATTTCAACAGCCTCAGCACCTAGACTGTGCTGACTGAGTACCTTTTCGTTTGATTCCTACTATATCAGAACATATTTTGTTTTCCTTTTTAGACTCTGAAGAGGACTCAACTGCAACAGTTTGTGTATGTGTAATCACTTGTGGTTCACAGTGCCAAATTTTAAACTACATGTACACAATGCTCAAGAAACTATCCTTGCAGGAGAGAAATGCATGAGAACATTGATTAGTGTTCAGCCAAAACAGAGCTGGGTTTGAACCTGTGACCTGCGGATTGCCGTTCCGCTGCTCCACCAACTGAGCTACCCAGCCCAATGTTGCGGATTCCCCAGTTTGTCAATGGCTTTGTTCAAGGGCACTAGTCAGAAGCCATAGCCCATATATGCCATGTAGCCCAGGATCATTCCGTACCGGTTCAGCACTGGTGCGGTATTCGGAAGTTCACAGGATCAATCACAACGGCGGTCAATTTCTTTGTTCAATTTTATAATAAATTTTTCTTTGCTGTTATTTGTCCAGAACGTCTCAACAGAGAATCAGCCGACCCGAGGCCTTCCAGTGTCGTGGACCTGCCCAGCACCAAGTACCCTCCCTCCCCCTCCCAAGCCCCGGCCCCACCAGCAGCCCAGATTGACGGGCCTCGTAGACCCAATGCCTGGGACGAGGACGAAGCGGCGATCAGGAATCGCAACCTGGAGGAGAGGATGCTGGGATTGGAGGTGTCTGGAGGTACTGACATCACAGGTAATTATTCCATGCAAAATTTGTATAAATGTGTAGAAAACACTTGTGTTTGGAACATGGTCTGTCGTCAATGTGAATACACCATGTGTTTCAAGGCACAAAGCATGTTAAAACAGTGTCGTCCATCACAAGTCCTCGTTATCACAAGTCCATCACAAGTCCTTGCATTCCCAAAATTCGTCTTTGGAAATTACCTTCTTTTATTGTTTTCTTCAAAATGACAGCATGCCAGAAAGAATCATTTCATAGGGAGTTAAGTGCCATTACTATTTTTAATTAACGCAATTATGCTTTTCAACAATAATTTTGTCAGTTACTTTTTGGATAGCTGCAAATAATATACTCTACCTTTAACCAGTTCGTGCCGGATGATGTGTATACGCGCAAAGGTTTTGCGGTATTTGGAACGGATGACGGATAAACACGCAGGGAGTGAGGCCGGAAATATCTGTCAGCGACCTGCTTGCAGCGAGCGAGGCCAGAAATATGAGTGTGCTGCCCGAGGGTGATGGCTTCAACCCGCCTGGCTTGAGGTCGATTATTGATCCCGCGCCTCGTTCCGTTCTTGTCAAAATAATTCTGGCGTGAACTGGTTAAACAAGCACATACATGTAGGTTTCCACACACATACATGTATCCCTCTTTTCAGTGCACCAGAGAATGTGAAAGATATGGACGATATTTTTTTTAACAAATAACAGGTTTTGCTTTGGCGAGATGTATATGTGACTGAAAGTGATTGTTTCTTTCTTTTCTTTGCTTCAAATAACATCATTGTTTTCTATACAAATGATGCTTGTTTTCAAACAGATAACAAAGCCTCTTTATCCGCTCTTTACTCACCTAAACCTTCTCCTAAAGACAAAATCCCTTCTCCTACCCCTTACCCCCCAAAACAAACCCCTAGTTTGCTAACTCCTAACGCCAGCCCCGACATTGGAATGAGGCCTGTCATTACTATGTACCATAACATCTCTGCTCTGAAAAACACCGTCATTCAGTCCTATCTCGACGACCATTGCACTGTCGAATCACGGCTGAAATCATTCCACGCAGAGCCGAAGTCTAGTTCAAGAAACTGCAGTCCAGAAAAGTTGATTTCCTCATCCAATTCAGCACGAACCAAACTTCACGATAGTTTCAAACAAAATATTTCACCTGACACTCGGGCGAAATTTTTGAGTCCGCAACACGCTGCAGTTTCAAGTCCTGATGTCGAAACTTTCAATAAGTTCACCTCACCAAAAACTAGGGAGGATCAAAATATAAAACTGAACGGTCGTGTTTTAATTGAAACCATTGGAAACAGAAGATTTGATGCTTCGAATGATGCCAGTGCTTCAAGTAATGTGTCACACATGTGGGAATATGGTAGGCCTCTAGCTGCGTCTCCTATAAAAATACCTAAAAATAAAACTCAAAATGTCTCCAGAACAAAAGTTGATCACAAAGACTTTAGCTCCCATTGTCAAGCATTCCAAAAAGATGAGATATTCCAACATGCCGCATCCTCAGCTGAAATTGCCCCACTAAAAACTCAGCCAAATATCACGAAAGCTAACTCACATCTTTCCCACAAGATTTCCAAAACGCCTACTGACGGCACCCCAAGTAGGGCTAATGCTAAATCTGTATCCTTCCTCATTTCACCAACTGCTCACCAATCTCACGATTTGCAAAATATTGCCAAGCCCCAGACTCCATTATCAGTGCCCAAGTCGGCACTAAAACAGTCTCAAAAAAATCAAGTTTTCAACTCTAATAATCATCAACCCCAACATCTGTGTGCTATAATGAACTCACCACCTGATGAACCCAAAGGTTCCCCGACCCACCCTGCAGGAAGCCACCCGCAAAGCAAGGAACGAGTCAGGGTACAGTTCAGCGATAGCGAGAACGGGCAAGATTCTAACAGGGACTCCAACGCGAGGTACGCTGAGGAGAGCCAGGCCTACACGGCTTACACGTCAAGAGGACACTTCACGCCACATCCGGGTAATTCAGGCTCATCATTTTGTTTTCCTTCCAATTTCAAAGTTGCATAAGCTTTGCATACAGCTCTGTTTGGCTGCATCCAAACTACTTGGCTGCGGCTTGCAATTATGCATGCGCCTATGGAAGCGGCTGCAGCCATTACCCATAGACATGTGTGTTACTACCAGCCATAGCCAAGAGATTCCGACATGGCCTTAGATTTGCAGACTTAAAGCTATAGTCCATCATTTGCAGCCATCCGAAAAGTAACTGGCGTAATTATTGTTGAAAAACATACTTGGTTGAAAGATAGTAAGGGGACTAAACTCCCTGTGAAATTATTCTTTCTGGCAAGCTGTCATTTTGAATCAACAAAAGAAGGCCTTTCCAACGGTGTGTCTTAAGACGCACCGTAGGAAAATTTAAATTAGTAGTTCGTTTTGTTATTCGGCGCAGCGCGCGCAAGCATTGGCACGACCCACAGGCGCGCGCGGTTGCTATAATTCGTCGGATCAGTGCGCGACATCGCGTATAGCTGCAATTTAAAACAATTCAAAACATGATTCAGCAACTTTTGATTTGAAATTGAGATCCTAGAATGCTGTTTTTCTCGGAATATACAGCTGAAGCTGAGCTGAAACTTCATCAGGTTAGTTATTCAGTATCCTTCATTAGATTTTGAACACTTTTATTGCTTCAAACGAACAAAATGCACAAATTACAAATGATGGACTATATCTTTAAACATGACCAGTAAATTATACTTGGCTGCTGTAAACGTTGTGAATCGTAAAAAAAAATCTTAAAATCTTTTTGTTTTGAACAAAACAAAAAAACTTCAATTTGAAAGTGGTCATCAAATTCGAGACGTGCCAAAGAATTGATGTTTTTATTAATTTAACCATCCCTCTCTGGCTAGCAAGTTCAACAAGGGTTAGGCCAGCTCAGCAGTCAAAATAAATACAGTGACTGATGTTAGGCCACAAAAAAAAAGTCTCCGGTTTCTGGTATGGTGCTTGCCCAAAAAGTGGTGCTGTTTTTTTTGCTTCAAATGTCGGCTGATGACTGCAAATGGTGCCCAACTAAACTTAGTGCAAATATTATGGGAGACCAGAGAGGCCACGTAAAGCTTATTCTCGATCATAACCCAATCTAAAAACACGTTAAAATTGTGCAGCAGTAGGATTCCAGTCCAACCAGTGAGTTTGGCGGTTTTGAGACATCATCTTTCATTGAAAAAAAAACTTTTTCATTTTGCCGACGCGCATGGCTACGTGCATACCAGAAACCGGAGACTTTTTTGGGGGGGGGCCTTAACAGTTGAGTGCTCATTGCCTTTATAAAGCAGGATTGACTGGCTGTGATTGTTATGAAACCCGATACAGCTATGCTTTGACTGTAGGAGATTGATAAGCCAGCTGTGTCTACCAGCCACCTGCTTTTGTTTGTTGATGGAATTTGACTGTCACAGTGCCTACAAGAAATATGATCTGACTGTTGGTGACTAGCCTGTGTGAAAGGCATGGCAGGGGAAGAGGATTGAATTTTTGACTGTCTGTGACCAATTATACAAAAGGAGAGTTTTAAAGTTCCATTATTTTTGGATTATAGTACAATTAAATACAGTGCTATAGAGTACCGAAGTGAATACATCACGCGCACAATTATGTGTGTAAAAGACATTAGTGCGTGATTCAGCCCGAGAACCAACACGCGCACGTACTCAATTCGTTTGCACTACACTTACCGGTTCTGAATGACGTCACACTTTGGTACTCAATAGTCGAGTCCATCCGTTTTTGTTAGTGTGACGTCAGTTCAGTTTAAACCACGCCCACTGGCTATTAAGTAGCCTTGGAACCATTGAAACCGGAAGCTAACACAACTTGAGTGTTTATCCATTGGGCGCTGGTAATCAGTGGTGCGCGCGCGTGTATGACGTTTTTACCAATAAACCGGATCTCAAGTCCTCACTAAGTTCTCACACGTCAGTCACAAGTCCTCCAAGTCAAGTCACAAGCTATTTAAGTCAACCGCAACTAAGGCATTCCTTTTGTTGTTCCTCTGTTACTTGTGACTGAACTTGTGATTTACTGGACTTGTGACAGGACTTGTGATAGACTCGACTACAACACTGTCCCCGTCACTGGCACAATTTACGTTGCCTTTTACATTGGCACAAATTCAGTCGTGTTTATTTTCTGACAAACTTCCTTCTGTGTTTGCAGATCACAGTGACCAACTGCGGGAACCAGAAGGAACAAGCAGCCAGCGCGACCATGTCAACACGCATCCTCTAGAGGGCGCCATAGACACGCAGCCAACGCCTACAGAAGACAGCCACATAGACCTCAATCTGTTCTTAGATAACTTCCTCTCGCTGGTAGACAGATACTGGAATGGCACCAAGTCACTCCACAGGCATGGCAAATTCCAAAGTAAGCTTTCTGGTCTTGATTCAGTCTTTAACCTTAACTGTCTTTGGTTTTTTGCTAGGAACTTCTTTAATCCTCTAAAATCCTCCACCATTCAGTGGCTAGTGGCTTGGATCTACCTGCCTCAATCCTCCAAATCCTTCCTGAAAAATAATTTGACAAGAATTCAAACCCAAGGGAACTTCGAAATGCATGTTATTAAAACAAGCTTGATCGGATTTCAGAAGCTGCGGGCCAACGAATTCGTGTTCATACATGAGTCACGTGATTGTGCCATGTAATTTCTGGAAGGAGTAGTGTTTTGAGTAGAATAAAATCAGCTTTTTCACCCAAGTGACCCCATGATGACCTTTGACCCCAGTTTGGTCATGTGACGTGTTCGGGGTGGACTACTGATACTTTTGACAAAGTTTGGTTAAAGTCGGTCAAAATATGTAGGAGCAATATAGACAATGTCAACGTTTGTTAATAACTAACAGATTAAAGGAGAGACATGATGATTTGTTGAGCTGCTATCCCGCAGCTAAAAAATATGCAAATTTTACTCTCGTGAGGGATCCCAGAGTATTCTCTCTCTTACTTTCCTAAAATTATGTGGTTTAATTCAGCATCTGCTAAACTTTTAAAAGCTTCAAAATACATACAATATACAACAAAAGCTTGCAAAAATGTCACCCAACGTATTTATAAAAACACTCTGGTAAATGGTTTGATAAACATCTTGCCTTGGTTCAGTGTTGTTCAGAATTCATATCATGGTTTAAAAACTGCATTAACATACAAACAAAAGTTCTGAAAAAAATATATATATTTTAACTACCAATCACCTCCACCTTGTGGACAGTGTTGTGAGTCAATCACAAGTGAAATTACAAGTCAGGCCTCAATTATTAGGAGATGAACAATGACAGTGTGGGATAGTAAGTTTGTTCAAATGTTTGTTCAAATTTGAGAAAAGTGATTGACTTGTGATTGACTCAAGACTTACTTGTGATAGGCCTGTGATGGGCTTAAGATTACTTTATGAGGACTGTGAATTCATTCAAACTTTTGTGATGTACCAGTTTGATATGCATATTTTATTAATTCCCTTCCCCTCCCAACCCGATTTCTCCTTGCTTACGCTGTACAGGCCAAGCACATACCCTTCTCTCCACACTAATGAACAGGATCATAGCCAGCGTATCGCAGCCGAGACCAGAAATCCCCAAAGAATCCTCCACAGAGACCAGCAAGCTGAGACAGGCCCTACGAGCTAGCCAGGATCGAGTGGTAGGTGGATTGATCATCCCATTTGTGCCCGTACTCCACCCACCTAACCTATCCTCTACTCCTCCAACCCCTCCCCCACCCTCTATCCCACCCCATCCCCATCCACTACCCCCATCCACTACCCCAACCCCAACCACCACCCCCAATCCCCAACCCCCAACCTCAACCCCTCCGCCCCTCCACCCCTACCCCGACCCCCCCCCCTCCCCACCCATCCCCCAACCCTATCCCCCAAACTGGCTCTGTCAGATTTTATTAAAGATGGAAATCCACGCTTAAAACTCCTCTCGCCATGTTACTTTTATATATATCTTATTTTTAATTGCTCTATTTCTAGCAATACAAATGTTATTTACTTTCATATGAGACATTGAACATCGAAAAATCTGCCCTTATCTATGTAGTAATGGAATAATTACTTTACAAAGATCAAATCATTTGACAGTGATTCAGTGCTTGCAGGATAGACTGGTCCAGGCCTGCCTATCAGAATCCATAATGTAGGAACCGGGAACCAGTCTACCAACAGCTACCTTAAATGCAATGCAAACGATCTGTACCTCAAAGTTCCTGCAAAAATGTCAGAGACCACATCGTTTTTGTCAATAAGATACATGTAGATCAGGAAGAAGGGTTTTTCTTTATTTTTTCCCATTAAAAGTTGACTATTTTTCTTATTTTGTAGGGGAATCTGAAAGATGAACTAGACGCAGCACTTGCTGACAAGAGGAACCTCCAGGCAAACCTGGAAGCAGCGCAGCGTGAAACACCATCAGGTGACAGGTCAACTGATAGGTCAGGTGTTAGGTCAGGTGACAGCAGTCAACAAACGGACAGAAGCGTTCGCTCAGGTAATTAGGCTACCTCTTCTGAAACAAAAGTTTGTTGAATTAAGGCGGCAAAAGATACATTTAGGCCAAAAAATTTTTTTTAATTTTTTTCAATACAAGATGATGTCTCAAAACTGCCAAACTCACTGGTTTGACTGGAATCCTGCTGCTGCACAATTTTAACGTGTTTTTAGATGGGGTTATGATGGAGAATAAGCTTTATGTGGCCTCTCTGGACTCCCATATATTTGCACTAAGTGTAGTCGGGCACCATTTGCAGTCATCAGCCGACATTTGAAGCCAAAAAAAAAAAAAAAGGCCGCGTCGCCGCACCACTTTTGGGGCAAGCTCCATACCAGAAACCGGAGACTTATTTTTTTGGCCTTAGAAGTCTTTTTTTAATAGATTGTCCAACATTATATGTGAGGTGTTCAGGCAAAATAAGACAGAACTGGGCACAGGCCGTAGTGGAGAAAAATGCACACACAAAAAAGAATGAATGGGATGATTTTTTTTCTGATGTTCAGATGTATGGATATTTGTATTCTTTGATTTCTCTACTACACATATTTTAAAGAAATAGTTTAAAAATCGTGGAATAAAAGTAGTTTTAAGGAAAAGCAATTGGCATCTTACATTTTCTATACAAATTTGAAAGTTTAAAGGCCTTTTTCTCTGTATTTTACTTTTTGACATGTCGAAAAATACAAACTTTAAACAGCCGTAACTTGTCAAGGGAATGTCCGATTGAAGTGCAACAAACAATATTGTAAGGACTATTTTATCCTCTTTCCTAATACATGCAAACCCTCATTTCGACCTATGCCCAGCTCCGTCTCATTGTGTCAAAACGTCTCACATATATTCTTAATCGAGCTAGAAAATGTTGAGTGTTGTTTGACAAGTGTAACTTGTTTGATATTCCCTCCACTAGTTTTCAAACTATATTTATTCGCTCACATCACTTTATCAACTATCAATGAAATCTGAATTGCCTCCGAACTTAAGTCACTTCTCATTAGTAGAATGCAAGGAAAATAATTTTCCCATTTGAGTAATCTGGGGTTTTTTTTCTTTTTGCTTTGTTTTTTAATTGATTGGCAGGTGTTTTGGAAAGGGAAATTGAGAAGCTGCGCATGGAGAATGAGAGTTTGAGGCTTCACGTCAAACACTTCAACCAGCTACAGGAACTTGCCACTATGCTGCAGGAAAGCCACAAGTAAGTCAACTTGCTGTGTAGTAGTTTGTATTACTACATCCCATAAATATTCATGATCAAATTGGAACACGTCATTGGCCGATTCCACTGCGCATCCAGGAAGTAAAAATGATATGCGCCCAGGTGACGTCATCCCAGTGAGTATCCAGCTCACTGCCGTGTGGTGTTTTTTCTGGTAGCACCAAAAATTCCCTCTGGAACCCGCCTCGTAGACATGTAGTCAGTGGCATTTAATTTTTACGGAACCAGTCTGTTGTTGTAGTCCTTGTAACTACTGCAGTAAAGACACATTAAAGAGTGTTGGCACCAGACTATTTCAATGACTGACAAAGAACCTGAATATCTTGTGCTGAATAAAGATGCAAAATCTACGAAGGCCGTTATCGACAAGGCAGTGAGGCTACAAAAAGGCAGGGAGCCTACTAAATATTTATGAGGTGTAGTAAAATCAAATACAGCATGGTTTATTTCTGGATTCGCGTCGGGAGGTAGTCAAGCTGACCTACACCTCGGGACCAGTAATTCCCACTTCTTCCCCTCAAACCATGCTGTATTTGTATACTACCAATGCCCTAATACAGTGTTCTGTTACATGAATAAAAAATGTGCACTAATCTCAACGACTGAGAATTTCTACTATAGGTGGTTGATAGTCACATACGAAAGTTAGATGGACTTGACGTTAAGACTCTAAAGGGAATCTGAAACATTTTGAACTGAAGTTCCGTCATTGCGAAAGAAGTTTGACATAATAGATCTAATAGAGCTCTATTTTACAAGTTACAAATGATATGAGGATTGGAGAACAGTTAAAGGCATATAGGATCATTTGCATATATTCCAAAAGTAACCTATCATATTATTGTGAAAAAAAAACTTACTTGGATTTAAGATTGTACAGGTACTAAATACCCTGTGAAATTTATTCTGTCTGGCTTTCTGTCTTTACAAGAAATGGAGGAATGTAGGTGATTTCCCACGATCTGTCAATTGACTGATTTTTGGAAATAAAGAGTGCTGTTGACGAAATCTTGTTTCATGATTAACAAGTTGTGCGTGATTTTTCACTATTTTCTTGAAAAGTGTAATATCCATCCACTGAGTTGAAACTTCAAGAGGTTAGGTTTTGAACATTCGTCTTTTGATTTTGGGTGATGTTATTATTGGAAACGAACAAAATGCATAAACAGCAAATGATCCTATATGCCTTTAACTATCGATATGTTTCATGTCGCTCAAACAGTATGCAGTTTGCAATGTTACTCAATGGCTGTGGAAACAAAAACAACCGTTTAAAAATCCTGCTAAAATGTGATTCCTTCATCCCCGTTGACAGGTCTCTGGTCACTACCAACGATCATCTCCTGCAGGAGTTAGACGAAACCAAACAGCGCCACCTAGAGGAAGTCAAGCAGCTGCATTGGTCGTACAGTGAGCTGAAGCGCACCGTAGAGCTGGCACCCAACATGCAGAGTGCTGGCAGGCACGCGGGTCTGGGCTACGCCACTGCCAATGGTGTACTGTAACCAATTTTGTTGTTTTCAAAACTACAATTGTTTTTCCCTACGAAAGTATTGGCTGCACATCGCAAATGCGCATCGCAAATGCGCGTCGCAAATGCGCATCGCAAATGCGCATCGCAAATGAGCATCGCAAATGCGCATCGCAAATGCGCGTCGCAAATGCGCATCGCAAATGCGCGTCGCAAATGTGAATTTGTGACATCATGGCAAAGGTTCAGGTGCAAATTTGCAGTAAAGTCATACAGCATTTGCCTTTGTGTGAATATGAATTGATCTTTACTAGAGTATTTTCCACTTAATGTACTCGGTATTGATGCTGGTTATGGACACTGGTTATGGACGCCATCCCAAAACAGGAGATTGCACTTAGTGACTACTCCATAGAGGAGACACCCCTGTTGCGCGCACTGGGAGTACATTTTTTTGGTACTCATACTCATGAAAATGTACTCGTACTCATATTCGTACTCATACTTGTACTCATACTTGTACTCATACTTGTACTCATACTCGTACCCGCAAGGATATTACTTTTGTAGGTTTCTGTCACATAGCCATGGTAGTCCAGATAGGGAAATCGCGAAAGCTTTCTCTTTTACACAGAAAGTCCAGGTTTTGTTCTTGTACTAACTTAAGAATGGTAAATGTAAATAGAAGTTCTGTCCGTTATTTGTTCTAATATATTAAAGAGCTTAAAAACAAAACAAAAATTTGACATGCACATTATTGCCACTTGCACTGCCGCTTTGAAATTGTAAGTATTTTTTTTGGTAATTGTAAATAGAGCTGTAGATTGTATGTGTACTTTTTTTATTGGAGTATGACTCAATGCTCATTGACCAATCACAAAACTACTTAGTTCTTCTGTTAAAGGGTCCATGAAATGAATTTTACAGGGGGGCAAATTTGTAGCAAATATACTTTCCTCTGAATTGTTTGAAAACTATGAGACATCCCTTTTGGGTAAAATTTGGAACATGCAGTTTTAAATAAAATAAAAATTCATGTTTTTCCTGACAACTGAGGGCGATATTGCTGTGATGTCACTTTACTTCAGTTAAGAGTTTTTTCTCTTCAAATTGTAAACCTGAAAATCTTTTTATTGAAAACGTTTTTGCATAAGGTTTTCTCATTGTCAACTGTCATTTGCTGAAACAACAATGAAGCACTGAAAGCAGAACTCACATGTACAGCAAACCCCTAAAATTCTGGTGACTTCTTATGCTGAAGCAGATGTGAGTGAAGTTTCTGCCTTGAATGACATAGGTTTGCTCACGAATATGGACATTTTTGCTAGCATAAAAACCCCAAAAGGCAGCAAAACACCCTTCAAATGGCAATATAAAGATTACTGATAAAGTTAAATAGGACACAAAGGTACATGTATATGTGATGTGATCAAGCTAAATGAGTCGTTTGTTGGGAACTTTCGTTTGGAGATTCAGGACAAAATAGGGCCACTTCATCACATCACTTCATCACATCTCTTGATGTTCCAAATTCCATAATTTTTGAACTAAAGATGGTATCAGCATGCCGTTTGCACAGCAGTAATGCTGAGATTGTGCTCTTTTCAAATCTGTAAAAAAGAAATTGTCCAGGGTCGACAAACGACTCGTTTAGCTTGTTCACATCACATATTTCAAGGATTACATCGAAAAAAAAAATAGTCCATTACATGGGCCCTTTAAAATGTCAAAAAGCACATGTACATTGTATTAAAATGAAATTGGATTTAACCAGGGTTTAGATTGAGTGAGACACTGTTTTTGTTGTATTAGTGTTGCACCTTACATTTCAGTTTATCTGTTTCTAACGTAATTAAAAAATGCATTGAGCCGGATGATCAAGTATTAAAGCCTCGATCAAATTGGACGTGCATTTTGCACTACCCAAATTTTTTCATAAGTTATGAATGTCAGCTTTGAGAAAAGTGTACAATTTTAAACAATTCTATTTTTGCTATTGTGTGATTTTTTTTTATATATCCAATTGGTTTGACAAAATGCTGTGTAAAATATTAACTGAAATGCATAAATATACTATTGAATCCCTGTTTAAATGTGTGAAATCATTAAAGTGTGACTAATCAACAATTGTGTGCTTAAATAAGGGCAGTATTATGAAGAATTCCATTGTTTTTAAGAAGTGAGCCCTCTTGTGCTTCTCTTGTGCCACTCACTTGTTTGTGAATGGCCATAAACTGGCAAGAGAGTATGTAAGGGTGCACACCTGTAAATAGGCCTAAACCCATCCGCCGAGCTCATGAATAAAATTGATACCCTCAAAATATTCTATATTAGAGAGTTTTGAGAGCCATAAAATTGGGGAATTGAAGAGATATGGTAATGTACCTCTGGCCCGGACTTGGGGCTCCCAATTCTGAGCATTTTGGATGCAGTTGGGCTCGAAAGTGGCGCTATTTTGCCATGTTGTGAAGGGATCGTTTTTCAAGATGGCCACTTTTCCGCAAAATAGGGGTCGTCTTCTTTGGGTGAGAATTCTTCGAAAAGTCAATGGTCAACCCAACAAAAAATGAACAGAAAATAAAAGATGACATGTTGATGGTCATTTTTCTGTACAGCTTAAATACCTGTGAGAGTTCTGAGTACATGTATTTTTAAAAGAATTTTGAAGTGCATTGTATGGGCATTTAGCACTAGCGTCTATGGTTATTTTAATGCAGGGGTGCACCCGTAATGTACTTTTCGTCCAAGTTGAAGGTGGAGCTGTTTTAACACAGTTTTGTAATAAATTTAATTTGCACCAAGATTTTCATGACATTCTCCTGGTTTCATTGTTTCTTTGTCTTGATTAAGTACTATTTGAGAAAAGTATTGTAATGCCTTTTTTAGGAACTCTTTCAGGGTGCAATATATTGAATCAGGGATAACCCCGTAGTTCAGAAATACAATTTAGTTTGCCCTTTCTGATGTCCCTTCAAGGATAGTTGAAGCATAGCCAAAGGAGTTATTGGCACAAGCTAAAATACAAGCAGATCAATTTTTTTTGTATTGAGATATGTGCCTTTTTTTTTTAAAAATCGGAACATGAATGAACGTTTAGAAACAATTATGTGCATCAGTGGTTTGCATGGGCGTCGTCAGCTTTTCCGGGGGGCAAGGGGGCGCTTGCCCTCCCCCCCCCCCCCCCCCCGGAAAAGCCACACACAAAAATGGGGGAAAGGGAGTGGAAAAATGGGGGAAAGGAAAGAAAAAGAGGTGTTTTTTGCTCTCCGCCCCCCCCCCCCCCACCCCCTCCCTTAGAAAAAAACCTGGCGACGCCAATGCTGGTTTTGAACCATGTTAAACTTCAACCATGTGCAAAAACTAGGGCGGCGCTCTGAAATTAAAGGGAGGATTCAACATTTGCAAACATCTAAAAACAAAATGATTAAATTATCACGAAATATCTTACTCGATTGTTAATGACAGTCTAAAGAGTATCCTGTAAAATCGTGGCTCCTGGTGTGCTAACATTTTAAAGAAAAATTGTATTTTTCCAACGCTGGTCGGCCGACCAGCGTCTATAAATTGCTCTGTTTCATCTTAAGTGGAGCCAGGGAACATGTTCATGGTTGGTTTTCTTGTATTTCCCAGCATCTCCGAACCCAAAACGTGAAGCAAGTCAGTTAAACAATATTTGGTATAACATAATTTATACTAATCCTCCAAATCCATTTATTTCTGAAAACTGAAGCAAAAGCAAATGTTGTACAACCGGATGAATAACAACTAGCGCCTTGACCAAGGCTAACATTCCCTTTAAATTACCAAGGCTAAGTCGTTGCGTCATTCATAAATTCTACCGGCTGGAACTGGTTTACTTGCGGTCTGCGGGTCACGTGGCATTGTTATGAGCGGGTAGTTTATGCCAAGCCACTCCTCTACGAAAATATTTAGAACAGCTTCAAAAATAAGCCAAAAAATAGTTTAGTCTGAAATATAAACTTTTTTCAAAATTTGTAAAAGTATGTATGATGTTCTGTACAAATCAAGTGTATTTTATGCTTAACAGAGCATTTATTTTGCCAGAAATATAGTTTACATTTTTTTAGTGCAGAGGGAGTAGTGCTGCTGATGGGAAGATCACAATTAGCAAGTAGTGGTGCATGATGAAAAGGGCCACGCATGCATATCAGCACGTAAACACACAACGGTCACAACAAATAACTACGTGGGCTGGTTCAGAAAGGACACTTTTCTGACGTCGTTATCCGAGTTTTACCTTTGACTAGGTCATGAGACAATGTCACTAGCAACGGTTACTGATTCACCCTGCATTCCACGCTTCGACTAGTTCGAGTGCTTGGAGATTTAGTTTCGTTTTGGCTCTAGGATCAGCTTGCATTTAACGGCAGTCGTCTCGCGTTCGCACACAGCTGCAGTTACGTTTCAGAGACTCGCCATTTTGTTGACCAGCGTTTCATGTATTAAATTTGGTCGGACTTTAAATTCGGTTGGTGATGTTCGACTGCGCATTTTACACAGTGCTTCAGGAGTACAGCAGCTGACACAGTACTGTGGTTGAAGTCTACACTTTATTTAATTGAGTGAGAACCACCATATCATCAGGTAGGCCTAACTGCCAGTGATAGGTAATTTAAAAAAAACAGGACGATTGCACGAGTTTACTTTTTTTGTGATAGTAGGCCTATCCCTATATTGCAATAGCCACTGAAATGGCTTCCATAAAAATACATGATGATATAGCCACTAGGTATTTAAAAAAAAAAACAACATTCCCTTTGATGATTTAAGACAATTTCTGAAATGAATGTTTTTATCTTTTGGTAATAATCACTAATATTCTCTTTGTTTTGGGTTTTTTATTTCGTTTCATGACTGCATGGTATACGAACAAGTTTCAAAGTTAAAATATTTAAATTATAACTTGGATCTGATTGTTTTTACCTAAAATCCAACCACAACTGAAATTTGCAGTGTTGCGATTTTGTTTGCTCAGAACACAATGACGTCCGTAGTGGAGTCAGGCCAGATGTCGACGTTCAGGGAATATCGACCAGACAACTGGTGCTGGGACCGGCAGAACAAATCATCCGATGTACATCTCTCCACCAATCAGCTAGCTGCATATTTCCATATAGGTAATGTTTACGCAGCAAATACTGGGATTACTTTAATGTCAAAATATTTAACCAAATGAGACTCTCTGTACACACAGGAGTTGACGTTGAAAGACAGTAGTACACATTTTAGGAGGATATTATTAATTTTACCCAAATTGTTATTTCTGGACTAGATTTCACATTAGTAGTAAAAAATAACCCTATATTTCTGCTGACTCATAAAAGTGTACATTAATATTAATATGTATACTTTAAAGATGCATTTCCCGTGCTATTCGAGACTCCCCTCAAGAAATTGATGTTTTTTGTCAATTACTATTTTCTTATTGATCAATTATGTAAATTTATTCACTTTTAAATGAGACATCGAACTAAAAAAATCAACCGACATTTATTGAATTATTTCTTAACAAAATTAGAATTATTGGCTGCCAGACTATAATTTGGCTCTTGTGGGGGGAGGGGGGGGATCATTTGTGCGCAAAGTGAAAGCCATTTTTCAGAGGGTTGCAGATGTCCAAAATCAGAATAAAGGAGTTTTTCGACGAAACATAACAAAATATAAAATCCCTTGGGAGAAAAAAATCAAGTTTTCAAGAGCACAGGGTATGCAACTTTAAATGTACGTAGATCATTTAGAAAAAAAAAGGTGTTTTTTTTTCATCAATGTGAAATAATGCTTGTGTGGCTGAAGATTTGTTAACAGATTTTGGGTACTCCTCTAACTCTTGAACTTCTTATGAAAGTTTTTCTACCATCTCCAATATTTCACTACATCAACCTTTGCTCTGGGCGCAGTGGTTGCTTAACCATCGATCCTTCCACCTTCATTAGATTTAATAAACATTCACCTATCCCAGAAATATAAAAATCTTTCAATTGGTCTATTTCTTGTGACTCTACTGCATGTTTACCAGGGGCTTCCTCTAGCGTCTAACACAGGTGAAGTGGAATCGCTCTGATCTGATCTTTTTCCTTTCGTCGACAAAGAAAATCGTGGAGATTCACAATGTGGTTATCCTGATTGAAAGAAGTAGCCACTACTCCCAAACCACTGAGGGCTAGATGCGATTGCAAGGCAGGCAGAGGATCAACCACTTCTGAATCGCCGGGTCAAGTTAGATTCTTCATCGAGTAGCTTGAGGTCAAAGGTGAACGTGGTGAAAGGGTATCGCGGGGCCTTCACATCCCAACAGCAAGAAACCCTTCATGAAGCCAACTAGTTGAAGCACTTAGCCTGATCATGCTGATCATCAAACTTCTTCAAAAGAACAACAGTTCCAAAGACCAATTTCCCGGATGTCATCTCCTTCATACACAGGAGACTCAACCATACTGCACATCCAGAGAAACTTGAGTCCTCTGTCCAGCACACTGCTGCAATCATGGTACACAAGCATTACGACCAACCGACAATGCCGTAACCTCTGTTTCCATGGTGGGCTCTGCCTTGAGCTGTTTCACCAAAATGTAATCGATGAAGTTGAAACCATTCTGTCATTGGTACAGTATGGTGCGTGGTATGTAGAAGAAAAAACTAACATTGGCCGATTTTGTGTATATTCAGCTTCTTTTTTGAAAAAGGGCGGATTAGTTCAACTGCAAAGTGTAAATTCCAAAATAAATCCCCAAATTAGACCAAATAAAGCATGCTGATTTTTGTAACCAACCTCTGGCTGTCACAATTAGCATACAGCCCTGTAAAAATTTCTAATCCGCCCTTGTTCCACACCAATTGTCTTCTGGGGCACTGCGAGGCGACCCGCCTCAAAAATCAACTTTTTTGACATTAGACCATAACGGCTACAACTTTTTCCCCTCTTGTTTTTGAACTCTAGATCCCGTGGAGGATAGTACAGGCACTGCGGGTGTGCGGGGAACACAGGGATTCCACGAGGGAGAGTTTTACTGGGAAGTGATCTTCACGGAGCCAGCGTTCGGCACGGCAGTCATGGTCGGGGTAGGAACCCAGAAAGCACTGCTGCATACCACCAACTACCAGTACATCAACATGCTAGGTAAGCAACAACCAAATTGGTTTTTTTCCCACAAATTGTTCCGTTGTTTAGTTCTCCAGTTTTGAGCAAATGAAAACCCAGTCCATCCAAGCCTGGGCCAAGAAAGACGTGTTGCAGTTCGAGTCCTTCATAAGTCCTCACAAGTTGATCCCAAGTCATCTAATTCCCCGAGTCGAGTCACAAGCTATTCGAATGAACTGTGACAAAGGCCTCCTCATTCCTCCAAAATCAACCAGGCGGTTTTGGGAGATATTGGAGGATTGAGACTGTATGCCATTTTTGTGCCAGTTGATTTTGGAGGATGCATTGTGTCATGGTCTTAAGCTGCACCTTGTGTTGCCTGTGCTTTATGGTCATGCATAAATTATGCATGGATTAAAGTAGATGTCATCCGCACTGCTTCTGGATATCATTGGCAATTCCTCATTGCATTGCAATGACTGTTGGAGGATTTTGCTTATTGGAGGATTTTGAGGCAGTGGTCACCCCTCCACTGAACAAATGCATGAAATAACGGATGATTTTGGAGGATTGGGGCTGTACAAACACGGCTGCTTTTTACATGGTGGCAATTGGGGGATTTTGAAAGATTGAGGATGGATCCTAGCCGAAAAGGCCTAGGTGCCCTTTTGCTAGGAACCATCCTCAATCCTCCAAAATATTGCACATGTCCAAATGAAGGATACCCAGCGCCTCAATCCTTCACAATCGTCAGACAGTCCTGCCTCTCAAAATGCATTCATCCTCAATTCTCCAAAATCCTCTTCTTCAAACACCATTCATCCTCAATCCTCCAAAACCCTCATGTGCTTTAACACCATTCCTCCAAAATCCTCCAAAATCCTCCAAAACCGCCAGGAGGATTTTGGAGGATTGAGGAGGGTTAGGGTTAATGTCTCCTGCTACTTGTGACTTGTGAATTGACTTGGATTTTCGTGTGACTGGACTTGTGATGGACTCGGATACAACCCAGCCACTGCCAACCTGACCTAACAATGACCAATGCAAAAAGTACAGCAAGTCTTATTTTCTCTCTTTGTTTAGGCATGGATGACCAGAGCTGGGGGCTGTCCTACAAGGGCACCCTGTGGCACAAAGGGACGTGCCGACAGTACTGCAAGCCCTTCTACGAGAACAACACCAGGATAGGAGTACTGCTGAACCTGTACGCCGGTACGCTGACGTACTTCAAGAACGGAGTCAACTTGGGTGTGGCATTTAAAGGTGAGTGTTATTTCAATGATGTTTTCTACAATATGTTTGATTTTCTTCCAAACCTAATGTTCAAATAGTTTACAACTGCAAAATGAAAATGTGATGTTGTGGACGTTGTACTGCACACTAGGGCCGTGCCGAATATCATGGACCAAATGTTGGAATATTCAGTCATCGACCGAAATATCCAAATATAATTTTATTTTTTTGATTCGCATATTCCAGGAGATAAACGAAAAATGAGTAAAATTTGCGTGGTTTTATTGCTGGTCGAAGCCACTCTTTTGTGCCTGATTTTAAAGCTTCCATGTGAGGAATACTGGCTCAATTTCTTCTTGAAATTAGTCAAATATCAGCCATTTAATTTGTATTGAAACAAGTTCTTCGTCAAATTTCTACAATGCGGTTGCATGTTTAACTTGCTGAATACATTTCAAAATGTAATATGTGAATATTTGATCAAGTCCAAGTTGAAAGAATCAAGTACTAAATAAAAAAAAATAAAAAAACTGCACAGCCCCACTGGACACGCAGAATACAAATTTGTAATTATATTTTCAGTGAATATGCATACAATGGAAGCATGTAATATTTGCATACAATGGAAGCATGTAAGATTTGCAATCATTTGGTTGGCTTTAAAAAACAAAGTCCTGAACTAGGATCTTACCACAATACAAAGTACTATCTACATGCACCATGTGTACAATCTGAGCTGCACAGTTTGTTGGCTGCATTCCCAACATGTTGAAAGAGCCAAAGAACAGATACATTAAGCCCCGCCCCAGGGTGTTTTGACCAATCACAGCTGTGATTATCGACTTAAGTCTGACACGCCCATACATGTACATATTCATGAGGTGCATGACTGGAACATGCAGTGTGGGCGGAGCTTAATGAATCAATCTATAATTGATTCAATATCATTACACACATCAAAGTCATGATCCAATCATGAATATATGCAAATTGTGAATGTTTAAAAAAAAAAAACAGGCAGTAGTCCACAGGAGTCACTTCGTGGACACAACTTTATTTTTTTTATGGTACTATAAATTTTGGAGGACAAAAGGTAGGATTGGCATTTTCAAGTACAAAAAGATTTCATCATCTGTGTTTGCAGATATATTGACTTTTCCACATGTCAACAAGGTTAAGTAAAGAAAGGAATTGACGTTGCAGTTAAAAGACTACATGGTGTGATTATATTGTAGTTTAACCCTTACCCTACTTGACCCTCCAACGCATGCCAATTGTGCCTCAAGAAAATCTCCTATGTTTTTTGCATGGCCCTCCAATATCTGCCATGTCATTTCAAGGGTAACTGGACAGGCACTCCAATACATGCCACAGAGAACAATGAGAGTCCTCTGATAACAAAGTGAGTGCCCCCAGCTGGTCAGTATCAGGCACCCTCCAGGGCCTCCAACTCCTGCCAATTGGAGCCTTCACTGCTACATCAAAGTATCCTCCAATAAACTGCAGCTGGAGGGCATTGGCATAACCAACTGACATGCAGTAAACTACCCTCAGAGAGTAAGGGTTAAAGGTCAAATGTGAGGGCATGCGATTGGTGATGTTGACATGGTACAAGCAAGGCCAGTGTAAACTCAGTGCTTGCTAGTGGGTTAAACGGGGCATTACGGCCTCAAATTCCCGAAAAAAAAATCATGTTTTGGATTGTTTACTTTTCGTATTTCAAAGGTCTGGCTGAAAGAAACTAACCTAATGTCTTACCGTTCCCAAGGAAATGCGAAAACACCTAGTTGTTTACATCGGACAAGGCGGACATTTTGTGGCATGTTTCAATAAATTCAAGCAGTGTCGATTCAATGTACCGTACACATTGTGTGTGTGTCACTGTGATTTTTGAAATGAGAGTGATAAGTCGGACGACTTTGTCGCGTAAATGTAAACGCACTCATTGATTTGTACGGGTATATAAAAACGCGCGACATAATTGCGCGACAAAATTGCGTATGTGTAAATAAAATTCAGGGAACTCGATCAAAAATGGCTTCTTAGTGAATAAGGTCTATGATGCCCAGTTGTTATTGGAATTCTAGGGTGTTTGATTTGGTCGGTGCGGTACATGTATCTTGCCCAATAAATGCCCTCGTGTATCAAATCCAAACCAACATGTTAATAATGTACAGGTACATGTACATGTTATTTTCATGTTAGTCAGAAACCCTGACTTCATCAATTTGACAGGTGTTTGTACACGTCCAATGAGCTCATCTACGGAATTGGGGCCTTAGTGGCCAATCACAACACAGTATTTGAGAGATTCAGCATTTTCATTCGAAATACGCTTTGAGCATTACCTATATTCATTCTTCACACCCAGTCACAGCTGATTGTGCATTCGTACAGGTTTGTGAAGGAACGCGCACAAAACCCATGGTGAGGGGTACGGACAAAGTTACACGTACACGCAGTCGTGTTCATACCGTCGGTCTTGGACGTCTTATTGTCCCTCTTTTGTTTGTACTCTTTTTAGGAAGACTCCTGTAGGTTTTGTACACGACCCCAATCGCGGACGTATGCTGGGAATCGTGGACGATAATGTTCTCTTTTGTTCTCTGGAATTGAACACGCCCACACATACTTGTTTCGTAATCGTGGGGACCACACACGAGTTGTCCCATGGTACTATGGCGACGAAAGACACTGTGGGGACAGCAGAAAGTCCCCATAACTCGGTCCTAATTTGCTACAATAAAAAACTTACCTAAAACGCGGTGATGGCCCGTCCATCTACACTGTGCATTTGAATGTTTTTAAACTAATGTATGTGTGTACATTTATTTATTTTAATGATGTGGTGCTTATATAGCACTTAATATCAAAGGTCTCAAAGTGCTTCTCAACTATTACCCCTGTTCATCAGGCCATGAGACCATTTCTTCTGCAGCAGCTCGAGATCAGCGCAATCTGGTCTCTCTATAGAGGCAAGGGGTTCGAACCAACATGCCACGGCGCATGAGTTGAACACCGTAACCACGAGACCACGTTTTCATTTTCAAATTGAATGCATTTTTCCATTGACAGATCTGCACCGAGTCGGCGAGGAGCTGTACCCGCTAGCCTGTTCCACAGCCGCCGAGACCGAGCTAGAACTCGGAGTACGCAGCTCACGCAAACTACGCCTGCAGGACAAATGCTTCTCCACCATCCTCCAGCACATCGGCCGCAACGATAACGACATAGATATACTACCCCTCCCGCTTACAATGAAGCATGCACTCAAAGAAGATAGACATAATGCTTGTCCTTAATAATAATAACCAGTGGGAAAGAATGTTGTATCCAGACGCCACTTCTTTGGTTGTGTACAAAGTCTATGGAGAGTCGAGTGCATTTTCAAAGTATTTTGTAACAAAATTAGGAATGTTTCTCAATCCCGGGTTCAAGTCTTTTCAACATTTTTGCAATGACTGACTGTTACAAAGATAATATATGATGAAAAAAATGGCGTCAGGATGCAACATTCTCTCCAACCGTTGCTATATATCCAAAGATGTTTGAAATATATGTAGAATCTCAATAAGTGTACAAAGAATTATAAGAAATATACGCAATATAACGGCATTTAAATGCTTTGGAATGTTCTCTTTTTTATTTAGTATTTTTGAGAAGAAAAACCTTGTGAAAATATTTAAAAGACAAAAAAATAAGAAAATGAGTTCAGTATTTTAGGTTTAGTTTCTTTATTCCTTGAAAATAAATGTATAGTCTTGTTACTTTTTTTTCACTAAAACAGAGCACCATTTGTTGTGCTGACTGGTTTTTTATTGAAAGGCAAGAACAGAAGTTTGGAAGTTTTAATTAATAAATGTTCAGGTCTTCAACATCTGCACTGAATGTAGGATCAATTTTAAAGCTTATTTTAACCCTAACCATCCCAAATCCTCCAAAATCTTTTTGTGTCAAGGCCTTGGGCCAGACCTTGTGTTGTTTATGCTCAGCCGTGCATAAATTTAGTCCTTGATTATCCTTGACATCCTCCGCACTGCTCCAGGATGTCACTGCCTCTGCCTCAGCCTATTGACAGACATAGCCGGAGGATTTTGCAGGATTCAGGCAGTGGTCACCCCTCCACGGACCATATTCAAGAAACAATGGAGGAATTTGCAGGATTGAGGCTATATGCTATTTTTCCACGAGGCCAATTGGAAGATTTTGCAGGATTGAGGCTACATCCTAGCAAAAAGACCTAGGGAGTTAGGGTTAAAGACAGGAATGCAGGAACATTGGTAATTACCCAGAAACGGACTTACCGATGTAATGACAAACACCCGAGTCAAATTGAAGATAGGACTGGTACCAAGTACCATGTAACAATTATTCCATCTGAAATTGTATTGTTAAGAAGAAAATCATTGAAGGTTTTTTTTTTTTTTTTAAAGAAAAGTGTGGCTATTCATAAGATGGAATTTTCATAAGATGAAAAGTGTGACTGCTGGCGCATTTTTTTTTTTTTTTTCACGTGCATCAGTAAGGCCAAAAAAAATAAATAATAGTTCTGCTTCCGGTTTCCCTACCCCAAACCATCAATTTCTACCTTTTACCCTTGACTACACGCGGACGCCTCCATGTGATTGTACACACAAAAAATTGGCCAAAAAAAAAAAAATGTCCTACCTACCTACCCTAATTTCAAATGCCATGTAATCGGAAGCAGAACTATGTTGTTGTTTTTTGGGGGGTTTTTTGGCCTAATGGAATCCAGTTCCAAGACCCGATGAAAATTGTTATGTGTTTTCTGTATGCTTTATTTTTTATTTTTTATTTTTTTTCCCATTTTATTTTAACAGGCTTTTGGAAAGGACAGTAATCATCACCAAAGTTTTCCTAATTTTTTTATATATGTTGATGCATATTCATTTGTTTGGAATGATTAATTATATGATCCTTCTTTGTAGAATAATTAACTAATCTGGTCCTTTTCGGTACTGCAAGGGTCATCTGTGTACAAAATGTTGCGGTATTGAATTATAAAACGATTTCACAACAAAACCTCAAATTGAAGTGTGTTCATTTATAAAAGTCTAAAAATAATCTGAAAACAAATTACGCACAAAAAAATATACTTCGTGCAGAAAACAAATTAGCAGTCTTGCGCTGGGTTGAAGATATTATACTTGTAAATCACGTAAAATGGGATAATTTTAATCTGACAAATTCTGATTCGATTCATGATTTCTCACTTTTACATACACCAGTGAGTACTCAGGCAATAGACAAAAGTTTATTCATTGTAAGGTTTGGTGCACCTTAAAGTTATGCTTAAAAATTCATGCTGTTATAAGCATGTTGTTTGCACTGTGACTCCAACAAGAGTATTATATTAACAAAAGTGGCATTCCCCTCGCTTAACAACAAATGCGATATTTTTTTTCTCTTAATAAATGTTCAACTTGTATATTTTATTCCAACCCCACCCCTCCCTCCCAGTTCTTTTTTTAACACTTTTGGGCTGTCTGCAACCCTCTGAAAAAAAAGAGGTTTTATTTTTGGCACAACCAGATCTGCATTTTGTTGGCAGACTGGTTCCAGGTCCATACAATCAGTGTCGATCCAGCCAATCCCGCAAGACTGGACTTATTCTCAGGCCACAAGTAATTCACAAGTTGTAAAGTATTAATTCAATAACCAACGTGGGCCGATTTCATCAGTAGATGTCTCAAATGAATAACATTTGTATTGCTAGAAAAATAGCAAGTTATAGAAAAAGAATGTTTATTTTGGGATGAAACTCGAAAATAGCATGGGCAATGCAACTTTGACAAAAGGGCAACACACACATGCAGATTTTAACTTATATTTTGTAAAAATGTGTACAGCTGAGATCGATTTTGTGCAACAGTTGTGTGGTGCCCTTTTCAAATATTAACTTGAAATAGTTAATATTTAATTAGAAATAATGGAGTCGAGTAACCTTGTCTTTCATTATAGGCAGTTTACTCCCAAAAAAATTAAGTTCAGTTCATTATTTTCTACAATAGTTTGGAAATGACATTGTTAACTTAATTTTAGAAGCTGAAATTTATGACAAAAATATGTGTGAGTATGTGAAGTATGTACATAGAAATATATTTTCCAACATCGGGCTTACAATGTTATTTCCAAATTGCAATTAAACGTATCGCACAAGTGATGTGCAAATTACCTCAAGATTTGCTATTTTTGTGTTAGTTTCTTCTGTTTTTGCCATTTACTACTGCTGGCAGCTGATTTGATGTGTCACCAGTCACCACACAATGAGCATTCTAAATAATGGATCTTAATGACATGCACTATCTGGCGGCGTTGAGTTCACGAACACGTGAAGGCCTATTTCTAGAGTTGTTCGCGATTTGGGGGACAAATTCGTGGCAGTATCAGGCGGAGTTTGAGTATAACTCCATAGTCGTCTTAAATTGAAAGTTTTCCTGTTAATTGTTCATAAGGTCTTAAACAAAATCATTAAAATTCAAAAAGAATTGTTGAACAATTCATTTGATGTAACCAACAGAATAGAGTGTGATTAAAAACTGCAAATCTTGGGTCTAATTTCAGACGATAGGTCATAAATGTAGGAATTGAGAGGTGAAACTTGAAAGCATATGTATATTATTAGTGGTTTTTTTCCAATATATTTGATATTGAAATTTAAAAAATGCAAATTTTCAAATATCGTTAGCCGCGATTTTAAGTATCTGTTGGGAAAAGTAAAAAAATTTTTTAAAAAAGCTTAAGGAATTAGACGGGGCCGAGACTCGAACCTTGGTCGCTTGATTTGGAGTTCTGTGCCGTACCACAAAGGCAAAACCAGCTTTTAAATGCTACGCGTGTTCTGCTAGATTTTGACTGAAGTATTGCGTTTTCTGGTGCATAAACACGTAGAGGCACATGTACGCTTAGACGCAACACAGTATCATAACAAAATAATGCGTTTGATTTTGTAATTTTATAGTAAATGAAATTGATTTCAGGTGATAAGAATATGATTCGGAAAGGATAGAGGGTGTAAGGTGAACAAGTCGCATAATTCGATAACTCAAAACCGATGCAATACTTCGTTTCAACACGAAGCACACGTGTTCAACGGATGCAGGGAAGCCCATTTCTTTTGTTAATTTCCTTTATTCGATCCTGCGTTAACAATAAAATGTTTTCCATTGAGGGAATCGGATTAGAGACCTCGATCTTTTTTCACGCTGGAGTGCCTCTGAATGGGGAATATTGAAGCGGAAAATCACGAAATACAGCACTTAGGCAGCGTTTTAACCCACAAAATTATACTTTTTGCAGAGGAAATTGCATACTGAATACGACTATAGTTTCAAAATGCGAAAAATCGCCGTATTTAAGAAGTCGATGTAAAAATTTTGGGCGATGCAGTGCAAAAACTTTCCACTTTCTAACGTAGGTGGCGCTATTTATATTTCATGTGACGTGCACGCACAGTACATCGGTGTTATGTTGCGGGACCTCTGATCTCCCCTTCCCAAGGCAAGGGGAGGCGGAACTGTTTTTCGGGGGGGGGGCTTAATTATAAACTTCTGAAATAAATTATTACATAAAATAGTTTAATGTAACATCTTATGTGTATAAGTTCTTAGATAGTAATAAAATGAGTGAAATCTCTAATACCAAGGTCTTGTACATAAGAACCTAGGGATGGGGGTGGGGGCCGCCGGGGTGGGCGGGGTGTTCGTTTGACAATTAAGAATGAATGTTTTTTAATCGGGTAAGGGGCGGATATTCAATAAATATTGCGATACACATAACTTATTATGCACAAAATATAAGCCATCCACCGCCACACACAAATATAGCAGGCTAGAAGTATTTTTGATAATGCTGTATGTACGTGCGTGCACTGTGAACGGAATAGCGCCACCTACGTTGGGAAGTGGAAAGTTTCTGCATTGCATCTCCCAAAATGTTTACCTCGACTTCTTAAATACGGCGAATTTTCGCATTTTGAAACTACAGTCGTATTCAGTATGCAATTTCCTCTGCAAAAAGTATCGTTCTGTGGGTTAAAACGCTGCCTAAGTGCTGTATTTCGTGATTTTCCGCTTGAATATTCCCCATTCAGAGGCACTCCAGCGTGAAAAAAGATCGAGGTCTCTAATCCGATTCCCTCAATGGAAACATTTTATTGTTAACGCAGGATCGAACAAAGGAAATTAACAAAAGAAATGGGCTTCCCTGCATCCGTTGAACACGTGTGCTTAGTTCTGAAACCAAGGATTACATCGGTTTCGAGTTCTCGTATGACACGATTTTAGTACAGTTTACACCCTCTCCTTTCCCAATCAAATTCTTAACAATGAATCAGTTTTAATTCCGATATAATCACTGAATCAAACATATGATTACATCATCAGACTTTGTGTTGCGTCTAAGCGTACATGGGCCTCTACGCGATATACGCGAAGAGAAGGATATATCAGTCAATATTTAGCAGAACACATAAATCTGTGTGAAAATGATTACCTTTGTGGTACAGCACGGAACTCCCAATCAGGCGACCCAGGTTCGAGTCCTGGCATTGATACTATTAAAAAAATTATTTTTTACCACCCAAAATGCAACTTTTGATACTTACAGTCGGCTAAAGATATTTTCTATTTGAATATCAAATACATTGGAAATGTTCTATCAATATACCATCAGTTTTACATCTAAATTCCTTCAAGTAGATTTTCGGATCAAAAAAAGGTGTTTTTTTTTTAGGATGTCCGTTTTGCACTCAAGGGAGAGACATTTTGGGGAGAAGGCATTCAAGGACACTGAGAGTGTTTTTTTTCTGTAAGGTAGTTGAAATTTTAATTCTTTCAACTGGGAAATAAATAAA